AAAATTGGGCAACGATCTCTCCTAAATCACTCGGACATCCACTTAAGAACAAATCTATTTGAACCAGTGGTTCTTGCATGAGGACAGTTGTCGATTTTACCTTGTTGTTGTCTAAAGAGAGAGATTTCTCTTATTAATGTATATGTGTATATTTATATATATATATATCGTTAGACGGTTTCTGGTTGGACACTGGGAGCTTTTACATATTGTGGGGTAGAACTGTAATGTAGCAGGTAGCATGTGCACCACTTTAAAGTGTCAGCGACATTGTTGAAGCAGGTTGCACAACACAATTACTACATTAGAGAAGTGAGTAATGAAAAGGTAATCCACCCTGGTTGCACCTTGTTGATGTGACTTCCGGAGTGTTTAGTCAAAGGACTTTTTGTCAGAAAACATTGTACTGCATCTTGGGCTATATTACCTCATTTGCACGCTGCTATAAAAACAATATCCGACATTTAATGTGGGGAAACATTGCGTTGAGACTAATGTATCGCATGTCTCCACTGAAACATATGCGCAAATGGTCTGTAAGTTAGACGACAGGACATTATCTTGTCCTGTCGTCTCGCTAACATCTAATAAGCATTTCTTTTTGTGTTCCACCAACACATTTAGCATAAAACAACCTATTCAAACATGTCCATTTGACATGGTTCTTATTTAATATAAGTAATACAATGTGACGCCAGGAAATGCACTGTTACCCTACAATGGTTTTAGCTGTTGCCCAGAGATTAAATTTGCGCTACATAAAACAGAATCACCTTCCCCTAAACGAATGGTTAAAGACTTCCAAGCTATTTGTTTTGTGTTTTATGTCCTTTGAATGTCAGTGACCTGAAACAAGTTCAAGTCCGGAGTACACAGGTTAAAGCATGTTGGTATGGACCCGCTTATATGTTTGTTTTTCCCTAAGTAGTAGGACAGTACATGTGTAAGTTTGAGAAACTAGCAATTAAAAAACATCCATCTGGCTTTTCTCTGTGTGCGTCATTGACTTTTCTTTAAAAAGCTCACATTATGATAAAGGTTCAGTCCAGGTTGTGCAGTGCAGGTTCACAAGCTTTGCATTTTTAAAAAGTTGGAGTTTTAAAAAACTGCTGCTGGTAGATATCGGTGTCTAAGTCACTGAAACATGAGCTAATATGTATCTTGTGCTCGTCAGATACGATATTGGCCACTAACTACAGATACTATGAAGATTTTCACCTTGACTTGCATCTTTGTATTAGCTGAAAGCAGTTTGGCTGCATTTCCAAAGTTTTAAAGAACTTTGCATTGGTTCAAGGAATCATTTTTAAATCATATCTGGCTGTTAGTTCTTCTTCTGTTTAAGAAAAATAAATTGAACAAAACAATTCATCCAAAATATTTCATTGAAATATGCTGAATCCACAGATTGAGATTGAAAGCCTAAAATGTTCAATCAATTACAATAAGTGAAGCATCCACTCAAGTTCATCAACACATTTATTGTTAGAGTTATTTTAGTGTGCAAAATGGAGCCATGCACTCACCGACTCATGCAACTTGTGTGCACCGTATTACGGGAGCCTGTCTTTCTTTAAAGTCTCATTTTTAGTGCCTAGAATGCAGAAGAAACTGATAACGCTGCTTCAGCTAAGCAGAGCTAAACAATATCCCCTCTCAGGCCTGACTTACCAAAGTTAAATAAGTCTTGAGTTATGAGTTATAAAATAGTAACCAACTGCAGGATGTGTTGATTGAGAGGAGTTGAGAAGTTCAACAGACTGAAGGACTGAAGCTGATTCAATATTTCACTCTTTACAAAACAATGCATTCTGGGAAGACGGTTAATATGCGGATCCAACTTCCATCTTCATCCGTTTACCTTCAGCATCACATCAGTCAGTTCACCATTTGAAGTCAAAAGACTCAAGATCAGAGGAACTACTGAAATGTTTAGTCCAAAAAACTTATTTTAATACATTTAGTATATTTTGTGTTTCCAAAATTGTAGTTATCCTCTGACAATATCACATGAATATATCTTCATGTGCTATTGCTATTATCTCAAAGCTGGTTAGACATTGTGCTTCATTTAGTTTAGTTTACACCCACCAGTTCATGCTTTTAATTGGGCATGCACTAATCCCACAAACAGGGAGCGGGTTGTTTTTTTGTTCCTGTTGTGTGTTTAAATACCCATGTGTTTCTTTTTAACAATTAAAACACTGTAATTGAGTTTACAAAAAGGACACACTCACTGAACTGTTTTATTAGGGCAGGCAGCAGGAGAAATGAAATAAGCAAATCCTCCCTTCTTGCTTTAACAAAGAATAAAGTCCATCTATTTTTCACCACAGGAAAAGCTTAACAACGCCAGAGGAAGAGAGATTAACAAATAAATAAATGCAAAGCACTGCAGTGACATTCCACAATGGCTGAAGCCCACAGCAGTCTGATAATAAAGTGCAGCCTAATCAGCTGCAGTGATTTGAGTTTTTTTCTTGCCAGTCAAAGGATTGTAGGAAACCACTCTAAAAAATGGTTAATAACATAACTGTATGTGTCCTCTATTCATTTACATTTCCATAACCAACTAAAATCACCTTACCATGGATTTAAATGCATCACATTTAGTCCCTGAGCCCTTTAGCACGTGCATGTAAAGCCTCTTGATGCAGTTACACTACCTAACAGGGTTGATTAAAACATCCCATTTCCCCGTTCACCATGAGTCATAAACACATCCATCCCAAAGTTTAGTTATAGATGGCAATCATCAGTACAAATCTGCTCTTGCATCTTGTTATATAGGGCTGCATGTTTTTCTGAATAGGAACCAAATGCAAACGGAGCGGGAGGACAAGTAGGTGCTCAGAAGGGCAGAGTGAAGGGGGAAAAAACTGCAAGAGAATGTAAATGAGTACATGAGCTGAGAGGTGCACAGTCAGGTGATGGAGAAGCATGAGATGGAAAACAGCAATAATGACATGGCCTGTGGAACAGGAGATGTGGCTGGAGACGAGAGATTGAGAGACTGAGACGTGGAGGTGTAAACCTTTAAGAAGGGGGTTCGTGACATCACTTACATGTTGACGGTCGGGCATTCGTGTTTTTTTGCAAACATACTGATAACTAATGGTGCACCTGTAACGCCTGGAGAAGACCTGAAAGAAGAACATTTACCGGATTTACAGAGTCATCTCAAAATACATATATGACAACAAGATAGGTCGACAGAGTCCTCAAACTGTGAGGAGTCTCTTCTGCTTTACTCAACAAAATAACACGGAGCATAACGCTCTTCAAACTGTTTTTGAGGTTTCTCCGAAGCTGACAGGCTTTGAAAACCCTGTGCATTGAAATAATAACCTCTACAAGGATTGGGGTTTACACACAACGCTTGTGTTTGTTGGTTATTTTCATGGAAAAGAAGTGATTGAAAAATAGAAGAAAACATAAACACCACACATCCTGCAGCACCCGATTATCCTGAGCCAGAGAAAACTGATGATTACATTTTATTAATCCTATAACTGTAATCCAACTTGATTGAAAAAACACTAACGATTTGCTATTAAGCCAAACTCAAAGTGCAGTCCAGGTCCTGATAGTGCTGACAGGTGTGAAAAGGTCACTATAGATTCCGCTTTGTCATGAACAAAACCAGTTACCAATGACTGTAGCTCCCTGCAGCTGGAAAATGAGGACTCTGCAGAGATGTGCCCTTGAGAGATTTTTGCTATCTCTGCACTTTATCTGCATCAACGTTTGACAGAGAAAATGCATTAGTCTGCTATAGGTTAAGTAGTTTATCTGCAGCTAGATTACCAATTCTTCAAAAAAGGGCGGGGGGGGTGATTATTTTAAATAGATCTCTAGAAAGACCTTTGTTGTTGACTGAAGGTGAATTGAAAGTGTTTTTTCCCGTCCAAAACAGAACCGTGGGAGCATTTAAGAGCAGCACAGACAAATCCCAGTGTGCTGACTGAGAAACGAGGCGTTCGCCTGCTCCAAAATATGGGCTCAGAAATCTCCACGGCGCTCATTCAACCGTGTTACCGCACAGGGAAGAAAATCTCTTTGACGTACTGAGCAGTTTCATTGATCCAGCGACGGGAGGCCTCAGCGTGCTGCGTCACACGTCCTGGTCTGTCAGTGACCGACAAGACAACATCTCGTTCATCTCATTCACAGCCTAATTGATATAAAATATGTCCTCTAGTGGGCATGCAATTCCTGCAGGGCGTGCACCTGTCCACCGCGCTGGTAAGACTGGGATATGCGTTGGAAGGAGGCCGGCGTGATGACGTCACCATCAGATGATTGTCCTCCCAACGCCAGAGTGGACGAGATTGGAGCGGACAGGCCCGGGAAGGATCAGTGAGCAATGAATGAGTTGGCATTCTCCAGCCGAGAAGAGACGAGAGAACGATGTGGGCCAAGTGCAAAACAATGTGAGCAATAACAGCCGTTGAACACACTGTATTTGAAGGTCTGATACTGCCGAGCTCCAGTATCACGGATACAAGCGACACACCAAATTAGTAGCATTGTCCTGAGGGACCACGACTGCGTGTTGTGTTTTTTCACTCTGTTTTTAGTCACTGGTCGTGCGGACATTTAGTTCGTCAGGACAGAGTACAAGCCCTTGACCAGATGTGCTGACTGCTCTGGTAACAGGGACACAGCTCCGGGGTCTCCGGAGGACTTAGTTGGACCGGTTACGAGATGACAAACATCAGCGATAAAATGTTCTGGTCCCCTGAGAGACTAAATAACACTTTGACCATGCACTTCATCCTGTTCGCAGCTGCTTCACATCAGCCGCTATAGTCCACTATGCTGCACTGCACATGGTTGTTTTAAGATATGTCATCCCAGATGCTTTAAACTGCTATATATCGTGACATTTTTGAAAAAATGAGCAGTCTATGAAAAGATTGATGCACAGTTACCCCGTCGAAGGAAGAAGAAAACATGCATCCCATGAGCTCTATAGAGAAGCCACGTGCTAATGGGAATAATGTCAATCAATCAACCATTTATATTGTACGTATACAGCAGATACAGATAAAGACTCCCTGGTCGGATAAAGGATGGATGTTGGAATAGAAATGAATACTTTATGCTGACCTGAAAGGTCACCTGTGGTTCATGGGTAAACATGGGTAAAACAGTAATGGGTTTGGGTTTTTGGTGGCATCAGGCAAGAATTGGATATTAGACTCCTCAAACTGTTCTCAGGCTTTAGAAGATTCTAGTCTCCGTCTCACGCGACGGCACACTTTACCAAATCATCTCAGAGAGATCCTATTGTTGTTCTAATAATCAAATATTCAGAAAGATTTCCTGCAGCAAAGCGTTGGTTGGTGGTGTTGGTTTTCTGGTAATGATTTACGGTCGAGTGTGACCAGAAGCCCAAAACTGACATGATGGTGATATTCAGTTTGTCCAAATTAACAGTTGGTATTATAGTTAAGTTTTAGCGGGAAGTTGCATAATATGTTCAAACAAACTTTAACTTAATAAACTACATCTTAATAAATATTCAAAGGGAAGGTGAACCGCATCCATTCCTATGCTTATGAACAGTTCTGAATTAGTTTATTATCCCATCAACAATTTGGATAACTGATTAAGCCTTTTGATCCTTTTTTTTAGCAAAATCAGAGAAAGTTATATGATTCCCTGCATCTCAGTTATAATCATGTTTTGCTTTCTAATTCATTTTATTCAGACTGGTCAACACAAAAATGTCATTTGAAAACCTCATCTTGGAGACAGTGATGTGCATTATTCAGCAATTTCTCACATTTTATGTACCAAAAAATGAATTGAGAAAACAATCACCAGTATCATCAATGACAGAAATAATTGTCTTTTGCAGACAATGACTATAACAACTTGTATGAGCTTGGTCTTGAAGTGCCGGTGAAATGAACACCATTTAATGTGTTTAATGCGTAAACATCTGGAAATTGTCCACTTAATCCAACGAATGGAGTCCAATGAGAAGGGGTGGCAACTGCAAGTATCCAATGGCTTTAAGAATCCCTTTTAATACGATGATCTGGATTAAAAGTACATGCAGTAGTCCGCCCTCCAGAAGCTCCCCTGCATCTTCTCCACATGATCACTGCAGGCATTTATTTCTATATTGTTGCAAACTGTAAAGAAAAAAACACCGATAAACTTGCAGAGTTCATGAGGAATGAACACAAACTGTTCTCACATGTGGACACTAAAGCATAGTTTACATTTTCGTTTTTATGTAACCGAATGAACAAACACAGGCTGCTTCAGTTTCCAAGCTCCTTGAGGAGGTCGGACGCTCTACGTTCAATGGCACAGTGTTTGATTCACTGGAACAACTGAATGGGACAAAAGCATTGTTAACGTCGTTAGTGACCTTGTGCTTTGCCTTCTGTGACACGCAGATAATTGGTACTTTGTTTTGCCTCAGGGAATGTAATAGATATTGCATCTGATTAACTGATTATCTTCTTTTGTGTCGGCTACAAAGGAAAGCTCTCAACCCGTCTGATCTGCACCCTCATCTGAAACCTCAGGCAGTGTGCGTGGCTGCGTGAGCGACACGCTGAAGCTTTTACCACGCCGGGAAATCAATATTGTAAATGGCGAGCTTGTCTTAAAATAGAAGCTCTGTTTGGTAGGCTCATGAAGATCTGTTCTGTCAGCCTTAAGTAAGATGGAAAGCCCAAAAGATAACAAACACATCTAGGTGATGGATCTTTTTTCAAACGTATCCTACACATGCACATTGAGTGTGACAGTGAAATAAACATAAAAAAAAAAAAAAAAAAGATGAACCAGCTCCGTTAGCGGTGTCAAGCTCCTGACTGAACTCATATTGTGTTCTCTGCACTGGAATGGCTCGGTTGTCCTCCTTCCCCCCGACCGCACAGAGACCTGCCGTCGGAGCATTTGGCCTCAGCCCGTCCACAGCTGCTGTCCTTTTCCCCCGTCCCCGTGCCTCTATTAGAGGACAACGCGGGCGCGCGGCATTTCATCTCCCGGTCGGACGTCAGCGTGGCTTTGCGGTAGCAGCCACTCAGCCCCTTGCGGAAGCGTATGGTGAACAGGCCGTAGATGATGGGGTCCAGGCAGGCGTTGAAAAGTCCGAAGATGAAGAGGATGTGGGTGAGGGAGTGGGAGACCTTCCCCTCCAGGTCGTCCGGGAAGAACCAGTACCACAAACCCAACAGATAGTACGGAGTCCAGCAGACTATGAAGCACATCACTATGAAGATGCTCATTTTCAGAGTTCTCATTCTGGCTTTGGGGATGTTGTTCTTAGAGCAACGCAGATGTGGCTCGTTGGAGGACACTGGACATTAGAGAGAGAGAGAGAGAGAGAGAGATCCGGTATTAATGGACCCACCCAGAGTGAGGAAAGGGTTGAGCTGTGAACTCACAGTTTCTTGTTGTCATCCGTTTGGAGATCTGGATGAAGATCCTGGTGTAGCAGATGATCATCATGACCAGCGGCAGCAGGAAGAGGCAGGAGAAGGTGAACATGTTGTAAGCTGTTTCCTGCCAGTGGGTGAAGAAGCTGCCCCTAGTGGTGCACTGAGTGAAGTTTGCAGGATACGTGATGGTCACGTTATGGAAAATGAACATCTGTGGAATTGAGATGGAAAAATGTAAGGATTGCATTGCTTTGTCAGCTGTATTTTCCATTCACCGTGTTTGTTCAGCAGATGGTGGTATGGAAAGATAAAAGCATTGTGCTTGTCTTACCAGACAGTCCTGTGTAGGAATAATGTTTGTAAATGCCCACGGTTCAATGGAAATGGATAATTACATATTTCTTTCTTCAACTAACAGTCCAACGGCAGAAGATATTTAGTTGACTTGTCTATTTGACTATTTATTCTATTTTTACACGGCATTTTTCCTTGAAGAAAGATGGGTCTTGATATTGCAGGATTTTCTGATTTAATCCAAGAACCATTTCATGAGACGCCAGTCTTTAGCAGAATCATTTGTTTGGAGACTGTATTGCATGGCGTTGCCCGTTTTCTTTTTCCCCCTCATGAACCTGATCAGCAGCGTTACATAATAGGCTGCCATATGTCTCCTTGTTTACGGCAATGCTTGTTTATTGTCAAGATTAGTCAGGATTCCCGTCCCTTTTTAAGTACATCATGGAGCCACTAATCCATTACACTGACCCAATTTGGGCCCCTAGAAACATTCAGGTTTTCTTGCATCAAGGGCTTTACAAATCACCAAATTTTATGTAAATGCACAGAGATGTTGAGAGCATGATGAACCGCGTTTAGAGATTTTAATTTCCTTCAGCGTGTCTTGATCCCCCACACTTTAATACCTTTATGAAACTGAGATAATGCATGCAGATCCCATAATCTGAAGAAACCGTAACTGGGTCACACATTTCATTTCTCTCGAATCTGTTGCTTTTGTCTTTAACTTCACCCAAACACCCTGTCTTGTCCAACTAGTCGTCACCTGGCCTTACCTGAGGGATTGAGAACAAGGCGCTCAAAGTCCACGCCACCGTCAGCATGACCCGGTTCCTTTGCCGTGCCATGCTGATTGCCAGAGGGTTGAGGATGGCCGACTGTCTGTCCAGACTGATCACCACGGTGACAAAGGCACACGAGTACATGGCCTGCAGCTTGAGGAACATCAGGAACCTGCAGGCCAGGTCGCCCGCCAGCCACTGGACGGTGATGTTCCACACGGCGTCCACAGGCATCACGATGAAGGTGACCAGGAGATCGGCCGCGGTCAGGTTGATTATCAGCACTCGGACGTGGGACTTGCGCTTGTGGCCTTTGGCTGCCCACAGCACAGCCAAATTGCAGAAAGTGGAGACGCCGCAAAGGATGAAGGTGACGATCACTCTGACCTTGGCCGCCGTGGAAAAGGTGGGCAGCTGCGGCGCTCCACTGTACGCCGACGTCCAGTTACAGCGCTGAGGAGACGGCCAGTCACATCTGCCGTCGAGGTCGCATCCGGAGTCGTGCTGGTAGGCCGGGACTGCAGGATCACAGGAGGCGTTCATTTTGTGACCCTCGCCAAGGAGTCAGGGTTTGTCTCTCAGCTACATGGGGGGCCGACGCCAGCTGGGGGAGCGAGATATGGCAAAACACGTATGCACATGAGCCTTTTGTGTGAAGTCTGCGCAACATTCCCAACTGCATGGATTTGCATAAAGAGGCAGAGAGAATAGTTCTGTCAACGACGCAGCTGTTGGGGCACATCTCTCTCATCTGCACCTCTCTCTGTCTGTCTATCTCTCTGTCTCTCTCTGTCTGTCTGTCTTTCTCTCTGTCTGCCACTGACGTGGATAGATTTCCAGATTGTGCATATGGGGGTCTGCAAATTTGTGAATTGCACCACCAACAGCAACACCTGATAACCAAGTTACTTACCCTCCAAGGGCAAGAGTATCTCATTGGACAACATTTCTTTGGTATTGTTGCTAAAACCATCACAGATTGTGAAAATGGAAAGGAATAAAATAATCCCCATAAGGTAAAAATATTAGTCACACTTGAATTGAGTTTTTACTATTGTACTAAGTTTGCCGTCGATATCAAGAAAGCTTAAAAACCAAAGTACCATTCAGTCGTTATTATTATTATTGTTGGTATGCTATCATTGATATACACACTATACGAACGTTGCGCAACTAAGGTTCACGTGCATAAAAATATTTTTTGTTACACTATTCACGCAATTCCTCACTCTTTCCATCAAAGCACGAATCCAGAACAAAATGTAAATTAACATATAAATACCATAAATAAACTGAACAAACTCACACTGCGCACGTGCTTTGGTGAAGCGATGCATTCCCGACAGCAGAGAGAGTGATACGTGTGGTTGTCCCCCGGAAGTCCCCGGACCCTGCTGATGATGCGCACAGCACCAGGTTCTCTGAGCACTGCGCGCTCGCCCCTCTTCACCTCAGCGTCCCAGCAGGGGTTCTTCACGCGCAGCTCGCTCCCGCTCCCCGCGCGCGCGCCGCCGCCGCCCGGTGGGCGTGGTCACCATAGAGCTTTCCGTTCAGTGAAGTTTCTAATTTCATCTCTGGCCGGAGTCAATTTGATGAGACACCGCAGCCTCGAGCGAGCTCGTTCTTCGTAATTGCGCTAATTACGTGCTGTGAGGTCACGCGGGGAAATTGGACAGACTTACAAGAACATGCGCAAAAAGAAAATGAACGCAACGCATATTCGAGACACGGACCACCGGCACCGGATAGCAATGTTTGAAAGTTTTGTGTTTTTGCGTTGTATTTCCACATGTTGTTCCCTCTGTCTACAGCTCACTGTCATTTATTCATCCATCACCAGCCTTTCCACATATCACATTCCCAACATCCCATCTGGTGTTACATTTTCACTTATCAGAACTCAGCAACCAAATAATGAATGATCTGTTGTGGAGTAAATACACATGTGAATAAATAAAAACAGCTTTCTTTTCCAACAGGTAATATTGAGTCCTGCTGTGTTTTTTTCTGGAGCAGGTTCAAATCTCAATGTGCTCAAAGCGTGCCATGTGCCATTTGGTTTTCCATCACTGGTTGAGTGAAATGTGTTGCTAGTAGGAATAAACCCCACAGAGAATTCTATCCAGACTCTGCAGCTTCCAGTTTGGCGTCTTTATGCGCAGTGTTTTGGTTGTCACGCCCTGCAACTTTACTTTAAATACTTTGGATTAAACTTTACTTTAAATTATTAAGCAATGTTGTGGACGCCATAACAATGTTGTAGAAATGCATGCAAGCAAAAGAACTACGGAACTACAACCAACACTTAACACATTGTGCCGAGCGTGAAAACACCCTGCAGACTTTTGCAGCACATCACTCAGACCTTTACTATACACTTGCATAATCATATGAAGAACTCAAGAGAATACCTCAGCCTGGGGTGAAAGATTTAGCATCAGATCAAAAAAAGATGAAAACCAATTGCTGTAATAACCTTGTCTAAGAACCACAAACTTGTGTTCGTTAGCTAGTTTTGAAAAACTGAATCAGCTGCAACAACGAGCAAAAGTGAATGAACTGAATGAAATGTATATGGACATATTTTACTTTCCCTTCCCACTCATTAGACGAAAGAGAGCGAGAGGAATGACGTTGAGAGAGAACGACAAGTCACGACCTGGATTCATCCCAAGTAGGTTATGACGTAAACGTCACTCCGCTTCTGTTAAAGGGTGATCGTTACGTCAGGTGACGAGACAGAAGAGCTCATCACAAGGACACGGGATGTAAGGTAGAAGTAATACATGTAAGAACCCCTTGGATCCGGATCCTTGAGGAGCGGTAGCATATGTAGCATATGTCATTTGACCTTCACTGCTCCTCAGAGAGAGAGGGAGGAAAAACACACCTAATGTTGGTTTATCGTTGCTGTAACTCTCCGCCGCAACCGAGCTCTCCCTTTATTCAATCTGCCGCGGTGGATTATCCCCACAAAGTGATAGAGTGGCTGATTGGTGAGGGCCGGATGTCAGTGTCTGGGCTGCTCTCCAAACAGGCCGCGACCTTCGGCGGACCCACAGACATCAGACTCTTTGTCACTCTAATCCACAGTAATTGCGCTGCTTGTATTGAGGCTCGGTATTATCATCATTCATTGATCCACTGTGATCTTGCAGCAATCCCTCTCCCTCTCCAACCGGCACAACACACCTGCAGGCATGTGACGCCCAACACAACAGAGTGTTTAACCCTGTCCATTCTGAGAATAAATTAGGCCCTGGAGGCAAAATATGGTGTGTTTCACAAGAATGTGGCACATTTCTTCCGGTTTTGAGGTTTCCTCATCCGGCAGCAATGTGACAACTCAAACCAGATGGCGCTAGATGCAGAGTCAAAGCTGTGAGGGCGACATGTGTACGTGCCAAGACAAATTCAATGCAACCCAGTTGTTGAGACCTTTCACTGAACCCCACAAATGTCAACCATGTGATGACACTGTAGGAACAGTGAGGGGATCACCGAAGTCACCAGGATGATCCTGATGCTCTGTAACGCACATGGATGGACTGCCGGACAGGCTGACTGTGTCAGGGACCCCCCCGTGGCTTTAAATGTCACACAACAGGAAGAGATTGAGATGAAATGCAAAAGAGATGTCGCACAAAGACTCCCACAATGTGGACTCTTTATGAACACATCAGCGTTTTTGAGGGGAACTAAAGGCTAAAGCTGACGGTCCTGTCAAGTTGTCTGTGTGAGCGGCATTTAAAGGTGTTCTCTACAACACTGCATGAAAACAGCCAAACTGTTGATAAGCGTAAAGCAAACAGACACACGTCTTAACATCATGTGGTAGGAGCCCAACGAGAGCTTCCCGTGATCACTGCCAGTGTTCTTTGAAAAGCGTTGAACTCATCAGCCGAGAGGCAGCGAGGTGCAGCGGCGTGTGTGCTGATGTGAAAGGTCCTTTAGCGTGGAGCCATTACTGACTAGTGTGCTGTGGGCGAACACACACACACACACACACACACACACACAAGCTCTGTCCTCCTGGCAGAGTTCATAAGAAGACCAGAAGAATTACAAAGTGACTCATAATCTGCCCTTAATTGTGCAGCATGACATTCGGTTGAAGTTTAGAAAATGATTTGAGCTAAGTGAAAGCTCGCTAATGGTCTTCAGGCGGCCACACTGCAAGTCTCTGGTATAGTGACCTACATGCTTTGCCAGAAACGATTTCACGGCCTAAAAGGAGTTGTCAGGAAATCCAGCTGATACCCAAAGTGTTGATACAGCAGCCACAGACGCCAGATGTGGCCACACAGGGTTTTATGGAGAATCAAGCTCCAATATCTCAGTAGTTCCTCTTCCATGCACATGCTTCTATGCTCAATTATTTGCTACTTCCTCAATAGACAACGTACTACCACTATGACCACTGGCATAGCGTCACAATTATATACAATAAAATGAAGTTTGTACCTGGGAGCAGTGTGCTAACCGTTCACCTTCACAAGAGCTTAAACCTTTCCTGATCCAATGAATCACCATGTCAGTGACAGAGCATTTCATCATCCGGCAGAAGGTCACCTGAATCAGGTGATTTTATCAGAAAAAAAAGTCGGGGTGGACAATCTGTGGAAGCTGCGTGCTCAGCGTAAATGCAAACGCTTTAGACTGCAGCGTGGTCATGTTGAATAGACTCACCTGGATCTCTCTAAAGTGTGTGAAAAATGCAATAGTCAAACAAAGTGTGAAGCAAGAAGAGATGCCTGACCACCAAAACAACCATACAACGGTATATCACAAAGAAATCAAATGGTGTTGAATGCACAGATAAGATATTCACACAGCAAAAGACAAAGGCTTTTTCAAGCAATTGCACAGGCTGTCCTTATGAAAAACAGCAACACAATTGAGTTTCTACCTTCCCTGGTCGAGTTAAGTGCATCTGATGCAACCTTTAAACAACCCCACCAGATGCTTTGAACGCGTCAGAAAAATAACAACCACAACACAACACGTTGTGCTTTGTTCTCCTTTTGCTCAATTTAAACTAGCGTTCTATCCAATCAGCGACACACGGTCTGCCCCACTGTCATGTGACGAGAGCTGCCAGCGGGCGGCGGTACCTGCGGCGCTTTCTCTCAGAACCACCAGACAGCAACTAGAGCAGAGACGCGAGGAGTCAGTGGGGATTCTGTCACGTTCCTGTGCGCCGGTCCGGAGCAGCGCACCACAACGACACGACGGAGTGACCTTCAGTGACATTGGGAGAAGAAAAAAACAGCTGCTGTGAATTGACACAATGTTTACCTTCCCTCAGAGCGTGAGTTGTGTGTGTCGCACAATATGTGTCCCCGCGTTGCAAATGGTAAATCTGCAGTGCATTTGTCCACTTAAACTTATCTAAACGGTGCACTGTGACTGTGTGACCTCTAAACAACACCGATGGCTCACAAATGTTTGTGCAGGCTGAGCTGAACCGGCCCGCTCTTATGACCCACGTTGTTTTCATTCCACTCACCAGCCAGATGTGCTACGGCAGATAGAGAATCGGCCGGCGCCTATGCGCACACGGGAGATCACATGGTGACCCATGGTGCTTTCCACGGTGTGTCTTCTCACATGGTGTTCTAAGTGCTCGTGGAGGGTTTTTCATATCGCGGACGTTGATTGAACAGTACGTGTGTCAGGTTGAAGTTGATCTACCACGAGGATGGAAGCTCAAGCCGACGCCAAATCCCAGAATGAGCACAAGAATTACGATTCAGATTCACCGCACAGTGTTATTCACAGCCCGGACAGCGTTTGCATAATGTGAAAGTACTCCAAAGCCAGTGGAAAGCGAGCACGCACATATTACCGCGTCCCACCGTGGGCCGCCAGGAATGAGATGCGTTGTCACTCTGAGTTAAATGCAAAGTGGAACAGGTGCCGCTGGATGTGGATGGCTTCATAATTTGCCCATTAATTATACCGTTTATACTGGTACAGCCTCTCTACCACGGCACTCATGTGAAAGGACAGAAGGATCAACAGCGTAAACTGACAGCCGCCACCTCCGGGTCGTCCTCATTCTCGACAGTCAGAAGCTGCTACTCCTCTAACAAATCAATCCGAAGCAGCGTGCAGAGACAGCTGCTGCTATGACGGGCCCCATACTGCTTCCTGAGAAAGAAACAATTATCTTAAATTATCTTTCATCGAATTGATGCAAATGTTTTTTCTTGTTATCGGATGAAGAATAAGAATGCATTATTCGCGGATGAAGCTGAATCCCAGATTCACCTGAGCAAATGTTCATTCACTGACCTCCTTCCTATCGCTGACCGGGGGCCTCTGATTGTAAGTGGTGAGGCGGCTGATTGGAGCCGCTCTCGAGCAACGGTCACAGATGAGAAATCAAATACAACACACATCAGCATGATGAAAGCAAGAGGAAGGGGCGAATCGACCGCGCCACATGCAAATCAAAGGCAAATCACAATTGCATTTACAGTGAAGTGAGTCCTCCCGCACTGCTGGGCGGTGTGGGTGAACCCAGAGAGATCAAAGGCAGACTGCAGTTTGTGTTTTGGAAAAAGAAAGAAAGACGAGACTCCTCAATCGATTTGGTCTTCACTTCTACTTGAAGATGCTGGCGGTCACCAGGGGGTCTGGAACCAGGCCAATCAGACCAGGCTGTTTAAAAGGCCCGGCAGCTTGTTCTGTACTAGGATGAAGTGCAAGCAAATGATTTCAGGTTTCCCTTCTGGTACGGTGTGGTGGAACAGTAAGGGACGTGGTGGATAACCGAGTAGAAATATTTTTACCATCGGTTCGCTTCCCCCCCAGAATGCCAAAGCGTGTCTGCAGCTGTCTTCTCTCTGTGGGAAAAAGTACAACTCCGTCACCGAGGCACATCGAGATAAAAAAGAGGAATTGCAGCTGGACGCTTCACGTCCTCGGGCCGGCGCCTTGGCTGCACCGCTGGTTCACTTTGTCAATCAGCGTTTTAGTCAAAACACAATAGTCGCTCGTTGGCCTTGAGGAATACTGCGTGTTCTTCGGCTGACAGGGATTACGTTTTCAGCCAGATGGGGGATCGGCAGACTGAAATAATAATGATGTCCCTGTTTCTGGATTCCCAGTAGACGCAAGTCAGTTTTTATTACTCTAATGTCACTCCAACCTGGACTCAGGTACAATTATTTCAAGCTTCTCAGCACAGTTGATAATGTACTTCTACAAACAAAACCTGACTTCACACTTCACCTCTTCTTCAACCACGAGCACGATTCCATAGAGAGACGTGAGCTCAAAGTCACACACCAGGCTCATGTCATCCACAACAGAAATCTTGGTTTTGTTCACCAGTTTAGCCTCTTAGCATACCAGCTAATAAACTCTAAACATAAGTTACAGCTGAGGCAGATGGGATGCCATTCGTTCTGGTTATAAAACAAAGTATTAATTATTAATAGGCGCCAGGAAAGTAAATATAATGTATCATCTGGGCAGCATGAATGTCTGCACCAAACAGTTGTTGAGAAATTTCAGTCATCTACGACTACTAAATACATAGAAATGATATGCTGATGTGCAAATAATACAGAAAGAATAATTTTATTGCTTAATCAATCATAATGAACCCATAATGAAGACTTCAAATCAAATGATGACAAATTATGAATACAACAGTAGATCTAGTATGTAATTGAATGTTGAACCATAACACAGACCCACTGTGACTTAAGAGGATCCTCTAGTGGAAAACTACATCACACAGCGAGCGGTACCTTGTATCAGTGAGATGGAAAGCAGTAACAATACAGCCCCAAATTTGGGGTAAAACACATATTTTAGCGCAAACTCTAGAATTTTGTGTACTGCCAACAGGATAAGGAATATTCTGTACACCAAAAGAAAATATACTGTTGTAATAATATATAGGAGTATATTCACGCTGTGATGCCAAAGCAGATTAGGGCCATTAGTCCAAAATCTATTTTATTTTTTAATAGAAAAAGTAGCGAGAGGCTTGTTTCAAGTGTATTTACATCTGCAATGTGTTTCTAGGATCTCTCCTATAACTTTTCCATTTCTGCAGGAGAATTTAGAGTAAAGTTCTAACCGGACGTGTTTCTGACATGAGGGACAATTTTGTCTTTGGTGTTCAATTGAGGCTGTCCTTAAAACCACAAAGACGGCACTTGATCATCGTCGAGCAAGTTAAATTGATGGACAGTCCTTATTCAAAGAGAACACATACGAAGGGCCTTGTTTATTCTACTTGTCTAGTGCGTGGTAGAACTGTAGTTCAAGTGTCTTTAGCCTCTGTAGTCAAACGTGAATACTATATATTGATGGGGTTTTACATTTTTTGGTTAATTAAATATCTTCTACACTGCTTCACCCAGAAAATGTACGGGGTAGGGAGTGACTCAATTTATTTGGGATTTATCAAGTGTACAAAGCCCGTCAGACGATGCAGTGGTGTTGTTCCGTCAGTTTTCTGGGCTTCATCATCACCCTGAACATCAGCTCCATCACCATGAAGGCTCAGCAGACGTTGTTCTTCCTGAGGCAGCTGAAGAAATTCAACTTGCCAAAGACGATGATGGTGATCGGCTGCAATCTGCCGTCCCTGCAGGACTTGTTCGCTTCCAGGACACTGAAACGGGGTAAAAAGATCTTGGCCGACCCCTCTCACCCAGTACACAAAAAAACGTTTTGTGCCCCTTCCATCTGGCAGGAGGCTGAGGTCCATCAGGACTAAGACCTCCCGCCACACCAACAGTTTCTTCAAGTCAAATTCCTCGTATGTAACATATTTTAGTAATGTTCCAGATTCCTGATTAAAGCGGTACCAGAGTAGATGGATGGAACAAAGAGAATGTAGTGAGCGCCTGATATTTGTCAAGCGTGTGTGTTGGGAGTCAGACTTTGTGTTTAATTTAATAGAACACGTAAAAACACGAAGAACGTTTGCATTTGGTTCACATTTCACCAAAATTGTTGGACATTATCAAACTAATTTTTCGGTTCATCAAAATGTGAGTTCAGACACAAAACCGTGTTATTAGAACACACACACACACACACACACACACATTAAATTGGGATTATTTTTATAATAGTCTTCAAAATCAAGTTGAGTCAAGAGCAGTAACAGTGATGCTGTAACGATGGATCAATGATGAATTCCTGAAGCTTTTCAACACTAAATGTCCTCATATTATTGACTGCTTTAATCATATAATCCACTGCCCTTTTAGTGATTTGGCAAAATACAATTACTTTTTTCTTTTCCCCTCTGAAACTAACAAATCAGAAAAAACACTTTGTTTAAACAGTGAATTTCACATTTATTATACAGAAATACCACATTTAGTTTCAGCATCACTTTCTGGAGACCCATGCAGACAGATGACGGGGGAACACAAAGTACTTGCTGTCCATTGCAATAAACTCCGGTACAGAATCTATTTGCTGATCAGGTGTCCGTGCGGATCGAGTGAGCCGGCCTCCTTTTCCCCCTCAGCTCCACGTGTCGCTAAATCCTTCCCCCCCAAAAACGGACATTATGCTCGCTGTGTGCGCTGCAGCAGGTAGCACGTTATCATAGCTATTATGAGGTAATGGACACCATATTGTTTGGACTCAGGATCTCGATCCAGTAACCATCAGGGTCCTGAATGAAGGCCAAGCCTTTCATTTTACCTGAGCAGGAAATAAGAGAAGAAAAAGCTTCATTGCTGGAAGAATAAACGTGGAAAGTTATAGGCATACAGCATATTAAGGGAATACATTATTTATCTTTCGTTGTTAATTACATGAAAATGTGCCCAAGTAGAAATACTTAAACTAGAGAAATCTGCAGACAGCCGCACATTTCTTTAATAATCTTGGTAACATGAATGAAGCAACATGTAGAAATGAGTCTCGGTAGATTTGTTTAAAATACGTTTTTATATTTTAGCACAAAGTATTTCAATCCAGACTTTTCTCTCTTGTGTGAAGCAAACTGAAAGGGGGACGTGGAGAAGGAAAGCGAGGTTCAAGTCCCCGTCTATAACCCTCACATTCAAACACTTCACAGCTTACCGTCGTCGGGCTTCTTCACGAATGTGACTCCTTGCTCTTCAAACAGCTTGCAGGCTGCATAGACATCAGGAACTGCAATTCCAATGTGTCCTGTTCAACGGCAGATAGACAAAGAGACTGGTCACAAAAATCCCCATTACAGCTGCACAGGGTTTGCTCTGCTGAGCCCTCAGATAGTAACACTAAACAGGTAGAACACTAAAAACATCCTACCTGACGCTTTTCATACACAGAAACTCTTTTAGGACAACAAAGTTGTAAATCTCACTTTCCACATCACCTCAAAAGACAGATTATTTGGCACTTTCCCATCTCCGTGTTCAAAAGGGAGGCAATCTTACCAAAGCCACGTGGATCGGAGTTTCCGTTGTGATAAGACCCGCTCTCATCGGTCTCAGAGCCCCAGTTACTAAAAACAGAAGTGAGGGGGGGGGGTTCAAGAAGGTAAGAGCAAGAAATGAAGAAAAGGAGGCGGGGGGGACCGAGAGAACCGAAGCGCATATTAAAGACCCTTACTGAGTCAACTCAATGGTGGCTCTTCTGGAGAAGGTCCATGCCGTCTTCTCCTTGACTTCAGTGGGAATCTCCTTCTTGTCCTCGTAGCCCAAGAAGAAGAGTGAGAAGCGCATGGAGGGGAAATCAAACTTCTGCAGGAGCCTGGAAGGTTTTTGGACACCAAAGAGAAAATTGCACTTCAGAAAGCAGTTTGTGCACGGGACACGGGCCCAACAACTGCCACACGAACACACAAGAACTGCATTGTGTCACTTTTGGGGAATACATTTTTTGCAAGTGGAAGTACAGAGCCATTGAACTGAAGCCCCCCCCGCCACATACTCACGTCATGCCGAGGATCTTGGTGTAAAACTCCAAGGATTTGGCCGGATCTTTAACCCGCAGCATCGTCTGCTGCATCATGAAATCCTGAGACACAGAAACACAGCAGAGTTGTACAACACTGTACGGCCACGGTGGGAAACTCTAGCAATAAGCCACAACGATTACAGGATGGCTATCAGTTCTCCAAAATGCTGATGGAACCGGAATTCAAATATGTCAAGTGTATTGCGTTTCGACAAACACTGACTTAGCGATGCGGCGAACAAGGGGAGAAGTGACAATTGAAGCGTCGGATGTGTTGCACCCCGTGTGTTGAGACAAAGCCCGAACAACTTAATCGCAAATACAACTGTGGCCGTCAATCAGCAAACACAAAATAGCTGTAAGCGAACACATGAAAAAGCTCACGATAGCCCACACAAAAGAAATGCTTATTCACGGTGAGAAGTGTGCGCTTTAGAGTGCTTCCAAAGCAAAGAAAAGCCTTCCAAACACACGCCGGCTCGCCGGGTACAAAGTCCCGTCTGTTGTGCGAGTGTGAATTTGCATCCTCGCGCTCCCTCGCAAAAATTTCAGCCAAACTACATCTCTGTGCAGGCGGGCGCATATAAGCCGATGTTCAACACAGCGGTGCGAGCCTTGCCTCAGCAGACCAGGCCTGCTCGGTTAAGTGAGGTCTGAAGATGTCCTACAATGTGTCATGTACTCGGGCCCAAGGGACAGCGTCCCTCCTGCCGAGGATTGTTGCCTGCGGGTTACGGGTCAAATTTCAGAGTCAAGAAAGTGTTACGAGCACTTTTGATCGGTTGAATGGGTCACGACTGACACAAACACCTCAGGGATTGCAGCTTGTAGGTGCCGAATTCCGTTGAAGCTGGTTTTACTCCGTGACCCAGATGCCACAGGAGTGCGAGAACAGATCTGCAGCGCGCGCCGGAGTCACGGTTGAGTGTCATCTCCGTGGTTACGGACATCTTCCCCTTTCCCTCCAGCAGTGTCAAATATTCATGTGAATTAACGTCAACACACCCATAGAAACGGTGTCCACAGCAGTATCATCCATGTCCCCACCGCTCCAAAGACTTCTGTCTCTACTTGCCGTGACGTCTCAGTGTGTGGAGGACTCGAGGCAAAGGGTGATGCAACAGAGGTTTCTATGGACGTCTGCATTAGGATGTCTCCTTCATCCCTCGGACACATGGGGACTTGGATTTGAGCCGAACCAGACGGATAGTTTAGCGTGTTTTGCCGCTTGCAATTTCTTGTGAGCCGTGTGACTGCCGACACCGAGCTGCTCCCGTTTATAAAGCCGGTTGTATGAGCCACACCAAACGCTGGCGTTCGTTCAGAGACGGGAATGTACATGCAACAAAAACTAAAATATGATTTATAAAAAGGGTTCGGCAAGGCAAGTGTTCTGTGACGCTTGGATGAAGTTGTGTGATGCTAAAATGTACCATGTAGGCCAGTTTGACTTGGAAATACGTGGTCGGGTAAATCCATTATATTTACCATAATCACCTGCACACACATTATCATTGGGTTAGTTAATAATCATCATAAACCACGTACTGTAAACAGACATAGAGAGCACAACTGATAAAAGGGACTTTTAAGAGTGAACTTTGGTGGTTGATGTGAGAGAACATTTGAAGGAGTCGCTACAAATGAATCCACTTATTTTCTCCCTTTTAACAGGGACTCAAAGAACAGACGGAGTCTCCGGCCAGTTGCGCCACATCGCCCAATTCTATTAAAAATATCCATTCATCTATTGAAATATTAAAATATCGCGCTGCCGCTGCTCAGGCACCGAGAGCTCCATGTCACCGGCACCGCGTGCGGTCTGTGGCCGGAGTGAGTGCTTGAAGGACCCGTACGTGTGCGCGTGCCGCCGGCTGCGTGTTGGACGCTTGGCTGCGGACGGATCAGCCAGCTGGACCGGTTAGCATTAGCAGCTAGCCCCTCCGCGTTCCCCGGTCCCGCCCGCTTCACGCCACCGCATGCGGGTGTGAGGAATAGTGGTCTCGTCGCGACTAAACACTCATGGACGGGCCGACAGGAGGCGTTGTTGTTGTTGTTGTTGTTGTTGTTGTTCGATCAAATCACGTCAGTGCATTCCTTCAACAAGTTTGGAGGGAGTTTCTCTCCACACGAAAAAAGCTGGGGTGAAAGTTAACCGGCGCACAGGTCAGTGATAACAAAATACAGACGAACACGAGTTAGCTTAAATGGGTAAGTGGCTAAAGCACCGGCCGTTCACATGAGTAATCATGTCTGAACCGAGTCACTTGCCACCCGGTACGTAACCGCGCGTTCGAGAAGAAGCGTCCCTGTCCGATAATGGACGCCATGCGAAGATATCTGACATAGCCCGCTGGAGTCGTTGGCCTGTTGGGTTTCCGGTGTCCGGTAAGAGTTTAAAAACGACAACGATAGTCTCACCTTAGTAATGGGGTCTCCATCCTTACAAGCCGACGCCACTGCCTCGTCTGACAGACCCTTGTCGCCCATTTTCTCCAACTAGACTGTACTAATGCAGGACCGCAGTTCGGCGGGGCGGACTGACAGGGGAACTTTAACGGTTTCCGGCACCAGATTTCAAAATAAAACGCCTATTTAGCACCACGAAGGAGAAGCAGGATTGAGTGTCATTGCGTGACAGTCTTGGTGGGCTGTTGACCCCACAGAAGAACTTCCGCATTATAACGCAGGGCCGGGATAGCAGTGAGCCGGATAGTTTAACGTGCTTTGCCGCTCATACAGTAACTTGACTGCCGACACTGAGCTGCTTTCATTTATAGAGCAGGTTGTATGAGCCACACTAAATAATGGCGTACGTTCAGAGACGGGAATGTACGTGCGACAAAAACAAAAATATGATTTATAAAAAAGGTTAGGCAAGAATGTGTAATCAGGTTTAACATTCACTTGTAGTACTTGTATTCGAAGCGAAACACTCAGTACGTGCCAAGGATTTTATTTTGAAAATGAAAACAGAAGTGCCCGTTTTTATCTCTCAATCAGAATTATGTAAAAAAAAAAAAAAAGTAATCTTAGCCTTTCTAATGCATCCCTACATTCTTTGCCTTACCAATTTTAAACATGTAACATTTGTTTTTCCTGACACTGCCCTCTAAAACAAACAACAACCAACTCAGCCGGCTTGTCATGTCCTGGTTCATAATCACCCATATTTATTATAGATCAAAAACAATGTAGGCCAGTTGGACTTGGAAATAACTGGTCAGGTAAATACATTATATTTACCATAATCACTTGCACACACATTATCGTCATTGGGTTAGTGAGGAGTTAATAATAATAATAATAATAATCATCATAAACCATGTACTGTAAACAGCCATAGAGAGCACAGCTGATAAAAGCCGTCTTAGAATAACACCACATCTACAAGCCTGGGACTGTAGATGGGACTGTTAGCACACAGTCATTTTCCCCAGACGGCAACAGAAAGTATGTTCATTTTACAAATTTCAAAAAGGTGAAGGGAATATCCCCTGAATCTGTAAGTTTTGACAGACACATTTACTAATACCAGCTTGACAGCGGTGAGTAGGGAAATAAACTATTTTGAAATAGTAGATATTACATATTTCCCTAGTGTTTCCCGCTGATGCAAATACAAACCACCAATACAAACCCCTGCAGGACAGTAAGTGTTCTTTTTTTATGACCTTTGAAGAGTATTGAGCCATGTGGGAGAGCAGCGGAAACAACCATTTTCTCGGAACGGAATTCAAAAAGTAAACTATTTTTCCAGATTAGTTATAAACCTATGTTAACATATGTAGATAAAAAAACATCTTCCCAATCCAATACCACAGTCCAGTCAGCTCATACCCCTATATGCCAACAGAGATCAGACAAAAACAAGAAATCAAGCAGAGCAGGCAGGAGAGCCCTTTTCTAGTACGCTGTCCTCGTGCTCGGGCAGAGCAGGTGTTCAGTAGCTGCGTCCGAACAGGGTGTAATACTTGGCGGGCTCCTTGCCGCTGACACACATCTGACCGGGCTGCAGAGTCTTCAGGGGTGAGAAGGGGATGCAGAGGCTCTTGGCTCCCATGGACGGCGCACCAGGCTCCAGGTCCTGGTCCCTGCAGGACAAACAAGCACAACAAAGTAAAAACACTGAGCAAAATAATATGAGCGGTAAACACTCATGTTTTCGGTTTGGGAATTAAAAAATGATGTGAATAGGAGAAAATAAATAGTACTTTAACAACCTGAATCTTTCAGAAATGCATAAAATGACCTTTTACAAACTGATATATAATATACATATGCAATAAGCATATTATATTATGTACTCGTTGTCCTCTGTACAGATAATTATGTGGTAAATTCGGTTAACAGACATGTTGGACCTACTTGGCAGTGGTTTTCTTTATCCAATCCTCGCAGTCGATTCCTCCACAGAACGGGATCTGGACAATCTACCACGCAAAAGGAAACGCTTAGTCAGCGATTCACCCGTGGAGACACAAAACGAGACGCTGTGTGCTACTTGTGGTGGTTTGTGTTCCTCACCTTGTTCTGCTCCAACTCTTTCTGGAACTGCTCCATCGTGTCTGCAGGCACCATGTTGCGCTTCAGGTCGTCTGAAGCTCTGACAAACACACACGCAACAACTTTCATCAATCTTCTTGTGTGGGTAGGAACACCACAAAGCATCTCTTGTGTATTCTAATTTCCCAGCTGGATGTGTCAGTCTGTGTACATCATTTTGGACACAATGTTGCCCCCAGCTGGTTGAGGGAAACGTGATCATTTTAAACCCTCGTAACTATTTTCATTACAGGAAGACGTATGGTGCCACCAAGCTTTCAGTGAGATGTAGAGCAGGCGAGGAAAAGTTTCACACTAGCTGTTCTCCCATAACAACAAGACATGACTTCCTGTGGTCGGTTGTACTCAAAAGGCCAATATTTCAATGCCCAAATCTGCCCCTAGTGGAGAGTGCAGCATCTTACTTCTTGAACAGGCTGTTCTGGATGTCCTCCAACATGGCGACCAGCCTCTTCTCCACCTCTGCCTCTGGAATGGTCACCTTTGCACCGGAGTCTCTCCTCACAGCGACGCACTGACGCTGCTGCATATCCTTAGGACCCACTTCCAGGCGGATAGGAACTCCCTAAAAGAAACCCCCAGACATACAGAGAGAGAGAGAGAGAGAGAACCAGATCCAGTCACTATCAATGCCTTCACAACAATCCCGGCGGTGGTGACTCCCATTGTCAAATATTGCTGCCCTCAGATGAATCCCATCAATGTAATCATATGATTGTAATATTAATCATTCAACGATTATATCATTTCTGACCTTGAGTTCCCAGTGGTTGAACTTCCATCCTGGGGAGTAATTGTCTCGGAGGTCCGGCTTCACTCTGACACCAGCCTCCTGCAGCCTGTTCACGTATTTAGAGCACTGGGCCAACACCGCCTCCTTCTCCTGCTCCGGCAGGGAGACAGTGAGCCCACATGGGATGACGACGACCTGGAAAAAAGAGGAGACATTTCAACCAGTGCTGTATGAGCAAGGCACTTTAATGACAGGTCAATGGACCTGCTGTGTTATCGTGTTATTGTGTTTGTCTACCTGTTGGCAGGCCACCCTGGGCGGCAGTACGAGTCCCATGTTGTCTCCGTGGACCATGGTGAGGACGCCGATAGTCCTGGTTGTGAGTCCCCAGGAGTTCTGGAAAGCCAGCTGTTTCTCGCCCGGCTTCTTCGGATCCTCAAACGTGATCTCGAACATCTTGGCAAAGTTCTGACCGAGGTGGTGAGACGTGGCACCCTGAGGAGGCACAGAGCAAAGCAAGAGGATTCCATCTTCTGTTCTGCAGTGCAACGTCTACTTTGCTCTTAAAAAACAAAAACACAACTCCAACCATCACTGTCTGACTGTATGAGGATTAAGAGTGCAAAGAAAGAATAGAAAAAAATATGATAAATGTCTGCAGCTCATCATAGGACTAACGTAATATTGTGCCGACGTCTGGGAGAAAGGATCAAGCGGACGCCACAGTACCTGAATGGCTCGGCCGCTGGCAGAGATATACGCCTCCACAGTGGTGGTGTAATCTCCCCCGGCAAACTTCTCCTTCTCCGTCTTCCTCCCCTTCACCACGGGGATGGCCATCAGCTCCTCGTACACCCTGGCGTACAGATCCAGGATCTGGAGCACCTGCGGATACGCAATGTGAAAAGCAAACAAAGACTTGTGATTATGTACATTATTATAAACAAAGCAACACCTCGTGGTACTAAATGCGCTGCGCTCTAATGCATCTTAGCACCAATATCCCACAACGGTCATTTCATCAACCACGGCGGGGACAGCGGTGCGCCCGCTGTTACCTCCTCTTCCGCCTCCTCTTTGGTGGCAAAGGCCGTATGTCCCTCCTGCCACAGGAACTCTCTCGTCCTCAAGAAGGGCTGCGGGTGCTTGAACTCCCATCTCTGGAGGAGGAAGCAGAGAAAAATACGTCTTGAAATTACAAAGGAAACGAGCACAAAGGGGAGATGTGGAATAGCAATTTCAGACAAAGATGGAGTCGATGGGCCTGTGGGAGGATACTGACCACGACGTTACACCACTGGTTGACTTTGATTGGCAGGTCTCTGTGGGACTGGACCCATTTAGCAAAGGCGGGGTACATCACTGCAGCAAAACAAAAGACCACAGGTTCATTTGGAACAGCACAACCGCAAATAAAAAAAGCGTTTTCATGTATTAAGTTCATGTTGCTTGTGTATCGATGTCTACGGTATGGTTTGTATCAAAGTTGAGAGTCCACTAAAGAGCCGTTGTTCAGACCTGTCTCACTGGTGGGTCTGACAGCAATGGGCTCCGCTAGCTCGGTCTTTCCTGACCTGGTGACCCAGGCAACCTGACAAAGATGATAAAATAATAATTAAAATGATCATATTATATGATTAGTAAAGTCGTGCGGTAATATTGTTGATTTTCTTATTGTTTCGGTAGGGACCACTTCTTGTTTATTTGGGCAGAAGGAGGTCCAGTTACCTCTGGAGCAAAGTCCTCTATGTGGCTTTTTTCCTTCTCCAGGGCGGCCTGAGACACGAACATGGGGAAGTAGCAGTTCTCCACGCCCAGTTTCCTGATCTCCCGGTCAAAGAAGGCCTGAATGGCCTCCCAGATGGAGTAGGACCAGGGCCGCAGCACGTAGCAGCCGCTAACGTCGTAGTACTCGATCATCTCCGCTTTGGTGATGACCTGGAGGGGAGGGGCAACGTTACATCTAACAGGAATATACATTAAATGGAATTAGAGACAGTTTTTATCGGGGTAACTCACCTGAGAGTACCAGTCAGCCAGGTTCTCTTCTTTCTTGGCCTCCAAGCCCAACCTGCCAGGAGACAGAGAGCGATGTCAGTGGGACGCAACCTCGGAATGAAGACGTGCAAAACAGCGCAACAACACACAGATTCAAGAGTGCAGTGTTTTTATTTAGTCAACAGAACCATAACATGTCAGGCCTCCTGGTCATGTTATTGTTTACACTGTGAACTTCTTTTGAGGGATTGCCAATTAGATTATTATCTCCCTAAAAAAGGAAAATAGTGAATTTATAAATAAAGCTGCTGATCAGCAATCCAAAGAAAATAATTGAAATTGGGGGAGAAAATGAATGAAGCGTCAATGTTTGGAACTATTTGATACAGCCTTAGAGCAGGAAACAAAACACAAAGTCATTCCCGGCACAGACGACCATGCAGCTCAAAGCTCACATCAATAGCAACGAGGCTCGCCTCACCGACAGCAGCACCAGGAGGGCAACGCCTCAATCTCCGTTATTGTGATTATGATTATTATAAGTCTTTCTCTGAGGAACAGAAGTGTTTATACTTTTGCATCTTGGATCAAAACGAGTACCGACTTTAGAAGGTCTTTAGGGTTTAACGCTGCCGATGTGTTCTGCGTTGAAACTGGATAGAAAACCATGCGGCATGTAGACATTTGTGTACATTAGTAGTGGAGAGAATCAAGGCTCACGGCAGACTACAAGCAAAGGGAAGAACACACCAACCATTGAAAACTCACCGAATGTGAATAGCAAAAGACAAAACCCTTCTGTCGTTAAGCAACAAGGGTTGTGCTTACAGAGTGTCCGTCTTCAGTGTCCGGCAGAGAGGTCCCAGCGTGGGCCTCTGTCCCCACAACGCGTCCAGCATTTGTTTAAAAGACTAAATGCAACTCGCGGCATCGTACGGTTTGAATAAAACGACCTGTAGAATGTTTCGTTTTGTGGGAACGATTGAAGCCACTCGTACGAAGCAAAAGCAACTCGTTCTCACTTAAGAGCATCTCACTTAATAATCCACGTTGTACCCGAAACAGAAACGAGTTTAGAACAAGATGTTTTTTTTATTGGCTCTGCAATTATGACTCAGCTGTTTTGTCAATTTCTGCCAAATCATAACATCAATCAACGGCCCAAAAGAGTTCAAAGTGGAAAAGTTCACTTCAGATGCAAAAAGTACAACATTTTGTTCCTCAGTAGAACTGATTTGATCAAATACGCAACATGGCCAACTGCAGTTATAAAATAGTAGGAGGTGCAGCTTTCATAAAAGGAAAAATGTGTTTTAAATTCTATATTTCTGTACTGCAGTTTTCAGCCCCAAAAAACCCACATTTTAATACATTTTTCCATTAAATGAGAACAATGATTGTTCTGTAGAATATTGCAATTGCATCATATCGCAATGGGGTCAACATTCAAAAACAAAAACAATTAAGATAATCAGTCTTACCAACTATCCTTACAATGCTTTAAAGTATTGATCGTAATAAGTATAAGGATTTAATCTGAAATACAGCTCTCCATTATGCAGCCCATTACAGAATACGTGTTTTACTGTCTGGTGACTTTCACACTCCTGCCAGATGAAGTTAGTTTATCAACCTCTGGATCTACTTCTTAACCGCTCTCCTTCTATAAATCAGCTTCCAGTCGCTCACCGTGTTTGTTTCTTAGGCCCTTGACCGTCTCCTGGGCCTCCTGCTCCTCCTGCTCCCCCCGAAGCCTCCTTGCCCTGGTTGGCTTTGTCTCCTTTACCCTTCTTCCCTCCTCCTCCTCCTCCTCCCTGTTTCTCAGACTTGTTCTCCCTCTCCTTGCGGTTTTTGTCCTCTCCTCCGGTGGCTCCAGCGGCGGCCACTGGCTTGTACTCCTGTCCAGTAAGCGTCTTGTACGTGCTCTTCAGGTCCAGGAGAGTCTTTACGGCTTCATCTATCTGGTCCTGAAATGCAAACAGAGTTGTTCTTTTCTCCTCCAGTACTATCCGGGTACGTGAAAGTCCACGGGGATTTGCTCCATTACCTTGGGGGCCTTCTCAGATTTCAACTTTCTCACTCGCTCTCCCTGTTGGGTAATCTGGGAGAACAGTTCCTCTGCTGGCGCCGGAGTGCCGGACTTGGTCGACTGGGTCTGTGCCTGACTACCCGGGGCTTGTAGTCCAGGTTTGTAATCCTGCCCGGTCTGCTTCTTAAACTCAGTCTTCAGCGCCAACAACTGCTTCACCGCAGCGTCCACCTGGTCCTGAAGAACAGACAGCACAAAGAGAACCGTCGCAGGACTATTAAACGGCCGTAAGACTCCGAACGCAGAACACGGGCGTAAAAGGATATGAAGTGGTTGGGATGCTGCGGTCATAGTCTCACCTTGGACGCCTTCTCCGCCTTCAGTTTCCTGACTACTTCTCCCTGCTCAGAGACCTTCTCGTACAGGCCGGTGGCATCACAGGCAGAGCTTGGACTGTTCTGGACCGGCGCAGGGGCTTTCTGGACCGGCGCAGGGGCTTTCTGGGCCGGCGCAGGGGCTTTCTGGGCCGGCGCAGAGGCTTTCTGGGCCGGCGCCGCTCCAGGCTTGTACTCCTGGCCTGTGACCTGTTTGTATTCGGCCTTCAGGGCAAGCAGTCGTTTCACTGCAGCGTCTACCTGGTCCTGGGGACAAACAGACGAGGATGCATCGTTAGCAAAAGCACTAGGTACAAATATTTGTTGTGTAATGATGAAAAATTACTGGCTAGCTTTGCTATCATGTCGACGTAAAGACTGATATTGGAAGTCTTTTTAGCTGATCGCCGGCTAAGGGGTCAAACATCACTCAGAGCCCATATTTAGCATAAAGACACATCAATAGGACACGGATCAGACATTTCCCACTACAGCCCTGCGGGTACGAACAGCAGTTTGTTTTTCACTCTCTTAGATTGAGGGAAGCTAAAGACGCAGAATCGAATGAAAACGGGGACTTTATGTCCGGTGGTCATTCTCTACTGTCCACATCAGAATACCTTGGGGGCTTTTTCAGACTTCAGTTTCCTCACAGTCTCCCCCTGTTGTGAAACACGGTCATACAGGCCCGAAGAAGCGCAGGAAGGAGAGGAAGAGGTCGCAGGAGATGCAGCAGAGGAGGAAGCAGGAGCCGAAGGGGCCATTCCAGGTTTGTAATCTTGACCGGTCAACTTTTTAAACTCCGTCTTGAGAGCGAGGAGCTTCTTCACTGCTACGTCGATCTGATCCTGGTGCCACCAACAAATCAGCTCATTGTCGCAGGCAGTTACGGAATAAACATGACTGGCATCGACCAGACAAATAACTTTGGACGCGAGGATTGACTGGACGAATCAGTCAGCACAATATTAACAAATGGACAGACGACTGATGGACGGATGTGGACATGATGAATGGGTGGACAAACAGATGTTGACACGTGCGGCTATTGAACATATTTCCAGTTACCTTTGGGGCCTTCTCTGCCTTCAGTTTCCTGACCAGCTCGCCCTGCTCTGTAACTTGGGTGAATGGACAAGAGGTGGAGTCTGTTGATGTGGGGGGCGGGGCTGGAGCAGAGGTGGGAGGAGCCATACCCGGCTTGTAGTCCGTTCCTGTCTGCTGCTTGAACTGTGCCTGCAGAGAGAGAGAGAAAGCATGAATGATACAGCAAACGTCAAATAAATAGGTGTCTTTTTTTATTGCTTTTCATCACAGCTGATGTACCTTTAGAGAGAGCAGCAGCTGAACTGCCTTGTCCACTTCTTCTTTGGGAGCCTTGGCAACCTTCAGTTGACTGGACAGCTTCACCTTGTGCTACGATGCCCGAGAACAAGTCACTGGCTGATGTTGGGGCAGATGTTGGTGCAGGTGCTGGGGTTGAGGGCGAGGCGGCTTTGGCGGGGTTCGACGCAAGCTGAGACATGAGGACAGCCGGATTTAAAGAAAACTGAAGTGGAGCACCTGACAGGTACCAGTTTATTCCAGGCGTCAAAGACATGAATGCAAGTTCATTTTCTCATTTGCTCCAGAGGTAAATCTGGACCCAAAGCCTATCGATTTGTATCATTGGAAAACATTTGGATGGGGTTCTTCCTTAGGAGCACTCACTGCTTTGCTGGAAGCCTGGCTCTTGCTCTTGTCCTTGGATCCGGCAGTGGGCATCTCCTTGGTGTGTCCATCAGGAATATAGAGCAGCACACACGGACTCTCCTTACAGCTGTTAGGACTGAATATGTTAACCACAGTTAGACACAGACAGAAAAAAACAACCAACATAGTGAGATCCAGGTAGTTATTGATCTCCACGAAATTGGGTGGTTCAACTAAACAACCCTTCCTCTAACCTGACAGGCTCATAAGGCTGATCACAGATGTAGAAGCCCCGCCTCTGGAGCTGGATGATGTCACCTTTCTTCAGGCTCTGCAGACAAGGATCGCCAAGCATCTTCTCCTCCAGCTGAGAAAGTAAAAACAAGACGATCAGCACGAAGGAAACATTTGAAAATGCGACGCGCGCCGTGAGATTGAGGACTCGCCAAGCGGACCTTGCTGTTTTTATTGATGTACTCCTTGAAGTCGTCGTCTTTGGTGATGACGGCCTTGGAGATGAGAGGCAGGTAGATAATGCAGATGGTGGGCAGCAGGGGGGCACTGTTGGTGTCGGCCAACCACGTGATCTTCGTGGTCTTCTTGTAGTCCTTGTTCTCCAGGTTCAGACGAGCCTCCAGGGAGACCACCTTGGCATCGGCCCCTCTGAGCAGCGGGAAAGGGTGCAATTAGTTACTGTCACGCAACGCTCCTACGATCCCGATGCGTGCGGCTACGATGCCACGTACTTGTTGATCTTGGTGATGATGAGGTTGCCCCAGTTGATGAAGGTGACCATCTCTCCCTCTGAGAAGGTCTCAGCATCAGCTCCTTCAACCAGAACTCGAGGTCCGTACCAAACCTCCTTCATGCCCACCTCTGCGTTCTGGGTGGACACAAAAAATTAAATTACAGTGGCCCCTGAAAGCTCCATGTGTCCAACGCTGCAGTAGTGTAGAACAATCACTCATGACGTTGCGTGTCAGACAGGTCACGGAGCTTCTTCATGGGGCGTTAACACGCAGCACTTTATCGCAATGCCTGTATACAAGGCACACTGTAAGAGCAGTTAACAAGTCCTACAAACAACGCAAAGAGGGAAAAGGGTTTTCTAACAGAGCAACAAAAATATGAGATGGCAAAAACTGGAATCAAAACTTTTTGCATCAGAATTTCTCCCGAGGCACAAACAAGAATCAGAAGCTGGTGGTCTGCGGATTACAGTGTTGGTCCCACCTTTGGGTGTTTGGCCACCTCCTTCATCTCCTCCGTCGCCTCAGAGACGGAGACGGGAACCACGTAGGAGCCGGACAGAGCCGTGTACCTGGGAGCTACCGGGTCGATGACCTAACACAAGACAGACACACACACCCACGTCACTGAAAGAGGCAGCAGACTGGTGCTTTGCAGCAATCTCAACATGCTGAGCAATGAAAGGACAATGCAGAGAAGGATGCAAATTAATTCATGAACGGTTTCCTTTGAGAACAACAGAAATGGATTAGAAAATAACCCCGCTTACAAACATATGCATGACGCAAAAGCAGATTTCATGGGTGATTTGTGATCATATGCAGTCGCGGGAAACAAGCTTTTCTTCAGTCACACTTTCACTATTTTACCAGCCAGTGTTTCAGAACACCAAAGATGGGCTCAGTGATTTAATGATGCTTACATGGAATCCATCTCCCAGGACAATAGAAGTACATGTCTACTTATTCTAATAGTCCTGTATAGTGATACTGATGGAATGGAACCAGTTACCAACCAATAAGATGTATATAAAGAATATAAAACCAGAACAAAAACTCATCAAACTAGTATTTATACACTTTCAATACCTTCATTGTTGTTTTTCGTTGTAAGTGTGGGGCATTTTCGAAAGCTTACGTAAAGAAATGACAATGTTAAATTGAGTGGATATACTTGATAAATGGATTGCTTGCTCAAAAATGGATTAAAGGATGAATGAGATGGAGATGGAGAGGAACACATTCAGGGAGGAGGGTGCAACACCTTCTTTGGTGAGAGACGGTCTGAATTTTTAAATATATTAAGCAGTTTATGTAACCAGTCTGTTTTTTCTCACTTGCTTTTTGAAAACCCCTCTTTTAATCTCAGTCATCTACTCAATTTAAAATGATTCCAAATCACAGAAGTTCTGCGGACCACAGGTTCCCGTTTAACCTGAACATAGAAACCTGAACACCTACATTCCACCTCAAAACGACATTTACTTTCTTCAAAGCCAAAACAAGCACACTGCTCACTGAATGCACTTTAACACTCTTCTGAATCCGTTAGGATGGAGAATGGGTGGCTGGGCAATAATCCAATATAATAATGAATTGTCTGTCAGTGGAATCAAATAGTGATGAAACCTCAAATCGAGACTGTGTGATAAACAACGGATGCCGACAAGCACATACAAATATTCGGAATTGATGAGAATTCCAGGTATGGATGTTCCCCAGTGTAGTTAAATCAAACTGCCTACCACACAACTCCACTTTGCCCGTTATCGCTTTGCTCTTTGACAGGTGACCAGTCACCTGGACGTACTGCTCATCTGACCGGTTGGTGAAACAGTGAAGGCTGTCGGTGGCGTTTCAAATAAACCAGCCATGGCGAAAGCGTGGAGGGAGCGGGTGAAAATGAGCAAGAGGTGGAGCGGGAGGTGGAGGAGTACCTTGAGACAGCTAATTGGCAGCTTGGAAACAGAAGAGTGAGATGCTGTTTAATGTCAAATACAGGGAGGGAGGAAGAGAGAGAGGTAGAGACACATTTACATAGAATGGAACGTTTACATTATTTCCCCTCGTCAACAGATCTGTTACTGTTCGTTTCTAGAGTTTCACCTGCATCCGCTTCAGACTCTTGTCCTAAGACAACATCACGCTAACCCCTCCATCTATGACCTTAGGGATCTATCTGGGAACCCACAGCCGCTTGCTCCGATGACGATTGAGGGAAACAGTAAATATTTCTTGGCCGCGCCTTGCTGTTCCCTCCTCTTTCAGGGTCAGACTGACAACTAGAACACGAACCAGTACACTGAACATACATAGCCATGGTCCCTGAACTCGGTTGAGCTTAATATTTGACCGTGACACTTGGAACATTTTAATAGTGTGACGTTGGCGTAAGGAAACTTCAGGGGTCATGAAACTGTCTGAAGGGGGCGGGGAGGAGAGGGTTAGTAGAACCTGCATATGAAGCCCAACCCATGGCACTCCTTGGTCCTCGGTGGAGCCCCAGCATTGAGAAGTGAGGCAAGGTCAGCTTGTCCCTCTTTCAATTCAAGCTAAGGGCTGCAAGCTTTCCTTTGCATTAGATACGTGTGTTGTCTCTGTTCATGGGCATTATTTAAACTATGAGCGTTCCACCTTCTACTTGACTTTAGGATGAAGCAGCAACAAGCAAGGAAAACCACACAGAGGAAGCAACACCAGACAGATGAAAAATGGGCACAACAAAACATGACCACAATCAAATGTGGGACATGAAATGCGGCGGCTGGTTTGTTTTCTGTGTTATTGGGGGGTGATGTGGAGGGTGAGGTGGTGGAAGCAAAAAAACAGGTAGCAAATGAACGCGGTGCAACAGAATAAGAATGGAGAAACAGATAAGCCATGCCAGCAGGGAACCCACAGCAACCAACCTCTGAACCTCGGTCAATTACAGAGTCGGATTCAATATAATTTAATTATTTGTACTTTGAGCCACATTCAATGTCAGAATTATTTGTCATCACCGCTAAAAGTACAGCTAGGTTCACACGGTCAGACGTGAGACAACGAAGGAGAAAAACGTACCTTCTTATTGAAGGCCCAGATCTTGTCCCACTCCATGTTCACCACTGACCGGGAGCCACCCTGGAAGGAGAAAAGAAAAACAGGTTTTTAACTGATGTGATCCATAGAATGGGAACGCTATAAACAATTCATCGCTTTTCTATTCTTCTTCTGAAATTATCAACATGCTCTACGACTGATGTACCTGGGCTGCTATGAACTGCTTCAGACCCTCGACGGTCATGCCCCTCCTCAAGACTCCTCTGACTGTGGGGAACCGAGGGTCATCCCTGTGGGACGAGATGAGAAAACTCAAAAGAGAACATGGGGCTAAAAAGGGGAGGGGGGCAGGGAGTAGCAGAGGAGGTGCGGAAAGGCCACACACGAGAAACAGAACAAGTGCTTAAACCTTCTGGATAGAAACACGACCAAGCATCAGTCCCCAGATATTTAAACTACACCTACCATCCGTCGACGAATCCCTGGTCAACAAACCAGGTGAGCTTCCTCTTGGAAAGGACCGTGTTGTTGAGGTTGAGCCGGGCGTACTCCCAGATGTGGGGCTTCCTGAGGCGCAGCGCGTCGATTATCCAGTAGAACTGCTCGTCGCGATCGTGGTACTCGGTGGTCCTGAGGGCGTGCGTCACATCCTCCAAACTGTCCACGATGGGACAGGCAAAGTCGTACGTGGGGTAGACTCTGGAAAAGACGAGGCCAACAGCTTAGGAAAAAAAAAAAAAAAGGAAAAATCCTTTGGAATAACGTAATTTGCCCCCCCTCCTCCCTGGAGTTATTTAAGTCAAGTACTTGTAGGCGCTTCCGGTGCGAGGGTGAGGAGTGTTCTTGCAGCGGTAGAGGGTGGGGTCTCTCATGCACCCGTTGTTTGAGTTCATGTCGATCTTGGCCCTCATGCAACAAGTCTGACCGCTCACTGACCCAGCTTTCATCTCCGACCACATCTTCATGTTCTGCTCCACCGCTACAGAGGAGAGAGATTAGAGTTAGAGTTCAGATATTCACGCTGTGGCTTCAACATTGGGTGTGACTGGTGAACCCGGCGTACTGTTATTTCTGCATTTGGACTCGGTGCGTTGCTCCCTCTCCAGCTTCATCTGCTCAGGCGGCGTGTCGTCGATGTAGGCTTTGCCTTCCCGCAGCATCTGCTCCGCAAATCCCATTATGGTGGTGAAATGGTCGCTGGTGTAAGTGAACTGGTCCGGGTGGATCTGGAGCATGGCAACATCTTCCAGGATCACCTGAGCAGCAGGAAAGACAAGTAGGTCATGAACACAAAACTCCTTTTCGTCTGAATGATAAACAAACAGTACTTTATCCTCAGAGGTAGCAAGGGAGAACTAATTCACATGTCTTACCTTCTCAAAGTCTTCCTTTTCCTTCTCGGGGTTGGTGTCGTCGAAGCGCATGATGAGCTTGCCTTTGAATGTGATCTGATAGTGCTGGTTGAGCAGAGCAGCCTTGGCGTGGCCAATGTGCAGGTATCTGGCCACAGACGGATAGAAAATTGGTCACTGTTAATAAAGTTGTTAAGTCACCATGGAGAAGATAAATCTCTCCTAAACTCCCAATCAAAACGTACCCACTGGCCTCCGGAGGGAATCGAACCACCACTTTGCCCATCTCAGCCCCTGGCAAATCCACAAACTTCCCAACATCTTGCTTCTTGTCATCCGACTGTCAATCAGGGACAAAAAGCATCAAAGTGAGTTTCAGTGAGGTACAACAAAGAGTTGATGTGATTCAACAGATCTCAAACGTAATAAATCCACCAATGAATCTGAGAGGATTGAGGGAGTTTTTTTTAAATTGAAATTATAGATTCACTCACTACAAGATAAGAGCTTGTATTGCCCTAATAGAAAAACATGCTCAATATTTTCCTCCAGTACAGTGAGCATAACTACTCCAGGTTAGTCCTACTTGGCTTCAACAGGATTCACCCTTTCTGCAAATACGTTGATTCAAGAAATCACTCAATGATGACCAAAATAACACTTACGCTGGATTTGCTTAATGGAGCTTTTTTACTGGCATACTTGTTTCCCACAGCGGTGAAGGGAACCTGCGTGCTCAGGAAAGAGAACCAGCGATTGACGTGGGCGAAGGATTCGCCCTGGCTTGGCCATCCTGCATGACCTGCAGAGAAACAACCACAATCTGTAGTCAGTGTTTCCCACAGATATCACACAAATGTGTGGCGGCTGACGGGGGAAGTGTTTTAATATTAATTTGTAAGACAGAACTTTATTGGAGTAAATAGAAAACAGGGATTCACGCCTATACAAACGTCGTACTAAATGCGGCAAGTCTGCAACTTCTGTCAGAGCAATGCATTTTGCGGGGCCATCTAAAAAAAGACACGCGAGGCAGATGCGGTATGCACAGAGGGGAGGGGCTGTGTGTGTGTGTGTGTGTGTATGTGTGTGTGTGTGAGACGCGTGAGTGAGACGGAGGGAGAGCAGGGAAAGGAAATACAGCTGAACGAATACGCTGCATGATTTAAATGGCGCTAAAAAAAAAATACACCAAACGCAATATGTGGCGCCAGGTGTTGAATCTGTGGCGCACTGCCACAAATTAGCCTATGTGTGGGAGACACTGGTAGTGCTTCATTCCACCGTTAAAGCTTGAGGCGGTAAACGTTAAAATAGATAAGGATCTAAACTGGTACATTTTGTACAGTCTACTTACCTTTCAGGGCGGCCCAGACGGACAAGTCAGCCAGGGTGAGGGAATGTCCAACCAGGAAGGTCCGCAGGGAAAGGGCCTTATGCAACTCCCCCAGTGCTTTGCTCAAGATGATCGGACCACACAGACAGCGAGCACTGAACTCCAACCAGTGGTCGACCTGCAGGCAGCAGACAGGATCTCAAATGAGGGAAAAAGAGCCCCAAACAGATCAGAAAACTTAACATGCACGAACACACACCTCAGTCTGCTCCATCATGTTGGCTCCGTAGAGGCCAAGAGCGGGAGCCACCCGGGCCAAGTACCGACTGATAGAGTTCACATCATTGAACTGGAGAGAACTGGGAGAGGGAAAGGACACACAAACTCACAATAAATCACAGAACATCAAATTTGCACAACTTTTTCTGCAGTACGCCGTTGAACATCATTGAGAAACGTGGAGGAGGCCATTACGTCACCTACTCTGAGACGTGAAGCTGTGTGTCTTTGCCTTCCTCCACCGAAACCTGCACAACGCCCTTCACATGCTCTGCGGTCAGCAGTGCTCCTGCAGGACAGAGGAGGTTAATTTAGTGTGTAGTTTGTTGCGAGTCTGTGTAAACATGGCAGGGCAGCCTCAACCAGCAGCAGTCAACCTTGTTCAGACAATATAGAGGAGTTATGTCAAAGGCAACTGGACCTGCTTTGGAAGTTTTACCAGGTAATGTTTCAACGCGCTTGCATCAGCCTGCTGTTTTCACCAGGGACGCGCGGGGCGCTGTTCAGCAGCTGTCACTTGTGACACATATACATATAATATATATACGTTTATACTTGTGTTATTTACAAGTACGTTTAGACTTTGTGTCCGTCGTTGCTTTACATTATGTCCATATGCATCCCACGACGAAAGTGGAAAAAGTTAACGTCTCTGAAATGGCATGTTAACAACCGGTCCACATGTTGTTGTGCCACGACGGCAGCTTGGCTGACGTTAGCTTTGGAGCTAACTTAACGTTAGTGCAGCGATCTGTCATTAGCTAGCTTTAGAGCTACTGCTGCGTTCAGTCTTTAGCTAGCTGACGCCCGAGTGAACTTGTATGGACGTAAAACAACACTGGTTGTAATTGCTATGGGGCCAGCAGTGCGCAGGCGACACTTATCTGCAAAATAATAAGCATGGCTGCTTATCAGGCGGATATCAAGGTGCTAACACCGGGTATCTGTTCAGCTGTATGCCATAAAATAATTACAAACAAAACAAACTTAACGCTAATTCTGTAATAATGTATTTTAGATCAAACAAATGGTCAAACAAATCGTAATGACCAAGTTAGTCCAGAGTATTTAACTTCCTTGAACACAGCCATGTATATTGTTATGATATGCGGAAAAGATTAAACAGAAAGTGTGTCGGGTCTTAAGGGTGACACCTAGCCGCGCTAGCTAACTGCTAGCAAGCCATCCTTCCAAGAAGCATTCATTCAGGGCCCGCAGGCTGCTACTCACCCAGAGGCGGATTGCTCGCGTTGATTGTGAGGTTTAACGCCATCATGTGAAATCCTTCTTCCACAAAGGTGCACTGCTTCAGACACCGAGGAGCACGCTAGCCCAACAAGAACCACACGGCGGCGTGGAAGAGAGAAGAAGAGCTACGACGAGCTGGTGATCAATACCGCCGCCAACTGTTCAGGAGGACGAACAGCCACAGAATACAGGCAAATCAATAGAGGGGTTCTGCACACGCCTGGCTGAGACGGCGGCTCCATGCGCTGAGATAATGACAATAAGCTGGATGGACTGCGTCGGAAGAGAGGTGAAGGATTCTGTGAAAGAGGAGCAGTTCCCTCTGAGACACAATCACGTGTTGGGGTTGTGTTTGTACTGAAGAGTGACTCACAAAAGATAACCTGGGGTTCAATACAAGATTCATTTAAAATGGCATTGTCGTCGTGTCCACATTTGTTTGCGTTTTGTGTAGTTTTTGTTTCACAGATGGCAAATTATTTTAGAAATTGTAGGATAGTAGAAACAAATATAAGACCCGGTTCATAAAATTAATAACAATGCATATAGTGTACACCAGAATACAGCCATGATTCTGAAACTGTGTAATCAATAAAGTAATGACAATTTTGTAAAACCACTGTAATTCTGCAACTGTAATAGAATAACATCAATGTACAGTTATGATTGTATTTAATGTAATGTAATCAACCTGAATGCATGCATGTAATACTTGAACAACAACTGATATTGACTAAGGGTCATTCGAAATCCGAGTTACATTGAACTCACCAGAAGACCACTCCCAGAGGAGTGGACACTAACTTTCACACCTTTAAGCATTGTTATAAATACCTGTAGACAACCATCATTCTGGAGTTCGCTGGTGGAGACGACAAACGGGCACTATGGGGGGTCAAAGGACTGACCTGGGGCCTGTTGGTTGCTGATACCAGCGGCTCCTCAGCTGAGATGTTCTTTTTACCACAACACCATCTCTTTTATTAAATACATTTGATTTAACCTTTTGATCAGCGATGACCTCTGTCCGCTGTTCTTATTTCTGAGTGACACAAAGTTGTTCCAACAAGGACCCCTCCTGGTAGGAAAGGGACACTGCAACTGAAGACCCCATCAATGAGGTAAAATGTGGTGGTATTAGTCTAATTTAGAACCCGCATTTTCATGAGGTCAAAAGGGGGAATACACTGATATGGATCCTATTTAAGTTGGTGGAAAATTGTTAAGGATTGAATCATACCACTGATCTGACCTAACGTTCATGAGTGGTAGATGTAATCACAGAGATTGACAGGCCATGACCAGAACAGACTGACAGGTCGTTTAGGTTGTGACGAGCTGCCGTTCACAGCGTAGGACGCTGGCGATAATCAAAGAGGCATGCCAACGCTAAAACAATAAAGGGACATATGTATGGACCGCGCACGCTAAATAACCCATTTCTAGTGGTCGAGTGAAGGGTTTGTCCGGGGTGCGGAGGGGCTGCGGGGCGGGGGGCTGCTGTCAGTCCGCTGGTGCTCTCTCTCCGCTCGCAAAACGTCCCCAAATGACCCTTTTCAGACTTTATGAACAAATACACAATCCCTTCGTGTTCATTTCTAAAGCATCGCATTAAGACACACGTCACTTTATTTAAGACGCTGCGCTACTTGCAGGTCGCTGTGTTCTGCCTGATTCTCAATAAAGTTAGAAAAAAATGATTTACGGCGAACGCGTGGCCGTGAAGATGCTCATCAACATGTCATTTGCACGAGGAGGAGGACGCGGGTCCAAGTCTCCACTGAGAAGAGATCCTTCCACCGACCACCGGAAGAACCGACCACCGACCAATGCAACCTGCCGCTCCGAAAAGGGAACCTGCCACCGACCGCCGGAACCTGCCGTCCGGACAAAGGAAGCTGCCACCGACCACCTTTCGCCCTCGGCCCTACTGCGCCTGGGGATTTACACCCCAAGAAATAGACTTAAATCCCCAAGGTACGCAAATAAGTTACTGTGGATTAGGCAGAGACGTTGGTAGTAAGTAAGTTATATTAAATAAAACGATGCAACCAGTAAGCACAATTCACTAAAAACGGGATTAAAATGATAAAAAGCAGGCAAGTTGAACAACACGGCAAACAAAACAACTAAGGGAAACCGCAGAAAGTAAACCAAAGAAAACATAAAATTACTAAATATAAAATTGAAAAACACCAGCAGGTTCTCCCAGTGCAGCACAGGACCAAAGGTGGCTTCGTGTTAGTGTTAGTATTTACATTTGTAGGCGGAACTACAAGGAAAAGCGGGAGAAGTAGTTTCGACCCGGACGCGTGTTCCCGTTGCACCTCACGCACTGTGGTACATGGATGTGTATTGTATCGATGCGAGTCTCTACACATCGTTCGCCTGTGCTGCTCCTCGCTTATAAGACTTGATAAAGCAAGTATCACTTCATATTACGTCATTTACGCTCTTCGTCACAATAACACAGTGGTATCGTCTGATTATTTGCAAATTGAAGAACTTGCTATTGCTGTGCATTTGCGTCTAATTGATATTTTCCCCACTTTACAACGAATTTGCCGAAGCATGCTTTGAGGTTATTTTAGATTTACGGATGCAGTAAATAAATGCTAATACACCTTACGTGTATATCCAGTTAGTCACATGTTCTTGAACGCATTCATTCGGACCCAAATGCTGACATACTGCCACTTTTTACAGCTGCAGTCACCATTAAGAATGAAACCTTTGTCTGGTTCTTTTTTTATAAGCACAAAGTGTCACACGTCACAAGCAGACTGGTAGAATACTTGCTGGACCTCTCCCAGTCCCATCTGTTTAGATGCCATCCAGCATGACTTTCCATCCTGATGCGTGAACTCTCTGCGTCTCTGACCAGGCATGTCTGACAGTAAACATGGCAAGTGGACCGTCTCCAGCAGCGAGGATGAGGATGACGACGAGGCCATTCCTCTCTCCGGCACTACAACGTCAGGGCCCCCTCGTCCTGCTTCTCCCCCCGGTCCCAAACTGGAACCAGTGACAGCCTCTGTGGAGGTGAAGCCAGAACCGTCCGCCCCCCCCGCTGCATCCTCACTCGCCGTTGGCTCTGAGGCCAGACAGTCGCCATTGACCAACCAGTTGAATCCGGTGAAGTTTGAAACCAGTCCGTCGTTGGCTGGAAAGCGGAAAAAGGAGCCGTCGGACGGCTCGGGTTGGGCCCTCTCAGACAGTGACGACGATGGTGGTGATGATGATGGAGATGTGAAGAGGAAGAGCCTCGGTAAAAAGGCCCCTCCGAGCCCCAAAAAGAGAAAACAGAAGGTGGAGACCGAGCGCCCTCCGAGTCCCTACGGTCGCGTCTACATCGACGAGCCGGAGGACTTCTTTGAGTCCAGTGTTCCTTGTCTGGATGACACCTACAGGTTTTACCTCAACAAGGTCACAGGTCTGGACAAGAAGTACAACAGCGGGGCTCTGCACATCAGAGGTGAGAACAGCTTCACTTGGCAACTTGTGGTGCAGATAGTTTAGTTCGGGTAACAATGAAACATTGCTTTTGATCATCCGGTTGACCTCGTAGGTAGGGACCCCCTCGGGTAAAGCGATGGTCCTGGTTCACTGTCTAGTTCTCCCCGTCTGAACTCGTCACCCATCTTTCATGTATTACGTTCTATTCTAGTAACCTTCACTTTTTCCTTACATCTAGACATTCTCTCGCCATTATTTGGGACCCTGAAAGAGTCTGTTCAGGTGAGTACCATTATTCTTTAGCCACGCTGGTTGCATGACACTGTGAGTCTTGGTTGATCTGCCAACTGCATTACAGACAAAAAGGATCAATAACTACGAGATGGAACGCGGCGAACTACTGTACAGAAACTCCTGTTCTCCAAAGGATCAATTTTTGGATCTTGTTAATAATTAAAAACTAATCAGAGCCTCAGCTGCACTTTTCCTGTTAATTCGCATTAGCTGCTTAGCTGACCACTTTTTCAGGGTCACGACCCCTGAGTTTGGTTTGGTGTGAACAGCTAGCAGATGGAACATATCTAACGTGCTTGGGTTGCTGAGGATCCTTCATGCGTTGACCTTTTCTGTCACACACTCCCCGACACAAACACACTAAATTCAAAGTACTTTTGGGGAAAATGCCTCTTATACGGTAATTTTTCCGTTGTGAAATATGTTACTTAAATGAATATTTTTTTCTATACAAGTGTTTGGGGAACGACTGCTGTGTGCATCGTCATATCAGGGTCGGAGGAAAGTTTTTCCATTCACTCAATGGTCCTCTCTCTCTTCGTAGTTTAACTACTGCTTCGATATTGCCTGGATGGTTAAGCAGTACCCGTCACAGTTCAGGTAGGTTCTGCTTCTGCGGTGCTGGAGGACACATGAGTTAGTTTGGACCTTTCTTCAAATGTGACTCACAATTCAAAGGAGATTGCTGTTGCGTTTGCAGGGACCGTCCGCTTCTGATTGTCCACGGAGATAAGAGGGAGGCCAAGGCCCGGCTGCTCCAGCAGGCTGCACCGTATCCACATATCAGCTTCTGCCAGGTACAGACTCCCCACCATCGGACACACTGGCTTCCTGTTTTAAGGGCCGACACGTTCTCTTTTAAACTGGACTGATGTGCTCTCCCTGACAGGCCAAGCTGGATATTGCTTTTGGAACTCACCACACGTAAGCTTTTTCTTTCCCTGCCTGGTTTCGTACCTGCTCTCTTCTGACGAGACGTGCGTTGCAGATTTAACCGGCCTCTTGGTTGTTTCCCTATAAAGCAGAAAATTGCGTGTCATTGTGCAGGAAGATGATGTTGCTGTGGTACGAGGAAGGCTTCAGAGTCATCATTATGACCTCCAACCTCATCAGAGCCGACTGGTACCAGAAAACACAAGGGTGGGTCTGCCCGCTGCAGAAGGGGATGATTTCCAGTCTTAGCTCCTGGGGGGGGGATGAGTTTGACCAACCTGACAACGACACTGGTCGTTGAATATATCATTTCCAAACCAGGATGTGGATGAGCCCCGTGTTTCCACGGTTACCAGAGGGCTCCGGCGAAGGCTCCGGCGAGTCGCCGACCTGCTTCAAGAGGGACCTGCTGGAATACCTGGCGTCGTACCGAGCGCCAGAACTGGAGGAGTGGATCCTGCGAATCAAAGAGCACGACCTGTCAGAGGCCCGGTAAACACCAGACACGCACAGAGACACTGTGATGGCAGTAGCCAAATGACAATGACAAATTGACTCTTTTTGTCCCCCCCTTCTGTTGTTAGGGTTTATTTGGTCGGCTCGACGCCAGGAAGATACGTCGGCTCTGACATGGAGCGATGGGGCCACCTGAGGCTGAGGAAGGTAACGATTTCTCCCTCAAACCGATATAAAGCCTCAATCCCCCGTTGGAATTAGACAAACATCTAATCGTTGCTAGGTGACCTCCCAAGACACTCGCAGCCCTCTAAAACCTAATGAATTGTAACAATTCCAACGCTGTGTAACTGGGATTTCTTGTCCTTGTTGTTTCAGCTGTTGTCGGCGCACACAGATCCCGTTCCCGGGGAGGAGAGGTGGCCCGTGATTGGCCAGTTCTCCAGCATCGGCTCAATGGGACTGGATAAGACCAAATGGTTGACGGGGGAATTTCAGCGCACTATGACCACGCTGGGGAAATCCTCTCTTCGTCCAGACCCCCCCTTGCACTTGGTATGTTCCCGCAGAACACACCCGACCCTCGATTGTGTGGCGCAGCGTTCAAAGCCGAGGAGAAATGATGTGATGTAAATTAGTTTAGCCTGCGACTACTGCAGCTGCTGCTGCTGTGTTCTCTAATGGAGGTATTAGATACTACATCGCTACTACATTTGTCTCAGCCTTTAAAGTGGTAGACAGTTTTCACATATCAGGACAGTCGATTGGTTGAAAACAATTAGTAAAAAAGTTAGACCCCACCCACTTGGCTGCTGGCATTACTGACTGATCTCTTACATTTAATGCACTGAATGTCTAAGACAGAAATTATTAAAAGTGAAGCTACATGACCATTAACAATGAGTATTACTTCCTCTTTCTTACATATAAAAAGAAAAAATGCCATAAAACTCTATAACCAACCTTTTCTCTATCTGCTACCGATGTCGGCATTAAGCGGGATCCTGTTGCGTTTGGCCTCAGTTCAGCCTGACGGGCGCACGATTTATGGAAGATGGAATAATAGATAGAGATAGAAGCCTTTATTGGTTCTGCAGTGGGGAAAGTCACAGGATTACAGCAGCAAAGGTCAAGTGCACACAGTGACACAGTAAAAAACAAGATCAAACAATTAAAAATGATCTCTTAACAAAAATAACATGAATCCACCTAAACTCAATGAAATATTGTATATACAGAAGATATTGTACAAACGCAGACACAACCTATTTATGATATGAGTGTTTAGGTCACTGATTGGTTCCTTTGTTTGCAGGTGTATCCAGCAGTTGAAGATGTGCGGACCAGTTTAGAAGGTTATCCGGGTGAGCAATGTTTTTTATTTGTATGAATTATTATCCAAATTGAAATAGTTCATAACGTGTTGTGTTTTAAAGGTCCCGGGCTTTACTAAATGCACAGCATGATCACATTTGCAGTCCTTCAGCCTTCTTTTTTTGTTCTGTTGGTTGATTTAATCCCCCACCGTAAACATCTAATGTCTCCATTGATCTGATGATTGGGTGTCCGCCGAACATCTTTTGTCCTCCAGCGGGAGGCTCTCTTCCCTACAGCGTCCAGACGGCTCAGAAACAACTCTGGCTCCACGCCTTCTTCCAGTAAGTTCACTTCTATTAACCTCTATTCAAATCGGTTGGTCTGTCACGATGTCCTTCTTTTTTAATTCATAATCCGCGCATCGCACCCAAGTAGCAGCGCGCTCTACACAAGCTTACATGCACTTTAATCACTTTAATTTGGTCGCTTTACGCTTAGTCGGTAACTGTTGATACAGTCATTCTCACATTTATACATTCCAAGTTCATTTCTACAGAACTGTGTGCGTGTGTGTGTGTGTGTGTGTGAGTAGCCGTTGGAAGGCCACTGCAACAGGAAGGAGTCATGCTATGCCACACATCAAGACATACATGCGGGCGTCACCAGATTTCACTCAGCTGGCCTGGTTCCTCGTCACAAGGTGTGTGCAAGCGCTCCAGCTTTATATTCGCTGCTTTATTTTCAAGTGCGCGTTCATCGACATGCGATTTCCAAATCTGTTCTCTTATGTCTCACACGTTGACTACTGCTGCAACTGTTGTGGTAACCGTTAAATAAATGCTTCCATTGAAGTTTCACTTTTCTCTTTTTCAGATTCTCAGTGGTCATTGGCCGATTATTAATATTGCCTATTGACACGTTCTTTGCTTCAATGTGTGTTTCAGTGCCAACCTGTCCAAAGCAGCGTGGGGTGCGCTGGAGAAGAAAAACACGCAGGTGATGGTCCGCTCGTACGAGCTGGGAGTCCTCTACGTGCCCTCTGCCTTTGTAAGAACAACACACGGACCAACGGCGGCGGTATTACGTGTGCTGAGTAACCGTGAACATTTACAGAGTAACGCCTGGTCGTCCCTTTTCAGAACATGAAGACCTTCCCGGTTCAAAGAAATCCGTTTCCTGTCTCCTCATCCGCTGGCTTCCCCGTGCCCTTTGACCTCCCCCCCACATGCTACTCTCCTGAAGGTACAGAACAGAAGTGTGTCTGTATTTGTTTATATTCGGACCGGATTCTTCTCTTTGGTTAAAATACCACACAGCCGCTCATTTCTCTCTGCAAATCAATATTCTGATTTTGGCGCTCTACTAAACTCTACGGTCTTCACGTCACATGCTCAAACGGGGCCGGTTGGACCACAGTAACTGACATCTAGTGGGCGAAAGCGGTTAAAACCGTGGCTGTAAAGATGTAGTTCAGAGATCACGTATGTCCGGAGCCACAGCGGTGGATCTTCGCCGCCACGGAAACACTCAATGAAGACCACATACATGATGACGTTATGAAACAATGTGACTGGCCTCTTGTCTCTCTGCTTCCAGATCAGCCTTGGATCTGGAACATTCCGTACAGCCAGGCTCCCGACACAAACGGCAACATCTGGATTCCCTCCTGAACACACACACACACACACACACACACACACACACACACACACACACACACACACACTCACACACACACACACACACACACACACACACACACACACACAGACAGACCTCTGTTACTTTACCACTGGTGTTTGTGATTGTCACTACTATAGTTACAGTAGTTATTAGTTGTCAGTAACATTTATTTTTTATATTTTATACCAGACTGATTCATGTTTTTTCTACCAATAAATAAATAAAACGCTTTCATCATTGACCAGGTGTGTTACTATGTGGTGAAAGGATTTTGCTGTGAATGCACACGCCTCATCGTGGACGTAGAACGTTATGAAACTTGTGGAGGGTTAAAAGTTAACCACGTTGTTTGTTGTCACACAGTGGGGGTGGTCCGCACCGCTGGACTGCAGTTCTTTAACCCACCAGGTTGATAATTGTATTCCTACGCTCTCCCAGCTGTTAATTTATCACCGATTCAGCAGCTAGAATGCGAACCAGCCGGGCACTTTGTGTAATGAGCTCAAGTGTCACTGGTCTAGCGAAGGGTCACCCCAGTGCTTTCTGCACATTGTGTAATGCTGTGAACACCTGTCTGCTTCCATGTTTTGTAAATCTGAGGGGCTTTTAGCAACTTTTAAATCATATTTAATTCTGCTGGATAATCGTAAAAAAAATACATTGCTTAATAATACAAAAAAAGTATCTAAATGTGTAAACTGCAATGCATATGGGGCGCCGTTTGTAAAATGTTGCACGTTCTAAAATCCTGTGCAGTTTTGTAAAAAACATTATTTAACAACTTTGTGTTACTGCCAAACCTTATCTTTGGAAAAGTTATTGCATGAATTGACATGAATTTCTCTCTAAATCTTTGAAAAGGTGACATATGAATGTTGTCGTGCTTTTTTCATATGATAATGCTAAATGCCACAAACCTTACCAGGATTTTCGAACATCCGCCATTTTACAAACGGCGCCGCATAAATGCAACACATGGATAAAGAAAAGGGAGTTCAGAAAAAGGAAGGTTTGAGTTTCAACTCAATAACAATTAACCGCTCATATCGTCAAAAGCGCATCTTGTGTTGATTCCCAGTTGTTCCAGGTGTGCTCTGCAAACTGGCCGCGCGTGCAGTAAGTTCTGTAAACTGCGACTCCCATGGTTCCTTGCGGCACTGTGTCAACATGGCGCCCGTCTGCCGGACAAAAGGCGAATCCGTCTGACGGAGGATTGAAACCCAATTAGAGACAGAGGAGACATTTTGGGAAAACTGTCAGCGTCCGTGTGTCCCGAGGCAAGAGATATATGGTCAAACACACGACTGCGGAGGCTCTTGGACTGGAATATTAAGGTGAGTCCGGTCCCGCAGCTGCGACTACTGGCGCCTCGCAGCGATCCCGATACGTTTCCTTTTCTCCGCGCGGTGATGACTGAAAACTCCTCAAAAAAAAAAAGAAGAAGAAGAAGGAACTGCGCTGCGGCGTTTCGCCCTGCGGGTTTTCCGTTAACGCCACCTCCGCTGTTGCAAACGGTCTCAACCGGACGGTAAGCAGTCGGCTTGTAATTCGGCACCAGCGAACAGTTCATCCAACACAACGTCAACTTTTCCAGTTGGTCCGCGGAGCCAAAGCGACCGCGGCGCGCGTCGCCTCGGCGGAGAACGAGCCGCGCGGACGCCCCGTTCCGATGCGCGCGGAGTGGCTTAGTTTGTACGATCCGCGCCGGACCGAGTGGTTGTCCTTCGCTGTCCACAAACACGTTATGTCGGGCATGCCGCTTTCCCCGGAGCCACGGGAGAATTAAAATCCCTGTTTTCCCCAACGGGATCTGGCGTGAGAGTCGATGGAGGGGCTGCTGTGCATCGGGGCTGCCTCGACATTTGAGCCAGATGTTTCGTTTATGGTTAAAATGTCGGGGCCGGTTACAGAAAGTTGCTTACTGTAATTAAATGTCCTGTCTGTGCGCTCAGCTGGCGCATGTCTGCAACCGGGATGCGATACCACGTCTGGTTGCGGATCGCAGGTCGCAGAGAGGCAAATATGTAGTTTCTCTTCTATTAACAATAAGCACGTTGGCGCCTCGGCTTGCATGCTGTGGGGTTCGTCAGGGACAGAAGCTGCAGCCTACGGACGCGATGCAAGAGTGTATTGATGGATCACAATGGAATGTCTAATTGTGTTTGAGAAGCTCTGCTCCACCCGGAGGTCAGAGGTCAGGTCAAGTTCACTGACAGATCTGGAGCTGGTTGGTGTTTAGTTTCTTGCTCAATGAAACCTCTGGATTTGAGTGGAAACTGTTGAAATATTACCCCTGTGTGTGTGTGTGTGTGTGTGTGTGTGTGTGTGTGTGGTTCCACGTGGGCCCACATTTCCAACAACTTCCTGCAGTTGCCGCCTGGCAGAGACCTCTGAAGGAGTTGAGCAGTCGCTGTCATGTCTTCACCCTCCCACACCACATTCTGAAATACACCATTTTCCGTTATTCGGAACCATAAACAAGATATTGGTCAGTTCTTTGACGGGCCCCCCTCTGACGGCACTCGACACGAGCAGGAGAAGCAGCGGCCTCGTTGGCACCGTCTGCGGTCTCTGCTCTGGTAGGAGAGCGCGATCAAACAACCCCAAGCAATGGTGCTACAACTGAGGTTGTGTCGGGCAGGTCGGCGCTGTCATTTGCACTCGGATCCATCTAGTCTCCTTTTTGATCACTGCAAATTAGACAGTATCTGGACAACTTCGTATTTGTTGTTGTTGTGAGAACTACGACAAGACAAGTGCACGTTGAGCGCCCGGAGCTTGAGGCTGAAGCAGGCGGGTCATTTGATTACTACTCGCAGTATTTGAATCATCTCTGTGGTAGGAATTTAATTTAGTGTACACTTTTTACGCTGTACATCCATTGTAGTCTCTCCATCCCGGGACAGGCATCCCTCCTCTGGTGCTCCCCCCATCAAAGAGGTTTTAATTTCTTGGGGGATTTTCGGGGCAGAGGTGGTTGCATGTGTACAGACCGTAGAGGACTCTGAGGCTAATTTGTAATTTGCAATTTAGGGCGTTACAAAATAAAATGAACTGAATTGAAAAATTCGTCCTGCTACCCGATGGTTCGCACAATCAATACAAATCATAACCCCATTTTTCCAGCATTGATTCAGTTCTCTCCACGCTCAGATAAGTGCGGCATAAACCCTGCAGACGTATGAAAGGATGCAAATGCTCTACAAAGTGTTGATATCATCAGTTCTGTAAAGAGTTGAAGAAGACAAGCAAGGCTCCATAAATACGCTTGAGGTGACGGAAATCACGTTATTGTTAATTTGCAATGAAGTGCTGTAAACCGATCGGTTGTTGTGAATTGAAAACATAATGGTTGCGCCGATCTTCTTCCCTTAATTTAGCCGCCGGTATGGAACCCGTGTGTCAGACGTAACTTCATATAGCGTGACTCATCCTCTGCAGCAGTGAGAGAAAGTATGGAGCTTGGCAGCCTTCGATGTAAATTCTTTTGGCAGAGAGACGCGCACACACACACCCTCCTTGTCTATATAAGTGTTGACACGTCTGCTATGCTGACTTTGATTTTCTGCTGTAGCCTGTTTTTGTTCTCGGCATCAGAAAAAAAATCCTCACGACGGATGCATTATGGGCGCGCTCCCTCTGAGACTATTATTACCCGGCTGCTCTTTTTCTTCTTCAGAAATGGTATGAAATCAGTGTGTTGGTTAAAGCCACAATGTAGCGAGCATGTTTTTGGTTTGAATACACACCATACGTCATAATAGCAGGGCCACATTGTACGCGCACACGGCGGGGGAACGTATCTACTTTGATTGAAGCCGTATTTAATCTGCAGGAATGCATTGTATATCTGAATAGCAGCTGCTGAGCTCTGACGTGTGTGTGTGTGTGTGTGTGTGTGTGTGAATCTGCAGGCAGGAAGCTAACAGATGTGACTGTTCTTCCATTTTGTTCTGTGATTGCCTCCTTGACGGGGATGTGAAGCTCCGTGTGTGCAGAGAGGTCACCGATGACTAAAAAAACCTATTCACGAATCAGGGGAAGAATATGCGTATCGTCTCTTCAACAAGCGCCATTTCTGACAATATTCACGGCAGGCATTTATGCGCAAGACACACTCGCTGTGTGTGCGTTTGTCAGTTTCCTCTGCACAGTAGCAGCTTAACGTTTATTAAAATAGGAAGTGACATTGAGATTAAAAACGTCTTTTACGTGTGAGACTCGGGCAAAAGAAGCAACGCATAACAAGATTATCAGATCACGCCAGTGATCAATAGATATGACCGAAGAAAAGACAACTGCAGCTAGTTTCTAGAAACTTTCTTTAAATTTATTTTGAGAGCCGAACTAAAGATTAGGACAACAATCTAACGTGCTGCACAGGACCTTAAAGGAACAGCGAGGAACATGTATGTGGATTTATTGGCTATTTAAAACTGCTCTTATGAGAGTTACTGAGCTAAAGCTAAGAATCATTGTTTCCTGAGAGCACAGAGAGTTTATATCTGCCGTGCTCCTACTGGAGCTCTGATCGGACACCGCGAGGGCCGACACCCTAACGAACAGGGTCGGTACCCGGACTCTGTGTTATAGGGGCTCTGCGTGTGATTATGAGGTGAGTGTTGATAAGCCCTGACGTTAATAGTGCTATTTATTTGAAATGTTGTGTCTAGTAGTCGCAGTATCAGTTTGAACTTGTGAGCTTCTCAGCTGGCGAGACGAAGCAGCGCTCCTCCCTCTGCCAGAGATGCCTGCAGACCGTGAACCAGCCGCGGAGCAGAGATACACATTTGTGTTCTTCATTCTTTGTGAACCCCACACTGAATGTGAGTTATTTATTTGACATGGTGCATTTGTTTCTAGTGAGCTATGACTTTATTTAGTATCTCTGCTGTTGCCGCAACATTATTTACAAATACCTGTTCTGAATTCATTGGTTTTAAAAAGCAATTATAAGAACGTGGATAGATAAGATAAGTAGTATTTACTAGTAGTAAACGCATCCTAAAGATACCCGTCTCTACATAGCAGCTGCTCGGGTTCCTCAAGACGCCTCAGAATGGAGCGTTCAGTTTGCTGCAATCTGCAATCTCACCACTAGATGCCACTAAATCCTTCACACTGATCTTATAAGAAAAAAGGTGTCACTGCATGAAAATGTCAATTTCTGTATTAGACATCTAATACAGAAATTGACATTTTCATGCAGTGACACCTTTTTTCTTATGAAGGAAAACATACATAGTATATTTTGTTTATTTTCACTGGTTGCATGTAAGACGGGAGTCTCCTGCTCTGGATGCTGTACTTCTGTCTCCAGCTCGATGTGGCGAGGATGAACCGATGGATCCGTAATGGAAATAAGTCCTGCATTTGGTTTTGTGATCCCTGCCAGTTTGTCTGTAACATTTTCCTTTTCTCCACTCCTGTATTTTGAATTTTGTCGTCAGAACAACACCAACTTTACATTCCTTTTTTAATTCAGTTTCAGGCTTTTATGCAGAGTGACTTGGGGGGGGGGTTAATGCTTGGTAGAGGTGTGTTCTGGTTTGCGTACGAAGCTGAATCGGCTTTCTGGTGTCATCGAGGAGCTCATTCCATGATGTAGGAGCCAGCAAACCGTGGAGATGTTGAGTGTTTAGCTCTGTGAGGAAGCAACAAGCCGATTGGCGGATGCGGAGTGAGCAGGCAGGGACGTGCGGTTCCTCCAGGATGTAGACCGGACCCGATCCGTTGGCAGCACGGTAGAACCTTTATAGTATTTTCCTTTTTGTCCTCCAGGATGTTCCAGCAGTGCGAGGAGCCTCGTTTCACCATCGAGCAGATCGACCTCCTCCAGAGGCTAAGGAGGACGGGCATCAGGCAGACGGAGGTCCTCCACGCCCTGGACACGCTGGACCACCTGGACCGCCAACATGGACACAAGCTGACCCATAAGCCTCCTTACGCGCCTCCCTCCTCTTCCTTGTCTTCCTCCAGCGCCGCCGTCGCCTCTTCCTCCATGACCTCCACCTCCACCCAGACAAGTTTCCCCAACAACCGACTCTCGCTGTCACCCAACAGCAACAACTTCGACAACGCCTCCCCGCCTCCGCCGATCCCGGTGGCCTCGCCGGTCGCCATGGCGGCGGTAGTCCAGAACGGCCTGGCCGCCGTCACCAACGGGAAGCTGTCCCCGCCACGGTTTCCCCTCGCCGTGGTTGGCGGCGGCGTGACGGCGCCGGGCTACGGGTTTGAGACCAGTGAAGAGGACCTAGATGTTGATGACAAGGTGGAAGACTTGATGAGGTAAGACCACACCGGACTGGACTTGGACCACGGCCGACAAAGACCAGGAAGAACCAGGGCAGACCGGCCGATTGAAGCACAAAAAAGTGCCCAGAATGTGTTTAAACAGTGAAATGCACTGTTAGTCTACCAGAGTAAGGACAAGTTCCTCAACTGTAGGACATTTCTTCAGTGCATAGACTGTAGGAGTCTGCAAAATGCACACGTCGTTAGTTGGCAGACATTTCCTCAGAGTGCCAACAAACCAAATAATGTTAATGACAAAATCAATAAAATTGAAATTTACGAGCACCAACTAACAGCATTTCCAGCTGTTGGATTACAAACAGACCAGCCGGTTCCCTGATATGATGACTATTGTGATCATTTCTTCTATCAGAAGCGTGCATGTGGCTTTAGAGCCGGCTGGAAGCACAGAGCGGAGACGGCCGGGCCCGATGGTCGTCATCTACGCCTGTAGCTGAGGCATTCGTGGATTAATGGCCGCACAAACACAGCGCTGCACACGCACACACTCACTAGTGCCCCTCATCTGTAGTCTGCAGTCAGACAGCAGCAATCAGAGTGGTATTGATTTGAGGGTGTGAAGATGAAATCGGAGCAGAAAGCGGCAAATATTACAGCAGCGTCTGGGCCCCTGATGCCTGCATATATTCAGCCTCAGCAGCCGCTGCCATGAATGTGTGTGTGTGTTTTGAGCGTTCGCTGTGTGTAATGTCGGATAGTACTTTTCTTGGTAAAACAGTAGACCCCCCCCCCTCCCCCTCCCCCTCTGCTTGTAGGAGGGACAGTGCTATGATCAAAGAGGAGATCAAGTGCTTCCTGGCGAACAGGCGGATCTCGCAGGCCGTGGTCGCTCAGGTGACGGGTGAGTGTCGGCGTCCTCCTCGCTCTGCCCAGGCGACACCGCGTAGCCACGAGAGAGAGTTGACCTGCCTCCTGACCGTACAGATCTCTCCCCTGCTCCCCCCTCCAGGGATCAGTCAGAGCCGGATCTCCCACTGGCTCCTGCAGCAGGGATCGGACCTCAGCGAGCAGAAGAAACGGGCCTTCTTTCGCTGGTACCAGCTGGAGAAGTCCAACCCCGGTAACGCCACCCTCCGCCTTGTAAAAGAAAAACGCTGTCAATAACCAGCTGCAATGGCACGTAGCGTTCCCGTAACGCTGACTGAGCCGAAATCAACCCATTCGGACTTAGGAGGACAATCCCCGCTAGGACGGAGCGGGGACGGCTCGTTATCTGTCCGACGCACGTTGTGATCAGGACCACGGGCGCCTCCAGGCAGAGCGCTCCGATACGCCAGAGCAGAGAACACAATGGCACCTCCGTTCATTGGTATTCGTGGCTGTGGTTCCGGCATGAACGAGGAGGGGCGAGTCCCTCGGGTTTGGCAGCGGAGGACGGGCTCCCGGCGCGTCGGAGAGCTGCACATAAATCGCAATCAAAGAGTGCGTCCTGACAGAAAAGGAAGCCGTGGGACGTGTGTGCGTTTTCTATGGGCTTCTTGAGACGTCCCCCGGTTACAGGAACAAGAGGCTGTTGGCTGTTTTCCTACGATTGAACAATGACCACATTGTTTAAGTCGCGACCAACACGGTGGAATGCGCGAAGAAACAAGAGCAGTCTGGTCGTGGCTGTTGGGACATTGTAAATAATGTCCTGTCTTAGTCACAGTACTCGAGCTACACTGTGTCCCCAAAGGGTCTGTGACCTCGCGTGCTGTCCTCTGAACAGATATCATGCATGTTCTCGCACGCATTGTGTTTTAACTCTTCTCTGTAAACAAATAGTAAAGATGATTTGTAAGTCGGTCTCAGAGGAATTATATGGTGCTAAATGTTAGTAAGATAAACAAGAGTCTTCTTAATCTTAATTCATTACTTTTTGTCATCGCGACCTCATGATGCCGTGTACACGTGCCAAAGGGACATGGCAAGTTTTAAATACACTCTAATTACGTTCCTCCACCTAAAGTTCTATGTAAAATAGTGTAACGCTGAATGGAAAACTGCTGATTTGTCGTCGCATTTGTCGTGCCTGACACGCGTTTGTGCCTCCAGGTGCCACTCTGGCCATGCGAGCCGCCCCATTGGCCCCATTGGCCCTGGAGGACGTCATGGACTGGCAGCAAGCCCCGCCTCCGCTCGGTTCGCCCCCCGGGGGCTTTCGTCTGCGGCGCGGGAGCAGGTTCACCTGGAGGAAGGAGTGCCTGGCCGTCATGGAGAGGTGAGGGGGAGCTGTGACACAGTGTGGTGTTTATTTGGCTTTGCGGTTACAACATTGTGTGTGTTTGTGTGTCTACGCACAGCTACTTCATTGACAACCAGTACCCAGATGAATCGAAGAGAGAGGAGATCGCCACCGCCTGCAACGCCGTCATTCAGAAACCAGGTCGGTCAATTCACAGCGGGTTGACTTGGGCTCAAATGATAAATAGTGTACATTTTGATTTCTTGTTTAAAAAAATAGTTTTAGTCTTTGCCTTTTGGCAACGTAGCTGAGACAGAGACCTCCCTGTGAGTCTCACGGTTCTCTGTGATGGCCGAGGGGAAATAAATGACGGGACTGAGACACAACAGAGTCCACTTATCAAGACTGTTAACTGGCATCCGGTGGACGTGGTGAGCTTATGTAGTTCTGAGTGATGTGGTTTTATCAGTTGACTTATTTGTCTTTGACTTTGTTGCAACAAGACAAATAAAAAAGATACCAAAGTAACTGTTGCATCATCGCACAAAACTAAACGCCTTTAAAAAAAAAGTAGCTCTGATGTCCAGAGGACGAATGTTTCCTTTATAAAACCGCTACATATATATAATATTATACAGAATTCATCTCTTTAATGAGTTTGTTTATATACTTGTACAGTTTTTATAACACTGTAAGAATACGTGTTCAAGAATTGGAGCCTGGTCGGGGAACGACTTTATTTGTCAGATCACAGGTCAAGTATCAGCGCTGCGTTTGCAAAGGCAGGAGCAGTTCAGGCAGCACACAGGCCGGAAGAACAACTCACTAACATCAGCAGGAACATCATGTTTTATAACCCTTGAAAGACAGAGAAGGAAAGATTTCTATTGGCCCTAAATTGGCGTAGAGGAGGACCTTCCACCCCCCGCATCTAAAGATCCGGTCACATCCAATGTCCAGACTCCTGACTTAACGTAAACATCGTAAACAGAGTGTGTATGTTGAATAGTGTTGGTGTGTCTCTAACCCCCCTTTGGCTGGTAAATCTTCTAGTTGACCCGCAGACCTTACATTCCTCAGCCAGGACATAAACTGACTCCCCATCCTGTCAGACTCGTGTCTGCCTGCTTGGCAGATCCTGCTTCCCCCCTTACCTAACTCTTAAATCAAGACAAGACAGCAAACCCCCAACTAAGCCCATGAAAAGAACTTTTGATTATCAACACCCCCTCCCCCATTCCAAAAAGAAATTGTTTTTTTTGCCATATGCCAAAATGATGGAAAATGTCCGTTGAAGAAGCACCAGCGTTGCTTCTTGATTCAGAAAATGCAGCATCATCAGATATCTGTCAGAGTGAGAACCTCGCATTGCCGCGAAGAGACTTTCTGACCAGTGAAGTTAGATACGCTTGAATGAGCCTTCAAAAACACTCTGAGGGCGAGAATGAAGCGCGTGTGTGTGTGTGTGTGTCTTGCAGGAAAGAAGCTGTCTGATCTGGAGAGGGTTACGTCTCTGAAGGTCTACAACTGGTTTGCCAACCGCCGCAAAGACATCAAGAGGCGCGCCAACATTGGTAATGTCTATCCCTGTCTTTGTGTGTGTGTGTGTTGGTGGTTCTACTCCCAATATGACCCAGTGTGACCAAAGACCTTAACATGAAGCAGGTCAAAGGTCGATGCGTGTTACCCTCACGCACACAAAAGGGCTTTCACGTACTACGCGTAGGCATCGACACACCGCTGCTGCTGCTGTTGTATTTTCACGCACCGCAACATCAGCGGCGCCGGCGTGCCGCACGTCCTTCTTCTTCACCTAGCGTGCCGCTTGAGGTCGATATGCTATGATGAGGTTTGTGTTTTTGAAGAAGCAGCCATCTTGGAGAGCCACGGCATCGAGGTTCAGAGTCCAGGCGGTCAGTCCAACAGCGACGAGGTGGACGGCAACGACTTCCCTGACCAGGTAAACCCAACGGGTGTTTTTTTTTTTTTTTTTTTTTTTTGTAGGCTTTGGGAAAGTAAACTGATGGAGTAAAAGGTAAGAAACAATCTGTTTTGAATCCACTGAAAAACCTGTTTGGCCCTTACATTGAGTCCCATATTTGACTGATGGTGTCACCGTTGCCGTGGACGACCTGGTTATTGGTAAACCTGCGTGCTGCTCTGTCACAGGGTTGCGAGGTGTCCTTATTTGACAAGAGAGCTTCAGCCAAGCAGTTTGGTTTCAGTCGCGCTGACCTGACCTCTCCGACCCAGGTACACACACACACACACACACACACACACACACACACACACACACACACACACACACACACAGTCTCTCCGCTGCAACTGATTCATTTCCCTAATTGATTCCCTCCACGCTCAGGTACCCACGCTGCTCCCCAGCTGGTTTTCCGTGCTGAGCAGAGGGGGCTTGTCTGGACAGCGGGGCACATCTCTGATTGGCCGCTCCCTGGTGTCAGGGGCGGGCCCCCAGGCGGAAGGTTCCAGATTGACGGGCGCCTCCTGGTCTCCCCCGTCGCCCTCCCTGCAGGACGAGCCCACCGTACACAGCGCACTGTCCGAGCCCCAGGACCCGATCGGTTTGGAGAAGGCGGCTGTCAATCACGGCAGCCACGCCCTGGCCAATCAGGCGGAAGGGGCGGGGCGCAATATCAGGAATGAGATCAAGACGGAAACGCTAGAGGACGACTGAAACGGGCCTCTGACGTCGAGTTGTCATAAGGATGAATGAAGCGGGATCAGAGGTGTGTTAATATGCAAGCAGATTTTATAGGAATGTAATAAGTGGGGGAAAAAAAAGACCAAAAGTCGTGTAAAATCCAACCCTGAGATACCTCCCAACCCTACCTCCAACCACCAACCTGCTCCGCTACGCCCGTATAGGGATTACTGGTATATTATGATGATAACAATAAGCTTTTACTTCTTAAAGTGCTCCCCAGCAGGTCGTGGAAGGTTAAAAATGCCCAAATCAAACCAAAAAAAGGTAAAATTTATAATGACCCAAGTACACGTCCACTTCTTTGTAGATTTGTTTTGGGCATTTTAAGCCCTCCGTAGGGACAGGATGCGTCGTGCAAGCTCCTGGTGAAGCTGCGTTCGTCGCGGCAGGACAACACTGTAACTGACACGGGGCGCACTGTGATCACAACTGAACAGCCTCAGATTATCGCTGATTCAGTTTCTAATGTTTGCTGTTGGTTCCTTCTCGTGTGAAGAAGAGCAGAATAAGCTCTCGGGGCTCTCGGCACGTAGGTGATATTTCCAGTGGGCCCACGATGATTTGAGATTTAGAAAACGGAAACATAGGGAAATGACCCGACACCCCCCCCCCCTCCTCCTGGTAGAATAAGCTCAAAGTATGGAAGCAAAAAGACCTCGTTGTTGAAAATTTAAATGTAAAAACTACATGAACTTCAGAGGTTACATTGATCCCATCTGGGATTTGTTGCTTATTTAAACATTGTTTTGTTCAGCCATTTTAGTTTATTTGGTTATTTTGATCTGAGATGTTTTGCACACAACTTTAAATTGCAAAGAGGAGTTTAAACCACAAACGGGTGGTTATCTAAATAAAATATTATACAAATAATATACATGTAATAGTATTTAAAATATGATGTATTTAGTAGAGATTTTACAATTAGGCATTCAGTTGCTTAAATCTCAATCGCATCTCTGTTTCCACATGTACACGTTATACAAAACAAGTTGCTCAATACACAAAACGTTACACCGATCTGTTGTTAATCTGTGGTCAGGCATAACGAATGATTAGTGTAAGATAATCTATAATCACCACAGGTCACTCAGTTGGGAAGCATCCAACAGCGGAAGAGCACTGTTTGGATACAGCAGGTCAAAGTGTAACGTGAATACATGCATGTACTCCACGTGCGTGTGTGTGTTCAGATACAGTATGTTATATAAACGTGGGGTCGCCCCATTTCTATTTACAGTATATAGACCTATCCGCTCCAGATGAGAGGAAGCATCCGCGTGAGTCTGTCTCGTCTATGGAAGGTGAATGACGCATTAGCCAAAGTATTAAGTTGTTAATTTTGCGTATTTTCTGAGTGTGTGCGATGTGTGTTAGACATGCCAATCAAAGATGCATCAGATGTGTCAAACTATTGGCAGGAAATGCATTTCCGTGTTTGTGCTCGATTATGCCGTGTGTTCTAAACACATGTGGTCCAGTTTAAATTGTATCTTCATTTCAAACGACACTTTATCGGATCGATATCATGGTGCTCAGAGTCCCTGCTGTTTAAACATTTACCTGAACGGCGTGAATGAGTGACAGACCGGAGCGAGGATGATTCCCTGGAAACAACAAACAAACGAGTCAATTCCAGAAATATTTATCGCCGTACGGCCGTTGTGGAAGTCGTCTTAACAAGGACTGTGCTTTTAAATCACTTTGCACAGGCAGTACTTAATTCACTGGCTCATCTGGTCACCAGTGGTCACCGCGTGGTAACCGGTCATCAGGAACCAACTGCGCCGAACCCGGAGGAGAATGTCTCTTATCTGCCGACATTAGTCACGGACCGTGTGAGCTTTGTGTGTTTGTTGCAAGTAGTGTACGGCGTGCAACACAGGAGGGCAACGACTTATAGCGAGGGGGGAGTTTGTGTGTGTCCGCCCGCCAAACACAGCCATGTTCCATAGCATCACCTTCCGGTTGTCGGAGGTGACGGCGTGCGGGCCTCCTGGTGTCCTGCAGCGTGCAGCATCCAAACTACTGCAGCAGGATGCGAGATTTAGCCGACCAAGCACGTTCTTGTCCGCGGGATTCTATTCGTAAGCGTAGATTTTTAACGTTACCAGAAGTTAACGCTCAGGTTACCCTGAATAAATTCCAGACTTTGAGACGTTGAGTGTTTGCATAAGTGTAGTTCCGTGACTTTTAGGTGACACATTAACACCTGCCACACGAAAGCAGGCGACCCAGCCAAGCAGAATAATGAGTCAGTAAATCGTTTGATAACACGTGATCTGCAGCGTGTGGTTTGAAGGTAAAGTGCCTTATTTATTTAGTGTGCATCGACACATGAGGGGCTTCCACAACGGCCGTACATTCATCACTGTACCAGAACGCGACGCAGGAACCGTGGCCTCACTCAAAGCGGCGCGTCGGTTCGTCACCAGGTGCTTCGCAGGCTCAGCTACTAGTTCAGAGTTTAACAGACTCAACACAAATACCTCACGTGGCCCCGCTCAGCTATAAGCTACACCCCGCAGGTTCCTCCACAGCTGCTTCAATGTGAATCAAAGCGCAGAGGTCGCCGCAGAGGTCACCGCAGAGACCTCTCGCTGGCTGATCTTGGGTCAGAAATGTCGGCGTCCTCTGAAAAGGGAAATTCCTTCTTGAACTTGAGCCAATGGATATTAAGTTTAAACATAAAGGGAAGTTCCACTCCAGGGAAAAGGATATCATCCATGAGCTCATGCTTCCACCAAGTCCAAGAAATACTTAAAATACTTTATTATATACACTTATTATATAGTGGGAAATGCCAACACAACTCTTCAGTGTTGTTTTTTTTAGATTGAGCGACATTGAGGATTAAAGTTGTCTTTTATTCGTACGGCAGCACAGCTGTCCCAGGTGTCTTTTGCTTTAAGCGTTTGTAGAACTCCTCAGTTCTTCGGTGATGTATCGTTCTGTTTATTTGAATTATGTACACCAAAATATTCAACATACTTCTGAGGGTTAGGGCTTTTATTTTGAAATCTGCCGAGCAGAAGCCTTTCTGAGGTGAATCTTTGGGTTCATTTAAGACGATTTGCTGTTTTGAGATTATTTCAGGATTTAAAAGCATTTCAGTTGCTGTCTTCATGATCTCCTGTAAAATGAAAAATTAGCTTTTTTGTGCAATTTGTCATTTTAAGAGCCAAAACACCTGGAAGGAAAAAGGAAAACAAACTAATTCAAATTATTCCAAAAAGTCGTTAAAAATGGAAAAAAACCCCTCAAACCTGCGATCGAGTTTTTTTGATTGGACTTCATTTCCTTCACTTTGACACTAAACTGGCTCCGTACTTTTACCTTTACAAAAGTGTTTTGTGATCATAATCAACGTGAAACGCTTCACAAGTCAAATTGATCATGAAACACAGTAAATGGCCTTTTTCCTTTCTTCCATAAACACGACTTGCTCTTCCAGTTAGATTCCGCACTTTGTTTCTGACCTCGCTGATGGCGACACGTCGGGTCTCTGTTGCTTTTTAACGCAGTTCCATCAGCTGCCTTCAGCCCTGCGGTGCCTCGCGGTTTGGTTTAGTAAAGGCTCGGCTTCCGTTCGCAGAAAAAGCAGCTGATGTTTCAGAAGCCTTTTGACATTGTCTTTCTCCCGCGAGTCCACCTGCCTGCAGCGAGACCGAGCAGTGGATTGGATCGGTTCGGCGGCCTGTGGGTGCACGCCGACCCGATCTGATCCGAGGTCTGCTGTTGGAACTAAAGGAACGGGCCGATGGTGGATCCTTCAGTCAGTTCACACCTCAGGACTGAATGGAAACAGGAGATGCCGCGAGACATTTGCAGTTTCTCCAATGCTGTTTTTAATGGAGGTGAAAGAATTCATCATGAAATGTATAATGTACCAGTCGTAATGTCCTCATTAAATCAGCCGATGGCTGAATATATATATATATATATATATACAGACACACACACACACTACTTTAAAAAGAATGGTTCCATTTTATCAGTCATGTAAAAAAGTGTTTTCCATTTCATTTCGGCAATAAAGTATTGAATAATTCTCCTTTAAGAATGACAAATATCAAACCTCAGCAGGACGTTTGTTGTATCGCTTTGACTTGATTTTTATCCCATTGTTCTTTTCTATTTCAAGATTTAGTGCCTTTTTTGGACAGTAGACTGTTCTGTACTCGCTATGTAGACGATCTACATAATGCCTTTTGTTACTTTCATCTGGTGGATAAACCTGATTTGTTTTTAAAAAGGTGTTTTTATTAATATTCTATTTACAAGGGAATAAACAGTGATCAGAGTCCTTGCAGTGTCTTGTTTTTGTGTGTGGTCAAGTTACCGTAATCTGTCCCTGAATCTGTTCACATCAAATCTGGATTTCTGAAAAAGAAAAAACACATTTTAACAAGTGAAATCCCCCAAACTGTTATAACCAGTTTGCAGCTTCCATCTGTATCACGAGATGCGTCTCCATGACAACGGAGCAGACTTCATCCACTGATGAAGAGTGATTGTTACAATATAGTCTGAGGTGAAGACCTTTGGTGAAAGGCGGTTTCCTTTCCTCTTAAAATGTGTAGTTTAATGTTATTTTGGTAAAGTTAAACTCCACACGCACATTTACTCCAACGTGATGTTGGTCAGGTGCGAATAAACAGTCACACGTTTATTCTTCCTTTTTCATTTTTTTATTACCAGATGATCGGAAGAAAATCAAATGTATTATAATACATGTTTATTCTTTGGATTGCAGCATAGAATTACATAAAACAATTAAATTAATCAAAACTTGTGCTCAGATTTGTCTTTTTATAAGTTGTAATATGCGCGCACACACACACAAATGACACATGAAGCCGGCCGCCACAGAACGAGTGACGGGCAGCTGATGATGCAGTGCTCCTCTCATCTCCCATCACTACTCCGCTCAGTTAAACACGGCTGTTGGTACCTTGGAAACGTCAATGCAACATTCATACCAACTGCCTTTTTAAAAAAAACGAATGCAGCATGACGAGATGTCGTATCTGAATCCACGGCTGTTGGAATAAATCGGTTATTGCTTGATGACAAAAAAACGAATCTGCCAGAAGGCGACAGTGAGCTTGCTCGTCTGGTTTATTGTAGTAAGAGAACACAGAGCGGTGAACTGGAAGCAGGATGAAACTGTCAGCAGAAACAAGAGGTTGGCAGAACAGAGGTAGTAAATTTGAACAAAGGCAGGAAAGTGTGTTGTAGTGCCCGAAAACACTGAAATGAATAAAATCCAGCAAACTACTTTTCTGCAGGTAAAATGTTTTTAAAAACTGATCTGATGATCAGCAGCCGTCACTGCTGTACGGCGGCGGCTTGTTAAATCCAGAAATTTCTGAGGATTTTATGGTGATTTAGAAAATTCCCTGTTTGGAAGTCCGGCCCCTCCAGCAAGGCAGTAGCACAGGAGCTCAGTCTGGAGTCCCTTGGATCTCTTAAAAACCGGACAGCAGCTGTGAGCAAAGCAGAAGGCTTGTACATCCTTTTGGAATGAATGGTGAGTTTGGTAGTGCAGCCGGGACGTCCTCCGCTGGGGAGCAGGCGGGCTGCAGGCTGAAGGCCACGTCGGGGCACAGGAAGCGGAGGCAACACAGATATGGACCCAATTCGGAGCAAAAAAAGCATTGAACACAAGAAAAAGAAGGCAACAAAAAGGCAACAGAAAAAAAACATTCAGAGTTGAAGATTTAAACAGATAAATATGAATATGCTGGAACACAGATGGTATCAGTACAAACAGAACTGCTTGATACAGTCACATAAATAACACTTCTGGCTTTGTTCTAATCTCTACAGCGGCAGACATGGAGGCCACTGGATTACAAGCTACAACGTGAAATCCATTCGGAGCAAAACAGTGATCTCCAAAGCTCGTTCGCTTTGCTTTTTACAGTTCCTCATTGAAATGGCCGCCGGGCACCAGGCAGCTCGCGCGCTTTATCTTCACGTCAGCGTCACGCATAATCTGAGCGTGCTGCGCTGCAGAGGAAGATGTGCGCCGGAGGAAAAGATGTTCCGGTTGTGACCGAGCCGCTTGTCACCGCCGCTCTGCTGTCACATTGAATAATATCGCTCTGAATGTCACCAAGCGTCGCACACGGACGAGAAATGTCGCCGGGCAGCGGGCGATCAAATAGGGCAGAAGAATATTGAATTTGAGTGGAAACATTTGAACAATTTCGGTGCATTCAAAAAGAAGAGGTCATAAAGTGAGACCAGGTTGCCTTTAACAAATAATCCCAGATAAATAAAAAAAATGTATTATTTCCTCCGGGGGGGCTTTGTGCAAATTAACTTGAGCTTCATCGATATGAAAAACGGGTGCGGGAGACACTAGGTCACATGGTTCCTGAGACACAACACACATACGGGGCCTTGGCCAGAGCTCGCAGACGTAACTGAATCACAGCCAGGTCCTCCCAACAATCTCACACACGCAAACACACAGAAAAAGACAACTGCCCTCCAGTCCTTCGTTACCACATGTTGCTGTTCTGAACCACAATAAGATCAAATAAACACAAGTCCAACCTGCGCGAGCCTTCACCGCCGCCAGCTAACAACATACCACACAACCAACCACAGGCCTCGATACTACATACACAGCTTAGAACTGAACGTTACACTTCCTCCCCAGAGGGAATCCTCCCCCAGGATAAATGACCACCTTTCACTCCCAGATCATCTTCAAGGGTCTCATTTTTCAGCTTTTTTTTTAACCGCTTGATATTAAAAACTGAACCAAAACGCTGACCTTAAGTTTCTCCGTGTGAATTAAAAAAAGAAAGAAAAGAAATCTAGTATACAGTAAGAGATACAGAGTGTTAGATTAATCCACCGATCCATTTACGGGTAGATTTACAATGCTAATAGCAGCAATTTCAATTGAATCATTTGTGCAATATTTATTAAAATAAAAAGGCGTTTATCCATTTTCATGCGATAAATGCATGTGTACAAGCATTTAAATATAAATAGTAAATTCAGGCCTCTTGAATAAAGAAGACGTATGATAAAACATGTTGTATCCATTAAAGATGATACGTGTTGGAACATACTGGGCGTGTTTACACACATACATAAGCATCATCCCAACAGAAAGCTCCAGAGACTCCCTGGTACACACGGATGTCACCATAGAAACCGTGCTTAATGGCATATTCAGGATAGTCGTTAACAAACATGGTACTAAAGTAACAAAGTGATGCTGATCCCGATGAAGATGAAATATTACTTTTCCATCATAAAATACTCACTTGTAGAGACGGCATCGCTCCGACTCGAACCAGAGACAGTCTAGTTTACCAAAGAGGACAACGCTCCCTCTCACACTGCAGGAAGACAGAAGACATGAAACACCCCCTTTCACAATCTCGCTAGTCATGACCAGTGAGCTAAAATGAGAGGAGTTCCCCTTCAACTTGTGGAAAAGTACCAGCTGCACATGTACACAGTCTGTCCACGTTCCTCAGGAATTGATGGTAGACATAAAGTCTGACACACTACTGCGTTTTACTGCTAATGCTTTTCCAAGAACGAACCCACAGAGAATAAAGTCACTGGCAAATGTGAAGCGTCTCCCCGGAATCTGATGTTCAATAGGAAAATATATATTGCTTTCATCTTAAAAGTCTGCCACATCATCTTTGCAGACGTGCCAGGAGTGTGAACTGCTCCCTTGTTTCCAACGTGCAGCTCCTCCCCCACTTATTGTTCCCCCATTTAGAGACAAAGCTGAACAAAAAAGAAAAAAAGGAGAAAACACGAGGCTTTTAAAAACAGATGAAATGCATAGAAGCAAATCGATTCTCTTCCCGGGCAAAATACCCAGCAGAGCTCCTGCGTGTCTGCATCACTTTCTTCCCCTCAACACATCCACATTCCTCCTCCCACCGGCCGCCTGCAGCTGCTGCAGCGCCCCCTGGTGTCCACACGTCAGTCACAGAGGACGACGCGCACCGGCTTCCATCACAGACATCCACATTGAGAAAGTTCTCCTGCCTCTGCACGCCGCCACCTCAGACACATACGGATGCTTCTCAAACAACTTCTCCAGTGCAAAAATAGACTTTTAAAGCCTCCCAGTACGAGCAACATGCCTCCTTAGTGGCTTTGTCCCACTAAAGGACACACCTTTTCCAGCTTTACACACAGTCTTCAACACTGACGAATACAACTAAATTTGTGCACGCAGGGCAACACTTTACAACATTTACACACACACACACACACACACACACACACACACACACACACACACACACACACACACAAACACACACACACACACACACACACACACCTCTGCGGTCCCTGAGATCACCTCACACTTAGCACAAGGCATTCTCTTGAGACACAAACGCAGCCAACAGAAAGGAAATAAAGAGTAAATACAAATGCAAACCAAGCCGTGGTGAAGGCACATTCTGGGAGGATCCATCCTCGACAGAAAAGAAGTCCGGAAAGGAGGAGACGAGACCAAGTGTTCAGCCCGAAGACGAATAGTGTTCAGGGGAGCGGCAGTCGGAGCAGAGGATTCTGGGACATGGCGACCAGGTGGAGACGTCATATCCAGGGATGCAAACACACAGCGTGATGCATTACTAGCAGTTTCAGTTTGTCACTCTGACCCCAAATTTAAAAAGAAATGAAAAAAAAAAAACTCTAAATTGAACATTTTTGTTTCCTCATTCACAAAAGCACATGATAGTGAGACGCGAGAGGTTTCAATAAAATGTCCGACTACTAATAACTTATTGTGAATGGTGGATGCATGTGGTCAAAATTAGCCATTGATAATAATCGCCGGCCTCCGAGTGGAATCACTACAAGTGTTTTGTCTGCACTTCACGTTTAAATATACAACTTCAGAAGTGAGCTGGGATCAAAAAGTGACCCGTTTGCATCTCGTGTATCAGCTCAGAATGCACGTCTGAGGGGAACGACGCCGCAGCGCTCTGACCCGCTCAGTCCGACAAAGTGTGCACTGACTTCCATTCCCCCCCAGCAGCCTTCCCATCGACCGCCAGCCATTAAGCATCATCTTGATAAAACAGTCCTTCCACTTGTGAGTACTCTGCATAGTCTTTCATCCACTTGCTTGCATTCGTCCTGAGCGGCCTCGGCATCGTCTCTATTCTACATACGCTACGCGTGAACGGATGTAGTGAGCATATTGTTAAACAACAGGAGGGTAGGCAGTGTTTTAGATGTTTGAGCCCGTTGTAAAGCTGGGAGGGAGGGGGAGGCGGGGGTCTGTGGGGGAGTTCACCTCTCCCACCCGGCTCATACTCTCCTCTGCCTCAACTGCTCCAGGACTTGCGGTTCTCCGCATGGCGGGCGACAATGGCTTCTCCTCGCAACACGGGGACATGGGCGGGAGCAGTGGAGTCTCCCGTGCGGCGGCTGGTCCGATCGCGGCGGGACAGCCGGTCCGGGCGAACGAGAACCCCGTAGCCCGGTTTGCAGTGGAAGTACCGATGACCTCCGACCGAACCGTCATTTTTACCTGCGGGCGGAAGAATAAAGACGGCCATCAGCTCCACTCGGACGGGATATGGAAGTCTGCCGTGGTCAGCTCCCACTAATCAAAGGCAGCAAGGGAGCCGATCAAAAGTCGGCCACCTGAACACATCCTGTTGCTTGAGGAAGTGTGTGTGTGTGTGTGTGTGTGTGTGTGCGTGTGCGCGTAGTGGCCCTTTGATTGTGTACTTACCTACAGGGGTGTCCAGCTCCACCCCCACCCACACGCCTCCAGCAAACTGCGTCAGTCCCACGTAACGCACCGTCCCGGCCTTATTGCTCCCTACTGTAACATACGCCCCTTCTGTCAGCCAATCAGGCAGCACGTCATCATGGCCGTGCTCGTCATCGTCCATGAAGATCTCCAGCCTCTCAAAGCCTCCTCCTCCTTCGGAGTTGACCAGCTTGTGTTCAGAGACGGAGTTTTCCGCAGTGCCGTTGTTGTGATTGGCCGAGGCGTGCGAGGTGGGTGGAGCGACGGCGGTCATGGTGCCACACTGGGGAGGAGAGGTTACAACAGCGCTCCTGTCAGCACCCTGCTGCGGGGGGATTGTGGGTAACGCAGCCTCTGCAGCCAGGAGGGAGGAAGACGAGGAAGAGGGCTGCAGGACGTCGGACAGGGTAACCGTAGAAACACTACTGGAGAAGTAGCCGCTCGACGACTGGCTGAGGGGGCTGAGGGGGGTGATGTCATGCGGGTCATGCACAGGAAGAGGAGGGACTTCTGGGAACTCTGCCCGTCTGTCTTTGGCTGGGGGCCGTAGAACTGCAGTCTACAGGACACCAACGGTTGCCACGGGAACATGGGGACAGACAAGAGCATGCAAGATAAATCGACAGAACAACAATCATAATCAACTTCCTCAAAACATGTCAGTCACCCTCTGGACCAATCAGGTGCTCTTAAATCTCGGGTCTGTGCAGCATGAAAACATTGACAGCCACAATAACGGATAAACTCTTTAAAAAAAGGTCTTCAGACACACTGATGAACGGCAAACTGCACCCGGAACCAATAAGGACGCACAGAACAGTTAGTTGAAGGGTTTTTCCAACAAACTGGGGGAGGGGCCTTTATTAAGACCTGAGCATTTTCCAGACAGAGGGTCCAGCAGACAGCTGATTTGTCTGCATTACTGGAGGTGTATGATCCAGTGTAGGCCGCACTGTGGACTGAAATAAAGGATTATCTCAGCCTTTGCTGATTCATCGCCTCTGTCACTCCCCTGATATTTATAGGGGGGGGTAATAAATAGCTGCAGCCCTTTGACGCAGTGTGCCAGCAGACAACTTAATGTCCAGAGTGCCCCAGATTGCGATTGAATGCAGTTGTGTGAAGCTGGAAGAGGACTGCGTATTAGATGCTTATCCCACAGACCAATAATTCCATACAAGTAAACAAAAAGCTAAAGATGTTTGTAGCATTTTTACACAAAACAGCTTCAGATTTTGAGAATGTGAATCACATCTGAGCGACAGGGGACCTAACAACAAAAACTGGTGAGGCGGGGGCCCAGAACCCATCTCACCGTGTCCGCCTTGACTCGAATGTCGTCCCCACCAGACGCCACGATGCGAGGGACGGGCTGCCAAGTAACAACAAACAGGGTCATTCCTGGACAGCCCCCGTACAACACATCTTATTACCAGTCTCACATAATTTACCATTAATGAAATTTTTATGTCATGGAGGGGGAGGGTTGGTTTTCCCATCCACACGGTAAGAGCTGAGTTCTGCTGCCCTGCTGTTTCTGTGGAGACGGTTTCAGCTCCTTCTTTTCGTCCCGCGCGGAAAACAGAGACTTGAGCAGTTTGGGCATCTGAGGAACGAGCCCCTTAACTGAAAGATAAGAGGCAGCAAGTCCTGAACGACCTGGGGGAGGGAGGGGGGGGGGGGTGAGAGGGGGAGAGGAGCGAGGGAAAAGGAGCAGGTGTGGGAGGTAGAGGAGGTGTAAAAGGTTGAGATAAGAAAGTTGAAAGTGGGTCCAGGAGATGGCAAACCCCCCAAAAAACAAAGTGATAGACAGAAGAAGACATAAGCCAGTAATGCGACACACCGACGGTTGATTTGACAATAACAAGGGTGATTAAAAAATAACTACTACTACAAAGATTAATTCCAATCATTTCATGAACGGAATTAATTAAAAGCAGGCCACGATAACATCAATTCTGATTTTGACAAGAAATCACTATGAGGCAGAATACAGTCTGATGACACTGAAAAGCTTTGGCAATGACCACGAGAGAGAGAAGCTGCATGGATGGAAGGGGCACTGGAAGGAAGAACGTAGGAATAGACACTCCACCTTAGATGTCAATGTTGCAAAAAGGAACATTGAGAGCCGTCCTTTAAAAAAGACTTGACACACACACACGGAGTGGGAATCAGCATGTAGAAGTAGTGGATGAACCCGTTTAGGAGCGGTAAGAGGTACCAGAGGGAAAGTTGGGGTGTAACGGAAAAGTTCCAAGGGGCACATGGTGAGGAGAGTAGAGGCAGAGGAGAGGGAGGGGGGAGCTGGGGGGGGGGGTGGTTACCTTGCTCAGGCTCCTGGTTCTGCGGGGGCGAAATGCCAAAGGGAGTCGGGGACGAAGACGGGGAGGTGGAGTAGGTGGAAGGGGAGGAGGCGGGCCGGGGGAGGGTGCGGGAAAACTGAGACGGCATGAAGATGTCCTGCTGACTCTCCCATCGGCCCTGAGAAACAGACAAAGATGGCAGCACATCACTCTGACCGGCCGTTGCTGAGAAGAGTCAACGTGTAAAGGCATCAAGCGAACAGTGTGTTACCTTGTCCTCCAGGCAGGTCGTGGACAAGTCTTGTCTACTGCCAGACAGCTGAGGATGAATGGACACAGAGAGAAAGCATATTACATGTAATCAGATCATATTGTACCGTTTTGCATCGCAGAGTGCACATTAGAAATAGAACTGCATTTGTGTTTTACCCTGTGGACAGAAGGAGAACTGATGCTCCGTCTGTTGCTCTTCCCTCTGTTAGTCAGTTGCTCCTTCACTGCCACCTCCTAAAAACACATGCAGACACAGCACATTCCAACATATTACAAAGTCCTTGAAAATGATTTAAATAACTAAACCAGTTGTCTTGCTATGCTATCGATCAGTAGATTCAACTTCAATCGTCTTCTGTATCTACCAGCGTCTTCCCCCACCTGTCGGAGCCGATCCAGAGTCAAGATGTTCTCCAGGCTGAGGACACTGCGGAGGTATTTCTCGATGGCGGCCTCGTCATCGCCTGACTGGCTGTTGTGTGCGCTGGCGGCGAGGTTGGCCAGCATCTCCCTGTCCTCTGAGCCAGGGGCGTCCTGATGGGACAGAAACGTCATCAGAGATTCGGGATAAATGATGCGCCCGTCCAACAGCCTCAGGCTGATATGTCCCTTACCCCGGGGATGTTGGAGACCACCTCGAAGGTGACCCCGCAGCCAGGTATGGTGCTGCGGGTGGACATCCTTCGGAGGAAGTTGTGTGCAAAGCCCTGGCGCCCCGGGTTCACGTTGACGCAGATCCTCTTCCTCAGGACCAGCTGCATGTCGGCGGGGTGGCTGAGCTGCACCACCACTCGAACAGTCAGGTACACCCGGTGCTCCGGCCACGCCCCCCCACGACTGAGCTGGGGACTCTCGTGGACGGTAGAGTCCCATGATGCCTCTGCTTTGACCTGCAGTGGGGGGGTCGACAAACGCACTTGGTTATAATGACACGGTTTCCTGAAAGGGACGTCTTCAGAGGGGAAGTCCCTTGGGGGTCTCGCATCCCCACCTCTCCGTCGTAGTGTTTGACGATCTGGAGGTCAAAGAAGTCGTCCTCGTCCTCTCCACTGAGCGTGGCGTCCCAGCCTCCGGCCTCAGGAACCTCAAACTGCTCTTGAGAGCTGAGGTCATCAGCTGAGGGGATAACCAGCGAGAAACTTCGCATATTAGCCAGTGAGGAGAAATAAATAGCGAGCAAATAATACCTTGGAAGAAAAGTGACGTACGTTTGAGGTTGAGGAAGAGGACGGGAGTATGGGTCTCCATGCCCGGCAGAGGAACCCTGTAAACAAACATGGATCAAGATAAACACACCACTTTCCCTCACAAAGAAATATCAGACCGCTATCGAGAGGCGTGCACATCCTGCTGCGCCTCGTACCATTCAGCAGGTGCTCCTGGGATGCCGCTGCCAGCAGAGGGCACCATGACAGCGTTTCTCTCCTCCGTCAGCGTCAAGCGCCACTCCAGCAGCTGGGCCTCCCGCTCCATGTCATCCTCTGTTTTCTCTGTGCACACAACAACGCCCACACATTTAACTTCCTACACTGGCAGACACCAAACAACCCAGACTTTGGAATGTTTGTCTACGTGTATATATGTGTGTGTGTGTGTGCTACCTGCTTTGCTGACCAGGCTCTGCAGGTGCTGGTCGAGGTATTCCTGTCTCTTGGTGAGAGCAGATAACCACTGCCTGCGCAAACGTTCCAGGTCTCTTTCCTGCACAGCGAACCAGGAAGTTAATCCTTTTGGACTTAAGTTCACTTTGAAGCCGTTTAAGACTTACTGAAAGAGGCAAACAGGCTTTGAACAGAGCTGAATTTGACTGATTCACCTGATAGCTGTCCATCTCATCGCCCTCCGGTTCCGCTGCTGTGTTTCGGATCTCCACACAACCCACTGACACTGCGAGCAGTATTTCTGCTATCAGAGGCATGGTGCCCGAGTCCTGCACCGAATGCACGTCCACCTGGATTCGCCTCGACTGACCCTGGAGATGAGAACGAGCAAGATTTGGACGTCGGTTCAGAAAGTATTTAATGGTTAATGTTACCAGTTGACATTTTCTAGTTCCACCTGCTACGGTCCAGTCGACTCTGACTGCGTTTGCGCTTTTCCCTTACCTGCCGAAGCTGGAAGATTCCCCCGGTGCGAATATCGCGAGCAGGAACCACCTCCACTGGGACAAAGTCTCCGTTCTCGTTTATCTCCAGGATTTGAATCCACATCTCCAGGCGACGTGTTACCTCACTCCACCTACAAAAACAAACCTCATCAGCACATCTGGGCAACATCAGCGCATCGTTTTTCTTCACCATTTACAGGAAAGCAGGGATTCGCAAAAAGTCAGAGACCGTTTACCTGTCTCGTAGTGTGCGCGTCTTGGCCTGGATGATGCTGAGGTCCCACAGGGCCGGGTTTCTTCCTGCATCAGCCTGCCTGTGTCCAAATACCTCGATGACAACTGCCCCTTCAGTGAGGTATTCAATGAAATCCTCGGTCACTGACACAGCCACTTCCTGCAGCATCAAAGGACGGTCAGTCTTACACCGGAAAAAAACTTTCCACCCACAACACCCTCTTCATAAATGTGTGTTTCCACAACAACGACTATAGTCGCGCGCCCCCCCCCTCCTGCCTGCTCGGCTTCACCTTGCAGCTGTCAAACACCACCATGCAGTGCGGGTCCTTGGTGCTGGGCGACGAGGACGCTGGGTCTACTTCAGGAGCCACGATGATGGGCTCAGGCTGGTCCCAGAAAGAGTACTGACAGAAGACAAAGTTGGACAGGTACTGGGGAAGACCAGTGGCCTGCAGGATCTTAATCTGTAGAGGGATCACGGGTCAGAAGTTGTTTCAGAATAAACTACAGAAGGTATTGCAGGACTGTGCAGGTCCTCGAGAAAGGATCTGAAACTACTGTCCGACTACCAGCGATAGTTTACTTCTCTCTTTATGATCCCTCAGCCTTACCATGCAGACCAGTTTGCGATCCGGCACTTCAGTATCTTGGTTGTTGTCGGGTTCATCCCCTCCAGCAATGTTGTCCTCTAATCCCCCTCCAACCCTCACCACCTCCACGTGAAGACGGCCGACCACCTGACCACAGGAGAGGAGACGGGAAAGCATTAGATAACACAGTTACCCATTGTTAATGTGAATGAAAGTTGATATACTCCAGAAATACTCATCCAACATTTGGAGTTACTATGTAAAAATCTAGCTGAAAAGTAATCCTTTTTTTCTAGTATTCTACCATCATACTTTAACATTCTGGCAACAATTGTCATCTGATAATTGTATGACCTTTAACTCTGGTATTGATTATAATCCAGAAGCTAAAAGACTGCTGATCTCTGATCCTCTGGTGACCAGAAGAAGTTTCTGGAATGTAGAAAGCTCAAAATTAATAACATATCAAGTCTGGGGAGTCTATCCGATACCTTATCGATTCCCTTTTTTATGACAGAGAGATGAATGAATAACCAACAGCTTTGGGACTGCCTACCTCCCCCTTCTGGTTGATGATGGGAACAGCGTACTGCAGCTTGACGTCATAGAAGAGACAGGAGAGGAATACATTCGCAACGCCGATCAGACTGTGGTTTTCCTGTTCGTCAAAGAACGGGTCTGCTCGCCGGAAATATGAGCGCATCACCTGCACAAGGTAATAATGACAATATAGAATATAACAAGAGAGCAGTTTAGTTTTAGTATATCTTGACCACAAGCTACTGTTCTTCCATTCCATTAGCTCATGTCTTCATTTCTAATTACAGAGTTAATACAGTAGTTTCCTGTATTCTTGCTTGCAAAAAGACAGTGATGTCCTAGTGACTCTTTCTGTGTGATTTTCCGAGTTAACTTACAGGGTCGTCCTGGTGATGGAGATGGTAGTCTTGCCACTCTTGATAGAGCTCTCTCATGTCAACCAGACGGTTCTCCATCTTCTCCAGACTCCAGATCTGCTTCCCTCGACAACGACGCCGGACCTGAATCGCTGGTTCACTGAGCACTGCGTCCCTCTATACACACACACACACTTATAATTTGAGCATTGTCTGTGCTAAAAACAATTCACGTGGGATCTGTAAGTGTGAGTGAGACCTTGCGGTTTGCGTTGAGGTTGTCCGATGGGATTTGCAGCGTGACTCTGTACTCCGTGTTTCGCTCCAGCTCCTCAGAGATGAAACAGGCTTCTTGCACCAGGAGGTTGGCTCTCACTATTTGCTCCCTCAACCGCCGCAAACTCCTGACCAACACCGCCTCCCTGAAGGAGGAGAGGAGTGAGGAAGGGGGAGGAAGAGGAAATACAAAAGGGTAGTGATTAGCTTGCATTTATCCAAATGAACAGGAATGAAGGGATTTTTAAAGACTTTTAACATTCAGTGTGCGCACTCTAACCTGTCCTCATTCCACTGTCTAAGTCTGCTCTGAGCGCTGGTCGAATGAGTCATCCCTCCCATGCTGAGTCTCTCCAGGCTGCGGTAGTGAGACTGCTGTCCTTGGCCTTGCTGGCCGGACGTGGGTCCTCCAGAGGGGCCGGCCGACAGGCGGTCCGGGTTTAGCTTCTTGCGGAGCTGCTGGAGCTCCTGCTCGTACATTTGCCTCTGCCTCTCCAGAGCCGAGCGCTTCTCCTCCTCGTGTTGCCTCTCCAGAGACTGCAGGACTGCTTGCATGGGGTCTGCTCAGACAAACCGTAAGTCACAAAACACAGGAGACGCAACCAACTCATGCAAAGACATTTTAGTTACTTAAGGCCTCCGTACCATTATTGCCCAGGGCCTTCATCATGACTTCTGTCTGCGCAAACTCGTAGGAGAAGCTGACTTCACTGGACACCTCGCTGGCCGTGTCACCGTCCGCATCCAGCTGTTCACTGCTGCCACTGTTCTTCATCACGCCACCCTCCCCCTCGTCATCCTCAGCTCCCCGGGAGCGCCGCTTAGGCAGGTTGATCCTGCAGGTAGGATGTCCAGTTAATTGACCTTAAACGTTGGTATTGTTTCTGTCGGTTGAACTTAGCGGTGTGCTGCACATCTCTAGATTGCACAATACATTTAAATCATCAGCAGAAGACATTGCAACGATCTGATCAAAATTTCAGAAGTAGAACAACAGTGTGTGTTTCAATGACTCAAATGAAGTGAATATTTATATTGAAGAAAGAAATTTGGATGTTTTTTACATAATTATTCTTGTATGCGGAATGGTAAAATAAAAGCATCAGTATAATTAGTGCATAAGTATTATTCGAGAATTTACCTGAAAAAGTGGTTGTTACCCCAGAAGATTCGGTCGCCATGGTGCAGCTGCAGAGCGCTGCTCACTGGAGAACCATTAACACATGTCCTATAAAACAATGCAGACAGCAATGACATGAGACAGGATTTACTGTTCAAGACAAACGTCTCTGGCAATAGAACTGTGAACCCTGGCTGGAGGAACTTTTGGCATCTGTGATGGTGGTGTTGCTTACCGAGCATTGCGGTAGGGACTGAGGATGACCGCGCAATCCGCCGTTATGTCGATGACACAGTGCTCTGCCTGGATGCCCATGCCGCACAGCTGGATGTCCTGAGAGTCCGCCGAGCCCACCTTAGTGTGTTCCTGAGAAACAACATCCGAGGCGTGACTAAGCGTTATCAGTAGAGAGTCGGAAAACAGGATTAACTTGACGTGAAGCATACAAACAATTCCATAGTGTGCATGAACTTGTCTTGTTCTATTTCTCCTTCTGCTCCGATCTTTCCCATCAAACAAATATTATATTTTCTTGAAAGCGATTGGCCTAGTCTTAATCTTAAGGCCTCTCAACACACATAACACTGTTTTCCACAAGGACTGGCGCTTCGGCCAGCTCGTTGGAAATGGAACTTCAGTTTGTCTGACCCAAACTTCCAAGGAATCCAGTGTAAAGGTTTGAATCCAGATGTCATGATTAAAAAGCAAAGATGGGGGGGGGGAACTGTGTCATACACAGAGAGTGAACTCTCATTGTTCTGTGTGTACCTTCAGATAGTACACCAGCAGTTCGTTGAGGGCAGGATCCGCGTTAAGGTTGACGAGAAAACTCTTATCATCTCCAACTTTAATCCCTGAAGACTGGAGAGAAATACCCAGACTCTCCAACTGCTTCTGGCGCTCCTGCAAAGCACACAGATTCTCATTCACACGGTGTCAAACCCGATATGTCAAATGTCTTGATGCGGAGGAGTGTTTTATGTATGTATGTTCATTACGTTTTGTTCAATAACATCTAGCGTGTCCCACCTGTGCAACCTCCTCGGTTTTGCGAAGCTTCTCCTCCCACGTGATGGTCATCTCTTGGATCAACTTTTCGGACTCTTCCAGGCGGTCTTTCAGCTCGGGAGCCTTTAACGACTGGAGAGAAAAAACCCCGGGAAAAAAAGTGGATAAGTGTATGGGAAAGCAGAGATTTCTACATGCTGATTTTTTTAGGAATCCAAAGATTTCTCACCTCCGCCTGAGTCAGCTGCACTCGTAGCTTCTCTACTTCCTCTCGGAGTTCCCTGATGATGCGCGCGTTGGGGTCCTCGTTGACGACTGCGTGGTTAACGATGCTCTTTGCGCGGTCTGCGTAGCGCAGCGTTGACAGCGTCTCCTCGTAGTTGTCGGCTGCTGGGCTCACGGTAGCGACCATCGCCGTGCGACTGTTGCCGCCCAGGCAGTCCTGGGGACGGGAGAGAGGCAGTAAAGTGGGTGCAGTGGGTGCGGTCAGTGGTGGCCATGTCGGCCGCGTACGTACCTTCAGCAGCCACGTGAGAACGGAGTCTCTGTAAGGAACAAACTTGTTCTTGTTCTTGGCTGTGCCTTGTTCAGCGAGCGCAGAGATCACGAGGCCCAGCGTGGTGAGAGACCTGAAAACCCCCCAAAACACCAGGGTTAAGTGTACTCCTTGTAATTGCATGAGTCTGTTTAATGGTTTATATCGCTTAGTCCCAGTGTGTCGGGATTACCAAAAATCAAGATCGGTAATAAAATGAAACCAAAAACAGGACAAAACCATCATGTGTCCGTGTCTCTGAGTGGAACTGCTTGGACGTACTTGTTAATGTTGCTTCCCTCCTTCAGTCGTTCCCCCGCCGCTCCGGTCTTTGCTGCTCGCTCGCTTCCAGCCAAGTCTACCAGACTGAGCCGACTCACCTTCTCCCCGCTCGTCTGCAGGGGATGCGAGACAGAACATCCAGCTGATTAACTGATAACTCGCTGATTTCTAGTTAGACATTAATGCCTCTACTTTCCATTAGAAAAAAAACATTTTTTTCAGGTGATCTCAGGTGAGCAATTTTCTGTTAGATTGGCCTCACAGTACCACTTTAATACATTGACACAACCTTTTTTCACCACCATTTTTCTTTGCCCCGTAGCAGAAACTAACGCGGTTTCAGCGGGCTGGATGGACGTGGAGCTTCAACAGGGCCCTTGAAGCAGGACATGGGTCGATTTTCATTACTGTCCACTGCAAGATCAAAACCAGCTTATGTGCTGTTCCAAGAGACAATAAAGACTTGGCGCTGCGCTCTCAGACCTTAAAAAGAGCAGCGCCGTACATCCACATGAGGTCTGAGAGGATAGCTCATTAATCACCAAGGAGACACAGCATCAAGGAGACCCCTGCTGGGGTATTCAGCAGCCCTCAACCCAGCACTTCCTCTGATTTGTCAGCATGATTACAACAAGTAACCCGGGAATAAACAACATGGTGTTTGCTTTTATAACAGAAAGCTCCGACTCGGCTGGATGCTTCGGTCAGCTCTTGTTCAGACCCTCTCATGACTCTTGTGACTTTGCCAGCCAAGTGCTGTGCTGGACTTCTCGTCTTTCAGTCGGTTGTTGGCAGATTTCTTCCCACAGAGCCGCTGAGGGTGTGGATGTCACGTTGCCGTCCAGATCCACTCCTGGCCGAGCGTCACAGGTAGTAGCAGTAGCTGACGGGGCTGAGGGTAATCACATGATCCTTACCTCTGCCTCTACAGCAGGTCTGTTGAAGTAGAAGCCTTTGCATAGCCTATGTTTACATGTATATGGCGACTAAGAACTGCTGGTAAAACATTTCTGGTCTTTATCCACTAATGAGACTCCAAATGGAAAGATTACTTCCACTAACATGAGGTGCCTGATATTGGCCACATCCTGTGATATTTCCTTACTCGTTGAGGAAACAGGTTTAATCTTAAACCCATGCCTGCATTTCATCAATCGGGATTCCGCACTTGTTTTGCCAACTTGTTCAGGGGTGTGACTCTTGTAAAATTCCAATAATTAACTGATGAGAATCTTGTGGTGCTAAGAAATTCAAGCTTAGAAAAAGGAGACCGGTTCCATGTAATCGGTTTCTTTTTCTTACGAAGACGTTGCAGAGGAGCTCTGCGCGATGGAAAGGAGGTATTTATGTGTGCATTTTGTTTAAAATGTAGTATGGCCTTTGAACTTTCCATAGTACTGTGAAAACAAAGCAATACATTTGATCATAAAACCAGACCCAAGAAAAATGTAAATGTTCAACTCCCATCACATTAAAATCTCATGAAAAGTCTAGTTATAAGGGTCTCTGATAAAGATCAACTGCACTGATATAGATCAGCCTCGGACCGGCACCAAATCCCCCACAAGGGTAAAACACATTATAAGACAAACAGATTTCTATCTGGGACACAGAGCACATCAAATACAAAAATAGACTTTTTTTGTCATTTCTAAAAATAGAGCCAGTGGCTATGAATACCTTCTGGAGCCAGATCGAGGGGAAGCTGATGAATATGAACACCAGTATGCACAGCAGGGAGCTATAAATTGGCGTAATTTAATAATCCCAGCTCCCTATGACCAATGACTAGATTCTAACATATAGTGCCGGGACCGTTTACCTGGTGGTGCCATACTTTAAAATAAAAGGGGTCGCATTAACTGCACGGTGAGCAAAAAGGGCGGCCGTCACGGTCGCCTCACAGCAAAAAGGTCCCGGGTTTGAAACCACCCAGCAGCTTTTCTGTGTGGAGTCTGCATGTTTTCTACTTCCTCCCGCAGTCCAAAGACATGCTCTGGGGATTCGCTTAATTGGTGACTCTAAATTGCCCGTTGGTGTGTGGATGTCGATGGATGCTTGTCACTTTGCGATTGACTGGCGACCAATCCGGGGTTCTTTGCCCCGTCTCTCGGCGGATGTTAACTTGGATTGACTCCAGGGGCTCAAGCCCCCCGCCACCCTCTAGGGGTGAGCGTTGTAGAAAATAACAGACTTACTGAGCAGGCAGAGAGTCTTTTTCCCCGTTTAATTCATAATATTTAGCTAGTTAGATAACGGGAGGAAGCATCGGCCGCTGAGGCGTTTTCCTTTCTTAATTAAGGATTCATGTCCCCACGAGAGACGATACCTGGGTCAGTAACCAGGTCAACAGGCAGGATGTACAACTGGCAGCAGCTTTACGGTGCCAGCACACAACAAGTTGCAGGATACCAGTAGCCTGCAGCCTAGTGCATGACTTCATGGAAAAGACAAAAACAAATGAAACCCCCATTCTTTTTTGGACACTCAGCTATGTCACAGAGGCTTGACAGGATTCAGCAAAGCAGAAAACGAAACAGCAAACAACTGAGAGGTGGCAGCAGGCAGACAGTCAAAGTTCAAACTGACTGCACTTTGAGTCTTTGTTTAACAAGACTAAGCAGGAAACCCTGTGCTGAGCGATGGCATGATTGTGATAGGTTGTGATAACTGTCCCATCGCCACTGTTACTCATACCGAGAGGTAGTCAAAGAAAAAAAAAAGAAAAATCACATCACAAGTTCTTCATAGTACTTGTTCTGTCGACCAACAGTAAAAAAAAAAAAAAAAAAAACCTGAATATTAAATTCTGTATCATATAAAAACAAAAAAGGTCCTTTGTGAGAAGAACACACCAGAGAACACGTGGTAGTTGTGTGTCTTTTTTATTTCCTGTTGATTTAGTCAGCCAATTCTGTAGCTTCTGTTCCTCTCGGCCCATGAAACGTTGTTGCCTGAGGATCAACTGTCGTTATTCAGAAGCGGCGGTATTTTTGCACGCAGTTCACAGCAGTGCTTGTAGTTTCTTTTTTTCCCCCTTTTCCACTTTGAACAGAGAGCCGACATCCCTCATAATTTAAGTACTAAGCATCACAAAGAAACAGGGAGGGGAGGATCATACTGAATACTAACCAACACTATTAAAAAAATATTTAATTATCAGAACATAAATCTAATTGCGCTCAAATGAGCTGGCACCTTATTTAGTGGGTTTTTAGTGTGGAGTGCAGTCCCCCCGTGAGAACGCAGTGATTTGAACATTTCAGTACATATATTTCTGTATGTACGAGGAGCCGATACAATGAAAAAAAAGAAAGAACTGACTGATTCAGACACAAGGCGTGACTCACTGACTACACAGGCTACGTATTAGCTCGATGAAGCTACTAACCGACCGACCGACCGACCGACGCGGTGACTGACTGGGTGCGCCGTGAAAACAGAGCAGGCTGTATCAGCTGACAAACTCAGAGTCATACCTATGAATTATTAACCGGATTCGCAGGTGGCTACGTTCATCTGGAAATAAGAGCAAGGAGCAGCACAGCCCAAGTGGGTGAGTGAGGATGGAGAATTAGTCATGAGCTCTTTTACCGGAGAGCCCGGTCAGACAGCTGAGCTGACATCATCCCCTTTTGTAACTACCTCCCCTCCCTCCCCCGTTGAGGGCAGTGGGGTGATTGATAGACACCAGACACTGTTTGCCCAGTCAAGTGCACACATGATGGATGGTGGGGCAACAGAAGGAGGGGGAAATGGCTGATGATGTGCAAGCTAGGATAGAACCTTGGAGTATACTAGTCTATCTGCAGCTAGCACACTTTGAAAAAAACGTTGACTTCTTAGCGTTACAACTTCTGGTCTCAAAACGTAAGCAGGTGTCTACTGAGGTCCAGCAGGCGTGTGCGTTATATCTTACCCCAGAATGCAAGTCCTTCAGTGTGTGTGTGAGGATGATGTTGAAGACGCCGTGCGATCGACTGCTCTCCTCATTCATGTTGGTAGCGGCGACGGTACGAGACTTATTCCCCTCTGACATCAAAGACTCGATGTCCTGGCAGAGCGACAGAAATCAAACATGAAGAAATGGAACAATAGAAATTTGTATTTTTCTTTAGTCTGTGGAATAACCTTTTTGAAGAGTGAGGAATGTATACAGTACATGTGTACGGTTCAATGCCTGACTATGCAAATAGCGACCGCTTCAAATGACGTTCAGTTTTAGTCTGGAAAAAAGCCCAATATAAATTTCCTATCACGAGCCTCTCTGCCTGAGCAGAATGCTGCTTGTGAGTAGCTCGGTTACAAATCCTCAAAGTTAGACTGAATGCAAGTAGGACGCGCTGCTGACATCTGTGCCTGCTGGACACCAACACTGTGGCAGCCCGGAGTCAACAGAGCAGTACACCTGAATTAGTGTGTCATAAAAAAAATAATAACCTTTAAAAAATAAAAAAAACTTATATAATTGTTACCTTGTAGCAGGCCACCGCGAGTCGAGACAGGCCGTCTACGTAGGGACCCAAAACTTTATGTTCCCTCACCTTTAGAGTTTGTCTTCCCCTGGAAAAAGAAAAAACGGTTTAAAACAAGGACAACCATCGTGGTCAATCCTGGTAAACTAATATTAATTCTGATGCATCATGGAGAGGGTGGGAGGGGGGTCAATAGAGGATCAGCTGGTCCTGGCCCCCATTACAGCGTCCACCAGTTCAGTGGGACTTGGTCAGCAGCCTTACGATGCTCCAGGCATCACAACTTCATCATTCCCTGCTCTGCGGTAAAAGCCCATATGGCTGTCAGATGGTCTGCTTCTCTTTGACCCCTCTCACTGAGGTTACAGGTCACATTGTGGGAGGAGGTCTATGGTCGCGCTGTCTGGGTCAGCAGACACAGGCCCGTGCTCCTGATTTACTGCTAACCTGCTGGAGATGAACCACCAACTTAATCCAGTTTTACTATCTGACTGGAGGCTAAAATGGCATCCAACTTACCAGAGAAGGACCCCGTTTACTTATTTCTTAAGGTTGATGCCCCAGTTTGTGACCAAAAGCTAAAAATACCACCTTAGATACGGAGCATCTGGAGAGAAAGACAATGATCACCTCCTTTTAATAAAAAGGGTTAGAGGATGAAGTTGAGATCATACCCTTTGGGGTCGAGCAGATCTCGGACCTTCTCGTTGTAGATCTCCATGTAGGACACCTCAACGGTGAAGCTCTCCTCCTCCCGCTGTTCCTTCTGGGTTCGTTCAAACAAAGCGCTGCACAGCCGTGGAATCAGACCCGGCTGGTCCCCCGAACCCATCATGGTGTACGACTTCCCCGAACCTGTTAAAGACCCACAGCGTCGACAGGTCATTGGAGGTGGGAGAAAGGGAGCAGATGGCAAACTCCAGGAAACGCAGTGAAGTTAGTCATGCAATTTCCACGAGTCACTAAATATTCCACAACACGTGTCTGCTACACCAGGTACAAGTACAGCGTTTCCCCTACGTTTACAGCTGGGGTGGGGGGTGCGTACGCGACATCGCAACATTTTCCAACGCACGCTCTCTGTTTGTGCTCTGTCTGGTTTGTGCCTAATATAATGGTAGGGCCAACACTGAAGTATGCAATATCAGGATTCCCAGCAAAACTGCTGTGGCGTAAATTATACCTTTACAATGTTAATTACGTTCAGTATTTAGTATTCATTTAAAATGTTCCGGCTTATTTTATTGTATTCCTTGTAGTAAAAAATGCATAGATTTAAGTGTGTTTATCACTGAGGTCAAAGTTGTACTGGACTGACTTTAACATTTGTGTTCATACATACATTAAATGAGCGGAATAAGCCGCTTTAAACAACTTTAAATGAAGTACAGTTACACAACTCTGAGCTCAATGCTAAAATATAAAGTTGAATTAAAACCTTTTCCATTTTCAAAAGCCTGGAACATTATAGCCGTAGTGCACAGCGTCGGTAATGGAGTAACTCGTTCTGGCTTTGTGTAGACACACGACTGTTGTTTATCTGTCTGATGCCCGTCTGATCATGTCAACGAGTAGATATCTACACGACCGAGGGGTGTTTCAACACTTTCATGCCACTACAATCCTGCTTTTGGTTGAAAACTGCTTACGACATTTGGTTTATGGTTCCTACCAAAGAGAAAAAAGGCTGTCCAACCTTTCCTGCTGGGACACCTCCACGCAGACACTCCTCTCTTAATCACTATACAAAAAGCCTGAGGGCGCTATGCTAATGAGGCTAAATAACGTTGTTGATCCAGCGTGCCATTGGGGTTATTTAATGGCCTCCAACATGAAATAGAATCACGTCATACCGGCAAACAGAAGAGCGAGTCTTTATGGTTCATTACCAGTTTGTCCATAGGCAAAGATACAGGCATTGTGAACCTGGATGGCGTTGTAGAGAAGACTTTCCCCAAGGCACTGGGAAGACTAGCTTCTTGACCTGGACACACACACACACACACACACACACACACACACACACACACACACACAACATTGTATACACTATTTCACAGTAAATACTGAATCTTTCTGAACCATCATCAGTTTTTTTTTTTTTTTAATTCTATTTCTTATTAGGAAAATGTTAGAGCTTTTAATACAGTGTGAACTGGATCATTTCAGGAACTGACCAGCAAATCTCTCCTTGTCAGTCTCATCCATCGACCAGAAACAGTAATCGTAGGCGAAGACCTGGGATCAGAAACATGTAGCAGCATGAGACTCAAACGTCTCAAAACGGTGGACGGCTGTAACCAAGACTGGATCCAAAATAAAAACGTATTTCACCTTTGACTTGCCATGCAGTTTTTGAAATAATGTCTCTCTCTCACTCTCATATATATATATGAAAGCTAAATTTAATTAGCTTTCAGAAACAAATTTAAATGACTTTTTACGCTGACACTGTGTAACAAAGACTTCTTAACAGGTCATGTGGTTTATGGCTCGTGGTTAGAACACAATGTATTGGAATCAGCTATAATAGTGCCTGTGCATGTTTGTGTGTGCGTTACCTTGGCCTGATTCCTTTTGACGTCCGGCGGGGGCAAGGTCCACGCAGCATGGGGAGAGAAAGGAAGATGACATTCAGTGCACATGTTACAGCCATTCATTAGGCTTTTCACACTGCAGGAGTTGACCCTGGGACACCTTGCCCCCCTGTAAGGCACACATTGTGAACTCGGTTTCACGTAAACGCTGATGGGCAGTGTCAATAGTCCAGCCCTACCAGCCCAAAAACATGCAGCGTTGTTTACTTGGCAGCTTGTAGCCCTGTATTCAGCCGATCTCACAGTGATGAGCCTAACCCTGCAAACCCAAAGCTCACCCTGCTGCGGGGCAGCGACTGCATGCCAACACCAGACCCAGAATAGAAATTATTTATCAACGTTGGGTTTTTCTTTTTTTTTTTTAGACAAAGAGAGGGGGTCAGAAAGAGCAATAAAGACACGGGTGAGCAGAGACAGAATGAAAGACAAAGGGCCGAGATGGAGCCTCCGGCCTCAGACTCAGTCACTCCAGCACGCATCTGATCCCTAATCGTGTGCGTGTGCAGCTTGTTTATGACTCGTTTGCTTGCCGCATGTCAAAACAACTACTATTTGCTGAGATTTGCTACGGTTGTACTTCTGTGGTTGTTAGAGTAGGAACAGCATTCATGTGTAAGGGCTTGACATAGAAAATATAATGAATTATTGTGGGAATGTCTCCATGTGTGTGGAGAGGGGTTGGCAGTAGGTGAACAGGGAAAACAACTTGGATGTATAACCCCCCCCTCCCAAAAAAAACAAAAACATTTACAGCCTACAGCCATCTCGTCAGCAAACATGAAAATAATTCACCCAAGGCATAATTGATTTTAAGAAGTAAAAACAATAAAAACACAAAGTTGGAGGGGGTTACTGAAGAATATGCCAGCGGTAAACCACAGGATTGGTCCATTATTATACCAACTCCCGCACATCTGGGACGTGGCAGCAACATTTATTACCATGACATCGTTTCTGCATCCAAAACGCATCCAGACGTTGTCATCTCATTCTGCTTATTCTGCATCTGCTTCCAAATATGAGGTTTCTTTCAACCTACATCATGTTCTACCGAACTCGTGGCTGAATTATCACTTGGTGGGCGAGTCAATCAAAAGGCCTCCTGCCACAAGACAACATCAGACCCAGCGATCCCTGAGGGAACAGTATCATTAACAACAACAACAGGGGTCTTTTCTTTCCTTTTGCTGTGGACTCCCTCATTGCAGAGGACTCCATCTCATCTCCCTTCTCCTCCATCTGTCAAGCTGTCGGTCAGAGAGCCGCGCTAATTCACCAGACGAGGACAGAGGTAAGTGCCTACTCGGGGTTCATCCACCCACACACTTCCACACAAGTCTCAGATCAGCTCTCCTGCAGACACACACACTCTCGCAGACCCGTTTTCTTTTACCCATGAGCATTCTTTACAAAACGCCACAGCGGCATAAAACCGGCAAGCAATTTGGACCGTCCTACATGCCGACCGTCCCCCCCACGGTCATATCTCCTCACACTTCAGGGCTGAAATCACCGTGGCAGGTTTTGACGTGCGTCGTGATGACAGCTGTCGCGGGCGCTTCAGAGGCAAGAGGGGTCGCCCGTGAACAAAGCTAAACCCCCCCCCACTCTTGACCAATGAGACGGGAGAATGAGGCAGTCAGGAGAGCCCTTAGCCCGCCTCACTCGGTCCTCAAACACTTCCATTCGTCCCTCCTCCCTCCTGCCTGCTCCTCAGCTCTGATCACCGTCATTTAAAAAATAACTTCATGCATGGTTGCCCCACCCCCCCCCCAATGCCCCTCTCCACTTTCTCTACTGTCTTTACATTCATCTTCTCCTTCCTTTGTGCCCTCCTCTGGACTGTACCATCCTCTTGGCTGTGTGGGGAGGAATAGAGGATGGAAAGCAGGCTGAAGGTAGCCAGAGGGGGAGGGTGGGGGAGGAAAGAGACTGGGCCCGAGACCGGAATGTTAAGCCGAAGCAGAAGCAGAACCGGCGTAACGCGGCGCTCACTGACGGCAGAGGACATCAGGACATGTAACAGGCCAACGCCACGGATCAGCACACACTGAACAACGTTGGCCGGCTCCCCCACACGCTGTGAAAACGACTCCATCCTCCCACAGACGCACACTGAATGCGAAGTGGACGCTGCGGCGCTTTACAAACGGGTGTAGAAAGCGCAGGGTTCTTTTGGGAAATTGTGAAATATAAATCCTTGGTAAAGAGGGCCAACGTAAATATGTGGTGTGTGTAGCCGCTGGCTTGAGGCAGATTTGTTGCATTCTTGATGTCAACTCAATGTTTTATGCTCCCTACAGCAAATTCATAGTGTTCCGGCAGTGAGAATATCTCACACGATGAAAATCAGTACTACGGTCTGCTTCTACTCTTACTTCTCTTTGCCCACCGGCATCAAGAAACCTTCAAACGAATCCGGTAGAACATTATAAGCTCTACTGTAAAACTGAAAGGTTGACATTTATTTTCGTGCACATGGATTAATAATTACAACATTGATTGGGACAACTCCACCGCCATGGCAAGTGGAGCATGCAAAGACCATTTAAGGAAAATCTGCATACGCGGCTCCAACGCTGCTGTCCAACTGTGCGTGGTAGAAAAAGGCTCTCTATGTAGAGACTATGGGAGCCTTCACACAGATTCTAAAGATGAACACTTTGTCTCCTCCATCCCCCTGGAGCTACTGTGAAGCTAAACAATATTTGCTTCCTCTTTAGACGAATGCAGTCTATGCTCATTATGGCGATGCATTTATGAGAGAGCTCGATATCCAGCGGGCTGCTCCTCGGATTGTCTGAGCAACGCAAAGATGTTTGCACTCTGACGCTGGCGTTACCAACGGCACATGAACGCAGCTTGCACTGTTCAAAGCTACGCGGCTAAATGCTTGCTATACTTTTGTATTCACTTCTACTAAATTGATTTTAGTAAACTCCGTAGCACTGACTGTCTAAAGCCTTTACCTAACCTGGTCTGAAGCCGCATAGCAAATGGGCGAGCGTGGTGCGTAAAGGAATGACACACTCTTTCCTTAATTTCTAACTGTGTCATTATGTTTGTGGGCTGGTACAGACTCATGCCGCCCACGGTTGGTTCAGGCTGGACACTGCAACTACACAGCCTCGCATCAAAATATCACACCTTTCTTCTGAAAGTAACAAATATATCGTAGACACGCCACATCCTAAAAGCACGTTTGCAAACACACACACACAAAATCATTCGAAGGCACGCGGCAGCAAAGCCGGTTTTGTGTATCGCCTTGGAAACAAAGCCACCTTGTGTTACATCGCCGATATCCGACAGGAGACAGATCGTTGTCGGATTGTATCAACATCGAGCTTCACCGATCCGACGCGAGCAGCCTCGGGTCGTCATGCAAACGGCGCTGTATGACATCACACCCGCAAGGGAGCTTAGCGCTCGGCTTATCAAGCCGACCGGTAAAGTGTGTTCTGGCCCGGAGGAGGCTGCAAAGCGATTCAGGGCGAGCAGGTGCAGAGGCGAACGCCAGACAAAATAAAACGAGGGTCACATGTAATGAAAGATTTTCGGAACAAAAAGAAAGAAAGAAATAAAAAATGGGAAAGGCCCTTTTAATAAGGAAGTATTAAAAAATAGCCTGTGGATTTTTTGAAAGAACACAACAGAATGAAACTTCCGTCCCAACCAGAAAGTTGGTTCAGTTTCTCTCTTAAAACCTTTGTGGAAGTGAGAGTTTCAATCGGTTAGGTAGTTTTGTAGCACAACTCATTAACAATCCAATTTATTCGGACCAATTAATTATTGCAATTCACTGCTTGCTTCTCGTCTCGCAGCTCCAGCTTCAATGTAATGTGGCAGCGTGTGATGAGAGAAAGGCACGGACCAATCCAGTATACCCACTACTTCCAATGATGGGTGGTCTATTCTGTTCCGTGCCTGAGAGGACCAGACGGACAACTCGAAGAATAGTGAGAGAATGAGACGGTAGGTGAGCGTGTTGACCGCGAGACACCCGAAACATGATGTAGACACAACATACTGAGTTCATGTTGAGTTCTACCTCAATAATACACGTCCAAGCGGTCTTCTCCTACACTTTATATCCGTTGACCCCTGTATAAGATTACGTGAGGCAATTAGGAAATAACCATAGTCCATCCCGAGCAAACACTGGTCCACAAGAAGTTCTGTCTGTTGAATTAGTCGTCAACAGGCAGTTTTTTCGCACCTTATTGGGTCATTTTCCCAATGGGTCTTAAATGTCAGTTTCAAGCTATATTGATTTAACTACTGGGAATTATTGTGTCTCACTCACCAGATGCACCACAGCAAAAACACTCCCACCTACAAAAGAATGTTCAACTTCACAGCTGTCGTGAACTATTTAAAGAAAATAAGATGAACCTAAAATATCTTTTTTTCTACCCATACAGGAATGGAAAACTATTTCTGAGTCAGAGAGACTTTCATCTATATTTAAAACAGCTCACATCACTGAGCCGCTGCTGATGATAATGATCAAATGATAAAATATGTCACAGGTAACAGCACCAGGGGAGATGATTAGCAGGGAGGTAGAATAGTATCACAACAGACAGAGCGGACCTGAAAACAGCCCTGTGTTAAAATAAAACAATAAGGGGTGTGTTGGTACTGGTGCTGCTTGGTGGTAAACAAAGAGCATCCTGGTTACATCGATAGCCAAGCAAACAATGCTCCCGCAGCATCCGGACTTTACTCGACGTGTCCACTCAAGTCTTTCTCAGCAATTTACAACTTGAAAGGCGGAGGAAAAGATAATCCTCCAATTTAACCAGTACGGAGGCGCGAAATGAAAAACAAACTAATTGAAACCAACATCTGCGCACTGATGGCAGCCGTCCGTCAGTCCATCCTCCTCCCGCTGCTTCCTCGCTCCTTTGTCAGCGAGACACAGAGAAACTACAGCCCTGCTCTTGTTTAGTCCTCCATAAAAGTCATCGCAGAAGGTTTATGGTCGACAGATGCTCGAGTAAATTAGGTGATTTCTTTTACTTCTTCTTTTCCCCTTTAACCCCTCTTCCATCGTCTGCGCACTCAAGGAAGGGGCTTCACGGTCACCGGCGGCGGCCTGGAGTTAACCTCTCCCGTGTTGCCACGGAAACGGGAGAGCTGAGAAAAAAAAAAAAAGGGGAGGAAGCCAGGCGGTGGGAGTTACGACCCAGCGGAGAGAGCAGAGAGAGGAGCGGACTGGAGTGGGTCTTTTCATGTATAATCGTCTCCGTCTCTATGCCGTTGTCTCTCTTCCAGGCAGAGGCACCTCTGACACACAGCGACACACATACAGACACACACACGCCGCCGCTGCTGCTGTCTGCTCCTACAGCCTTATTCACAACTTCTGATCCGGCAGTCTGCAGTCTGCTCCACTAGCAACAATGAGATCTTTCTTCCCACACAGCAGGCTTCCTCCAAGATGGCGGGCTGGTCGCAGAGCAAAAGGCCAGCAGGCCGATTCTGAGCCGTTACATAATCTAATAAACAGCTGGGATTCCTATAGCCCTTTCACTACAGATGTGGTGATTGACGTCACATTTTGCCCCCCCCGCTGCTGGAACTGCCGCGGCACACCAATAACACGCAGACACGCATTTGCGTTTGACCCGGGTGGAAAACAAATTCACGCGTCTGTCTCAGAGACACTCAACACTCCAAGTACATTGTTAGCATTACCCACGAAGCAGCAGCTGGATAACCGGATGGGAACGGGAGTGAAAGCCAAGCGAGGGAAACAGATGATCCCAGTTGAAAGACACCTGCCCCGAAGGAGGCCCAACAGCTGGTTAGACAGCTTCCTGCCAGAGGCTACATCGTGAGGACAAAGGAACATTCCAAAATCGCCTTTTTGAAAGTAGCAAATTGAGAATAAAAAGATAGAAGAACATTTCCAAGGCAATGCATATCTCTCTGAGCACAGGAGGGAATGTAGCACAGCTGTGAGTGTACCTACGGTCTGGGTGAGGGAAAAGAAGGGGGGCTCGTGTCTCATAAGATACAGTTACAAGACTGAGAGGACTTGCTGTATTGACAATTAAAAAAAAAGTACCCTGTTTGTGTTTTCAGATTTGACTGAAGTGTGACTGACAAAGCGAATACAAATGCAAATTGAAGCAACTGGAGGATAAGTGCTTTTGACTTACTTTTTTTTCAGAATGCCTGCAGTTATATATATATATATATTATATTATATAAATTGTACACCCCACTGGTCATGGAAAATACTACTGGGAGAATTGAAGATGACACAAAAGGATCAGGTGCCAGGTGACACTTATATATACTTAAGTATATTTTTTTTTCACTGGCTGGTGTAATTAGATACAACTGAAGAGAATAAATTGTTGCCGGGGCAATAGACTGCGGTCAAACTTACCTGGAGTCTCCTTTGCCCAGGTTAGCTCCGCCCGGATGGAGGATTGTCTGGTTCTTCGCCATCTCCACGATACATTTAGTGTTTAAATCCTTTTCTGTGGATTAGAAGACACGCAGTCACCAAACCTCAAAAAGAACACCTTTCTGCTGTTATCCTCGACCATTTGTAACATTTGAATGCAATATCAGAGATGGAGGATACAAGTTATATATATACACACACGAGGAGCTCCCATGCTGACCCTGACCTGAGTGCATCATGATGTCACGCTTGCCTTTCACAACTCATCATACAGAGTGGTCCTAATGCTCCGTCCCTTGAGGTATTTCTATAATGTTGCACATCGACGCGACTTTAACAAAGGTCTCCACTCCCCCCCGACAAAGGCAAAGGATGCATTAGCGCGTAAATATTTTTTTTGACAAGTTTCAAAAATAGATAACTCGTACGTTCCCCTGAATAAAGCACGGCAGTGTGTTCTTTTTATTCTTAGCTGAGTCAGTCTCAGGTCCGACTGGTAGACGGCTTGCAGTGGAAGCAACCAGGAGAAGAGCTGGAAAATAACATGAATCGCACTGGAAATTCTCGAGGCTGGTGAGTCTCTCCATTCATCCGTCTTACCAATGAGTTCCAATGATGCTGTCCAAAGAAAGCCAGCGTGTCCCAGGGATCCAGTTTTTGGTACAACCGGTGAAGCATTTTAAACTATTTTTATTATTTTATATATTTCCAAATGGCATTTGACAAGTACTCGCAGGACAGAATATTTTACTAGTAGTAGAATACTTGTCTTCACTGCTGGTAAATGTTTTTTAGTTGTTAACTTGCTGTACTTTATCACTGAAATAAAAATGTCTTTAGGATTATGCCCATTTGCTTTTTAAGAAAACGCATTGAGCGCCGCAAACGCCGGTCGAGAGGTGCACAAAGTTGTGGAGGAAAATACGGGACAAATGTGTCCGCGATGAAAAGCAGCAGTCTCGATGCACGGGGCAATAAAGTCTATGGTAAATAAATAAACAAACCAACGACTTACACAAACCAAGACGTGACTCTCTAGGTCGTCTTCGACAAAAACACGTTACTCCACCTGTTGTTCTGGAGGTGAATTGCTCTGCAACACACGCAAGACTTTTAGAACCATGAATTGAAACGAGTGCGTGGACGCAGACGCCAGCCTTTACATGTAATAAATAATATTATTTAAGGCTCCCATGTAAACAAGGATCTGTCCCTTAGTTTAAAGTGCACCACAATATTACCCATCGCCATTCGGTCCAGTAACAACGGCAAGATTTCTAAGACAACAATGATTTAGATGTGTCAGGACAGACAAAACGCTCTTTGGTTTCAATTCCTTTCTTCCGCAGGAACCGCCTTAGGCAGCGTTACACTGCGGCTACGGGATTTATGCCTCCAGCGGCTTTTGTCAGATCAGGGCCTGCCTGCTCGGAGGCAGGGATGAGTTTGCACAGCAGAGTGAATTAGTCAGCAGTGGAGCATGTGCCATTTTGCTCTTGATAATGGATTGGTGTGAGTTTTCCAACAGTCAGCGAACCATCCCGGGTTGATTACAGCATACAGTTTCAAATGAACCCTTCCTGAGGGTGCGATGACTTCATCAGGGCGTCCGCTTATGGATTTTGCCCTACCCGCAGACCTGTTCCTGCAAAGAGTGTTTTCAACTGCTGTGCAGATGGTCGGCAGGCTGCACGTGTTTTGCATGCCACATTGCCCTCATGTTTTTCCTAACAAACACAGAAATTTCCCTTTTATCTGGCTGCAAGTCTCTTCACTAATTTGGTACTTGTTCTAAAAGTGGCCGCTCATGTACACTGCTCTCACTTCCCAAAATCCATACCCACTCGCCTCCCTGAGATGCAGAGGGGGATCCCGAGCTGAGGGAGAAGCTGGCTGTGTGTGTGCAAACCAGGCACGTTGGGGATGGAAGCTAAACACTGCTGTTCCTGGCAGCAACACAGGGGTAGAGCCATGGAAACTTAACTCAAACGGTCAGAGGACCTGAATAACACACCGATTCTTCCTCTGTCAAGGATACTACGGAGCCAAAAGAAAAAGAAAAAAAGGGGGTGAGCCAACAGAGACCAAGTGGCAAAAAGGCCGACTGAAACAGAGAGGCTGAACTTCCTCCCTCCCTCTGTTGCCTACATTACCCATGAGCGCCTACTGCTGCGGCTTTGCTTCACGCTAACCAGAGGGGAAAGTTTGATGCAATGTGATGAGGATAAATGTACCCATTGTCATCTGCCTCGCCCTGCTCCATATGACCAGCAGCTCCAACTTTCCACTTCTCTGTGGTCTTCCTACCGGTGCTGAAGTTCTGGCACAGCACGCACACCCCCCACCCACCCCCTCTTTACCGACATCGAAGGGAAGCGGGTTGGCCGCGGCGTTGCCGTTGCTACGCCTGGGGTTGCTTCGTTCTTCGAAGGCCACAGCCATGGGAACGTGGAGCATTACGCAACGTTAGCAAATATTCATTCAGACTAACTCCCTTCCTGTCTTTGTCCAGCTCGGCTGTTAAACCACCTCCCCACCCCCCCACCTGGGATACACATGGACAGTGCCCTCCAGGTTAAAGAGGACGGAATTTGTTTACACTGTACAGGCAATAAGCCTTGCGTGTTTGAAATCAAGCGCCAGGGGAGACATACAGCTAATGGGAACGCAGGTCACATGACTTAAAAACTTCTGGGCTGCACCAGGAGACTTTATTTGAACACTGGAACGAAAGGGAACGCAAAAAACAAGGTGGTGCGTCAATTCAACCGTACCTGATCTGGAGCTGGATTACACCAGAGCAAACCTGAGACCTGTCCATCTCGGCCTCACCAGCAACGCATGCTACTCTACATGGGTTCTTCGCGTCCCCAAAACAAAGGCCCAACCTTGCAATGTTATGATCTCTGAAATAACAACAGAGACCTGACTGCTGGCTTTGCTCTATTAGAGCTCACGGTAGATCCCTGCTTATGGGAACAGTTTGGCGATCAACTGCCTAGGACTTGTGACCGAATTCCCCAGCTCACGGAGGAGAGAGAGAGAGAGAGAGAGTGAGAGTGAAGGGGCGAGAGAGATAGACCGGTTTCATTCTGCCAGCTGTCAGTCAACCGCTCTGCCTCAGCAGCTCTTCTCCTCCTTCTACTACTTGAAACACACGGTCTCCAAAGGCAAAGAAACACATATTGCCCATCGACAGTGAAAAAAGAAGCCATCCGTCCTTAAGTGTGTGCTGTTTTTAGAATTTACAATATAATTGACCAGATCTTTGCGACACCCTTGAGCCTTTGTTTCCCAAAGGCTTTTCTAAAATTAGGGATGAGGATGTCAGAACAGATATATGTAGCGGCACTGGGATAACTGGTGGACTGAAGATACCCGCATGTTTGCAAAATGTTAGTGAGGGAGCGATGACAGGAGCAGGAGAAGAGCCTCTGTTCACATCAATAAGTCACTGAGCCACTTCATGTGTAGCAAAAGATACTAAGAAGAGTTTGTTGCAGTAAGTGACAAATTAAATATTTTAAATCCATCAGCCTTTTGTTTTTTGTCTGCAGGAGCTCATTTCACTAATGGTTGGGTGAGCTCTGACTGGCATCCCATTGCCAGGAAATGAAGCAGGGGAGGAACTTAAAGGCAAACCGCTCTCGTTTTTATTGTGAAATGCAGCTTGTTTACAGTTAACCTGCGGCTGTTAATGCAATCACTTAAACCCCAGATTGCATGTGTGCAACAATGTCCACCTGATTCCGCTGCATTCCTATAAACGACCTGACATTTAAATGCCTTACAAAAAAACCTGTGTCCATCATGGCAACCGGAAATTCAGACAATGAAGACCGTCGCAGCATCCACGCAGGGCATTGAATCGAGAGTCGGCGTGACAATAACAAATCCAAAGAGCGATGTCCTCTCACCTCTCCTGTTCATGGGTCGTACTCGGACAGCCACCTTGACGTTGGCGTCGTCCAGGCTGGACTCCCCCATGCTGGCTCCTTACCCGGGCGCCGATCGGCTACACAAGCATCCGAACGCCGGGGAAGAAGGTCGCGCTAGCCGGACTGTCAGCCAGCTAGCTCCGCTCGGCCGGGCTCCATAGAACAACCATGTCCACGGGGGTGGGTCAAAAAAATAGAAACAACTAAAAAAGCCTGGACAAAATCCCGCAGGAAGCCAGACACCCGCCGCTGCTGCTGCCGCCTTATGGTCCTCGTCTTCGGCTCATATTCCGGGTTAATTTAGATCCACGGAGGCGCGGACGCTGGAAGGGAAGGAGAAATGTGGATTTAACCCGATGTCAAAGCAGCCGGTGAAGGTGACCGAATAAACACATGCGATCTGCAAGGGAAGACGAAAAAAAAAAAACGGGCTAGCCAGCTAATTTCCCAGGCAAACTGAAGGGAAGTAGCGGCAGGGAAAGGAAGAAAGTTTTGGCCACATCGCTAACATTTGACGGCATAACATCCCCAGAAACAACCCCGCCTTCGAGCTACACACCTTGGTGGATTCATCCCGGAGGTGACGCCGCTAACCTACTCGTATAACGGAGAGAAGATCACTAGAGAAACGCCTGGCGATGATCTACTTCTTCCCAATGGAATCCACTATGAACTCCCTTTGTGTCGAGCTGGAGGCCGCGAGCAGCATCCGCCTTTCCGCCAAGCGGTTACCCCTTCACATTAAAAGCGCGTCGGTTATACGTCTGGCAGAAGTAGACATTTTTTTACACAATATAGTTGTACATTTTAGATGAGCTGTGTAGCTTTATAACGTTGGATAAAACCCACGTTTAGCTAGTCCTGAGACACAAGCTATGTTTGTTCGTGAAACTAAAAAAAATAACTAAAATTGGACCAATTCTGGTCACACACTTTCCACAGTTGTATGGTTTTAAAACTACCGTTCGACTGGCAATACAGTTTAACTTAAATCATTTTATATTATAAAAAATGATTTAATCGGAAATACAAATAGTCAATAGCGATGGTAGAGGTTGGCAAAAAACCGTTAATGTAACCTCTCCAACCAACAACATTTTTTTTAACATTGGAAACACCGTTTCATCGGCCATAAATTGGCTTAATCTTGTCCTTAGGTCGACACGGTAAGCACGTTACATGCCTCCATTCCCACGTCAGTGGTTATTTGCATCCAGTTTCCACGTTAGCGAACACACACCAGCCGGTGACCGTTAACGTCAAGTTAGCGAGCAGCGAAACGCGCCGCTCAGTTTTCGGTACGTCAAACGGTCACTGGCCATTTGTCGGGCTCCCCGGGATAAACGGACCAGATAACAGGCTATAAGTCCCTTCTTTAAGGGTGAAATACGGGGCTAAAAACTCGCCTCTTACCAGACGCGTTGACCCCAGTCAGTCACGCGACACTTCCGCTGTCCTCCGTCAAAGCAAACACGTGAAAAGGTTACACTTCCGGCAGCGGTTTACACAATAAAAGACCCTCGAGTTTAGTGACGTCACATCATATTACAGTTTCATTCCGTGGCATCCTGTCAGTGAAGCTTAGTTTAATTGTATTCTGCTTACCTCAAGTGGACAATAAAAACACGTGCATGCACATGTAATATAGCACATGGCTAATGTCATCATTTACAGCACATCAAAACAAAAGACTGAAATAACTCAAAATGTTAATCAGAGTATTAGTCAAAGTTGCTGCTATATAAAGCAATTCGTTTTGACATTATGAATGCCATCATATTTCATCGTTTAAAATAAACATACAAAAACTGTCATACCATATTAACTGCTGTCAAGTCAGCTAGTAAAAGATTATAATCGATTTGATCGATTTGTGTATACATTATCTTTTTCACAATGTACATAATAAACCTATGTTGATACTTATTTCCTCACAATAGACAAGTTCCTTATATATTATAATATTTCTGTGTATTTTACAGCCTGAATGTAAAATTAGACCAAAACCCACACATTTACCAGTTACTAAACCATTTTAAAAATCTGTATTATTTTAGAGTAGACTGTTATCTTGAAAAACAAGTACCGGAAGTATGACACATCCTTCAACAAAACAAAGGATTCTTATCAATTTCACTTCCCACTGAGATTTAACTCAATAAGACTGAGGTTGCTGACCCCTGCTGGGAACATTTGGTACCATGTGACAATACTAGAAAAAAGCACAGGGAGGCACTACCTCGCCTAAGATTAAGCATTATGTTTTGAGCGATTTAATCAAGATGTTTGCTGTTTCAAGGAAAAATTAAAGTTACTCAGTAACTAGAAATACGAATATAGTCGATGGCCCCTTGACCTGCAGTTTATCCATGTCATCTGCGTCCACTGTGAATGTAAGGAAATGTGTTCATGTTAAGCCAGATGGAGGTGGTCATATTAAGCTTGAAATATGAGGGAAAGGGTGACAAAGGGCTCAGCTACACTGGATTCTGGATTTTTTTAAAAAGGAAGGAAAAGGAAAAAAGGAATTAGTAAAGTGCTGTCCCATTCACATCTACAGTACACCCTTTCAGACCTACACTCAACCACCTCCCAGGTGACTTCAGTTCAGCCTCTGAGGGTTCAGGGCTTAAGGTTTAGGGGAGACAATTGTTTGGAAAAAAAAACCCCAACCCCCCCATACTTTTCTTAAAATATGATGATATGCCTGCTGGTGGGACTAATGATGAACGATTCCAGGTCATCACTTTTTTTTACTCCCACTCCACTATCTCCGGGAACACAAGTGATCTGTAATTATTGGACAGTTTGGACATAGGAAGGAGCGTGTGTGTCTAGCTCACGTCGTCACGTTGCTGTGAGCGTAGGCGGAGGGCAGAAACACGGAGACACAGATTTGTACCCTGCCTCTTTTTCCAGGAACCACACACGCACCAGAGTCTGCTGTCAGCGTTGATGTACTGCGGAGCTTCACAAGTATGGTTATAGTAAAAAGTGCATCGGTCAGCTGCCGTGTTTCCTCTGGCGGTTGAGATTTAGGAAATGAAAGTTGTAGAAAAGCCAATGCATTTGAAAATAGAACATGCAGTCTGCTCTTGAATCACTGTTTAAAACATCTGCGTATTTGGAACCCAAAAGGTTCCGATAAAGCAAAGAGGTGTTGGACAAACTTAAATAATGTTTTGTCCAAGTCACAGTAATTCAAGCAATATTATTTTAGACGCTGTAGAGTTTGTGGCCTTGTGTCCTCTAAACAGATATCCTGCTCAAGCTTATTTGTCTTCTGGGTAAACGAATAGTCAAGGTGATTTGAGCATTAATATGCAGATAATCTCACGTCTGTGTCCATGGTGTGCATCCTGTTTGTGATGCCTTTGTGTGTGTCATCTAAAACCTTTTAATTTCAGACCCAGAGCCAGATTTTTGAGAAGCTTTAATGCATGACTTATGTACAAGTTTCAACCCTGCTCCTACTTGCAAGTATTTTTAATAAATGTCACGTTTAGTGATACTACACTAGTGTCGAGTAAGATTTTCCCAATGAGATAATCTCGTCTGACTGTTTCAGCAGTGAAACTGTAGGTGCTGCAGTCTTGTGTGACTATAATCTAACAATATTTTATTTATGCCCTAAAAATGAGATCCACATAGAAGAAGATATCATGATGCACAAAATCTTAACCGGAAAGTGTTTTGAATAAATCCTTCCGTTGTTCCATGTAAATTTGGGATATTATGCACGCAGGCGTGTGGACATGTTTGTTTTCCATCATGAATGCGTGATTTCAAGTTTTTATAATTTTGATGCTAAAATGCGATTGATGCTAAAATGCCCATTTTATTCATTCAAAATGAAATTGATATTACATTTCTGCATGCAAAAAAATGAGAGGGCTTTGAAAACGTTCTGAAGCTATCCACCCGACCTCACATTAAAATCCTACCAGCCCACACACAGCGCAGCACAGCAGCGATAGAACCGCAGTGAAGCTCTATGCGTGACTCCCAGGGGGCTCCGTTGATTACGTAGGTCTATTCTGCAAAACGAATTACAAAGTTATATCTCCGCATAAGAAATGTATACTATCAGGCCAGGTTCATCAAAATATTCTTCAGACTTGGGATATCGAAGAGATTCCTTATTGTAATATTATCACCATTAAGACTTTGTGAGGAGAAAAATTGAAAGCGAATACTTTCAGGCCAGGAGGGATTTTTGAAGAATCTTAGATTAAAAAAACGAAGATAGAAGAAGATAGATTAATAAGTAATTACGTTTTAAAACAAAAGACATCAAATAAAACATAGTTGGGGATGAAGACAAATAATCTGCATTTTCCGGCCTTTTCTTTGACCAATGTATTCCCAGTGTTTGAACGGACGATATGTCCTACCTCTCCAAACTGGTGAGTCTTGGGTGGAGGGGATGACTGGCTGGTTTCATCACACTGGCTGCGGATGCTCCCCCACCTGACTCTGCCCGTGGTCGCATGACGGACAGCGCTACGTAAGTGCTGAAAGGAAGTCGAGTGATTGAATTAGCAGGTAAAAGAGGTGGGGTGCAAAGCACGGAGGAGAGAACGATGCCTCAGCCGTCACCATGACACACTGTAGGTGACTGCATTAAAAGAAAAAAGTGTAGTTGAGCCCCACAGGCCTGTTTACTCTAATTCAAGCTGGGTAATTGAAAGTAAATATTCGCGCCCCACAGCCGAAGGAAACGTGCAGGGCTTGGATTGATTAAGACTCCCGAGGGGTTTTCCTGAGCAAAGGGCAGAGGCTTTGAAGTGTATTAATGACACTACTGCTCATATTATTCAATTTCAATCAGCATGTTCCACTGAGCAGCAAAGGAAGCAACGATTACAGGAGGAGTGGCCTTGTGTCTCATCGTGTGTGGAATGAAATAATCTGTTGAGTACACTTTCATCATGAGTGCAATAAATATGAAGTGCGAAAAATAAAATCTTTAATGTAAAACTAGGAGCAGCAATACAGACAAAGGCAAGAGGGGGAAAAGTGAGTAACAATTGGGCAGAGAATAAATAAGGAGAATAAATAAATCACACTGTTTTTGGTACAGTGACAAATGTTAGAGAAGTAAAGTGTTAACAATAATAACATTATTAAATTTAAAAATTAAAATGGAAAAAGTCATTGATTTTCAGATATCACAGGGGCTTTGATGAAATAATACTTAAACCATACAAAGGATGTTTGGGTGATGCAAGTCTATAGCAATGCAGTTGTGTGTATTTAAGGGTAAGAAGTCAAATGAAAATGAATAATTAGGGACTAGTCAATACACAATAAAGCAACATACTTAAGGGGATTTAGTCAACCAGCTTATGTCATTCTTGGTTAATACAGTGTGGCTGCTGTTCTTCTTAACGGATGATGTAGAGCAAGAAAAAAGACGTTTCTCTTCTGCTCGTGGCAGTTATTTGATAAGGTGTCCTCAACAGAAAGCTGGAGAAAATTTGAATGTAAATATGAACAATTTGAGCATTGGGTCTATGAAATAACAAACAGTCCAACCATGCTTTAGCTCATAAACAGCCCAACGGATTAGAAACCAAATATGCTTTCCTCATGCTCGGATTGTAACTTAATAAAGTTTGTAACACGTATATAACACGGAACATATTAACTATTATTTTAGTTATACAGTATGCACACAGTACACTAATATAAAATATTGATACTCGTTAC